AACCTAAACAGAGCAATCAATGCGACTTCCCCCAAAGCCTCTACCCAGTGGTAGGAACATATTTCTGCCAAGTCGATACGACTTTGTAACTTAATTACACAACCTACAGGGCTGCGGCTGAGAACATACATTGGCCAAAGCAGCAGTGACAAAACAATGTCAGAGCCAATCACTGACATGATTTATCATCCAATCTTCCTGACGATCGCAATCGGTATGTGTCAAATTGCGTGGGCCTCCAAAAAGGAGTGGTTTCCCTTTACACCAACCCCCCACAAAGGATACCCTCAAAGCACCGACGTTGAACTTCGCAGAGCCAAACTATTGAACTCAGAGCTGAACGCTGAACTGGCCGCCCCAAACCCTCCGCGGCCCCGCGGCTCGAATTTCTCGGCGAGCGGCTCCAAAGGCGCCCGCGAGTCCGCGCATCCGATGATGGCGGTGTGGGGCGCTTGGCCTGCGGTTGAACGCGACTCCCCAGCTGCCAGAACCCTTTTCGCAGCTCGACAAACGCGCCCAAAAAAAAGAAAGGGACAAAAGACACAAAAATAAATAAACAAAAATAAACGACTTTGGACCGCAAAATGCGTTTCTTTCGCGCTGTTCTACGATATTTGCCGCGTGAATCCGAACGGCCGCCGAATATGATGTGGTTTGGATGGGTGCGGCTAGAGCTTGGATTCCCATTTGCCTTCAAGAACCAAGCGTTCAAATCTCCAATCCAAACGAACAGTTAGGAGTCATCTGACCCTTCATGCCTCCATGAAAAACATTGGGCAATACGTCAATCAATGCTCGCAGGCAAAAGGAGCCGAATACATCCATTCAGGCCAGCCGCCCACCATGTGCACAATAGATGTTGGCCCACATCTAGGAACACATTCCGTGTCATGTTTAGTCTCAAGGCCCTAAACAATATGGGGAATATGGGGAAATCGGGGAAAACACCATTTTGGAGGAGACCCAGAAACTGTCTCCGGGCCTTGCTCCACCAAGGCCTTGCGCGCGTTCTCGCTGGTGCACGAGCCCAGCATCTTGCCACTGGCGTAGCGCGAGTTGCCTCCGTGCTCCAAATGGCGCCGCTTGAAAAGCGAAAACCGGCCAGAACCGAATCTAAAAGGGGGGGAGGGTCCCAAAAAGGAGATTCCTCTATGTGTGCTTTTGGAGTCCATGTCCATCTGCAGGTCAAGTGCGGAACCCCCGGCAACCCATCTTGCAGCTCCGAACTGCTCGGCTTGTGGATCCTCTTCCTAAGGCGATCCCCCTGTCAGCCCGGTTTAACCAAGGTCCGAACCCTGTCTTGAGACATTCCCAAATCGAACGCGGCTTGCAGGGCCAAATATTTTTACCGGAGTCCAGGTCTTATCTTGCCCAAATGGGCGATTCCAAAAATTTGGACCCCTCCCCCAAAAGGAAACCAACCACTTAAAGGAATTGGCCCCTAATTTGGAGAGACACCAAGACACCCTACTACCCTACCACATCCTTCCAATACTCCTGGTGGCTCCTCAGCTCCCTCTTTACTCCACCAGCTCGCAAAAACGCGGACATGTCGTTTTTAGGATTGGGACCCCTAGAATATTGGATTTCCTGTGACCTGGTTGGATCCTTGGGCTTTAACTTGTTGGACACAGGTCGACTTTTTTTTTGGAGCCACACAACGTTATACACTTTTTGCGGAGGGGTTCGCAGCAACCAAGTTGGGTTGCCTTTTAACACGGTTTCCTCCATGTCCTTTTTTGGAGCTCCAAGAGTAGCAGGTAAGGGCCCCACCATTCCCATCAACCATGGCCCCCACATAGCCATAAAACCCAAAGCCTCCATTTGCTTCTTGAAAAAAAAAGGAAACACCTTTCCAGCGGTGATAGATTCCATTTAAAATCAACAGGGGAACATAAAAATATTAACCAAATGGAAGAAAGGGCACCTGGCGTCGGGAAAAAAAAAAGCCGCCGCGCCTTGCTTCAGGAGCTTCAGCGCTTGCTGTGGCGGCAACGGCCCGTCTGAGGTGGTGCGCACCGGGCGAGCGGCACCTGCCCAGTCGGTGGTTTTGTTTTTGTTCAGGAATCGGAGCCCTCAAAATGGCGGGTGTCCGTTTCGTTTCCCTGCAAATACCGCAAAAAAAGGTATTAGCAACAAAAAGAACAGACCAAAATGTCGGCGGAGACAAAAACGGAGGGAAGGTCTTTGCAACACCATTAGAGGGTATTTGGAGGGGGGCAGGTGCTTCTTTTCTCGGAATTTCCCTTGGGGATTTCCGTCGATACATTTGAAAGTTGGTATATTTCGCCCCATTTAAGATGATCAAAGTCAGCCCCAAAGTGGCAGGTTAAAGGTAACCTGCCCACCCCATTTCCTGACTTTGACAACCCCCAGAAACAGTCAACACAAGGACCCCAGACATACCCAAACACTCCTCGTCCGGTCATACGGGGGTTCTCCCAAACCCTGAAACTCTGGGTTGGTGAGGGTTCAACAGATCTGCAAAGTTTGAAATAACTCCAAAACCTGAAATCAGAATTGGATCCCCAAGTAAAGTTCATTGTTTAGACAAATGTATGCCAATAGTTTCATGGAAATTTGTTTTTTGCAACGAGCACCCGCGAGAGGGGAGGTTTTGGCAACATGGGCAGTGCTTCCAATTGCCGCACTAGGTAAGGGTTTCTTAGGTTCGATGGATGCCCTCCCAACCTTAGGGAAACCAGCCAACCAAGTGTCCTACGAGCTCACTACCACAAACAAACCAAAGCAGCCCCAAGTTGTCCCCCGCAGCTGCCACCGTGACATATGAAATGCATACTCCCCCGCAAATTCGCGGGAGGAACCCAAAAGGGCGTGCCCCAAAAGGAGGTTCATCCAAAAATGGACAGGTTGTTGTTCTGGAGGCGTTTTGAACCTTTGAGCGTTCTGTTGAAGAAGGGAACACCTCCCGTGTACAATTTTGCAGTCGACAATGGCGTGAGCATCAGCAGTCCATGCCAATCCTCATGTTTATATATCTCTTTTTATACATGTGTCACCAGGGAGTCGGCTCGCACTTGGAATCTGGCAAGCTCAGTACACACCCACACACAAAAGGGACCACACATCTGTAGGTGCATGTTACATTTTTGCGTAAGCCAAGGCTCACAAGCTTTTGCCACGCAATCTCCCTTTTGGGAACGGACCCCTGTGCTTTTCTTCTTGGGGAGGGGGGAGGGAGGGGACTGGGGGCGCGGGAGAGGAGGGAGGGCTAAACATACTTGTAAACCAAAAACCTCCTGGCTCGGCGGCTTTTCCTCGAGAGCTTCCCAGCCTCGCAGGAAGGATCCGCAGCAGGTGGTCATGGCGCAGGAAGCGAAATGGGAGGCGAAATGGGCAGAAGCTCGTCCGAAAATGGGCTGCTGAATCCGGGAGCCTTTCATGCATTTGCGTTCTGCATGAGGATCCATTTGACTGATGTGAGTTGGAAAAGATTCAGACGAGAATATCAACGCGCCCAATGGGTGGAGTGCCCTTCCAAGCGCTTTGACATATATATATATATACATACATACATACACAGGGATTTGGACCCCAAAAAGTATGGGCTTTCCTTTTGGCCTTCCTTCAAGCCAAGGCGAAACTCAAAAAAGCACAAACACACAAACACACAAACATGCAAACACACAAACACGAACACGAACACGAACAGAAACACAAACACACACCTTCTTCCCTTCCGGACGGAGGGCAATGCGGCTTCGTAAACATCGCCGCGGCAGCCGATCGGCGGTTGGCCAGCCTCAGGACAGGCGTCCTCGCGCCTGCAAAGAAGGACATGAAGGTGGGAACGAACCTTTGCGTCCATTTGATTTCTCTCCCCGGGAAAAATACACAAATATGTCCAGTAGTGATAGATTCCCTCTAGAACCAACAGGGGAGAATAAGAACTCTTCCTTCAGCAAATGGAAGTTGGAGTGGATCCCGTTGCCATAGCTTGGTTGGCAGATTGCGCGACGAGCCCTGTCGTGAGCCCTGAGCTCCATGAGAATAGCAGGTAACCCGGAAGGGGTTTGTGCCTACAAAACACTTGTGTGTCCAACTTGACCAGACTTCTTTCCCCCCGCAAAACGTTACTGTCACCTGTTGCTAGTCGGAAAATGACTAGGAATTATCCAAAAGGGCAAAGAGGCGCAAAAAGGGTCCCTAAGTCACAAAGTGAAACCTTTAAGTCCAAAGTCTCAAGAAAGGTCCTTGGCATCAAAGTGAAACCAACCGACAAGTTGGACCTCCCTGCTTAATGAAACTGGCTTACTGCCCTTAGCAAAATGGATCCATTGGACCAGTTTTCGGTCAGAATTCTCATCGCCCAATTCCCGCACAGCATCCGACCCGTGCGCAGGTCGTCGCCTTTTTCCGTTTTTTATTTTATGTTGTTTCTTTTATCTTCCTTTTTTTTTTCCGCGCTGGTGGGCTCTCAAGTGGTGTCTTCGGCCTGCAGCAGTCAAACAATCATATCAACACGTGTCATGGCAAGTCGATCCGGGCTCTTGGCTGCAAGACCTTCCGAGGTTGAGCCTTCCAAAAGGCAACTCATAAGAATATACGCTAGGGAGATGGCATTGCCAACTCAGCATATTAAAACTTGGATCTACATCCCGAAAATGTTACAGCAGCTGGTTTCGGCCCTTAAAGCCAAGCTGCAAATTAAAGGAAAACCTCATGCAGGCTTCAACTACCTCCAGTCTTCTTCGAATGCCGTTTCTTCCGGCGCCTAGATAGATACCCAGCTGAACCAGCTTGGCTTTGATGCCCCTGAAACCGGCTACAAAGGTAAAATGGTAATGGTTTTGGCCATACCCCAATGAAGCCAGGTGGGTCTGTCTTTCTTGGGGGAACCCATTTTTGGTGGCTTTAAAGGGAAACCAAAAGGAAAAACCATTTTGAGGGTTCCCCTCTTTATTTTAAGACAAGCCCAGGTACCGCCGGTTGAATCCGGAGTGGGAAAAAATGCAGACGACCCGGACCGATCCGGCCGCTCAGTGCAGGGACGGGGGCAAGGAGGCCGCGCAGCGCAGGAGGCGCGCGTGGTTGGGGCTGCGGCCCAGGAACTCCACCTTGCCGCTCTCAAGGTCATAGATGCCGCCCTGGATGTCCACCTCGCCCTTGCCCACCTGGCAAAGAGAGAGAGAGAGAGAGTATTTCTCAGAGTGGAAAGGCGGAAGGAAGGAAGGAAGGAAGGAAGGAAGGAAGGAAGGAAGGAAGGAAGGAAGGAAGGAAGGAAGGAAGGAAGAAAGGAAGGAAAGAAGGAAGAAAGGGAATGAAAGGAAAGCAAAGGAAAGGAAAGGAAATGAAAGGAAACAGAAGGAAGGGGAGGAAGGGAAGGGAAGGGAAGGGAAGGGAAGGGAAGGGAAGAAGGGACGAAGGAAAGAAGGAAAGAAGCAGCAACGCGGTAGTTTTGCACGTGGAGGTACTTGGGTTCACACGCTTACAGGTCAAGTATGTGGCTCGTCTCTGTTCTCATGTCCGTGTCCTTCATGTGTTTGATGATGTGTTCAGTCAAGTCCGATGCCTTGTCTGAATGGCATATGCATGGCCATGGGTCAAAATCCCGTACCCCCAGCGAACATCCCAATCCCCACTAAAATAGACTGGTGGTGCACCTACCCCAAAATGGTACCATTGGTGTTGACCCGCGGCCAAAGGTACAAAGTGGACGGCACACGAGCGAGTTCAACAAGCGTCGGTTCTGGTTCAACCACCTCCGCACAGTTCCGGCGATTTTGGCCAACATGAGAAGCCGCTGTCAGGCTTTGGGGCAACTCGCAGCGTCTGTCTGTGATGTGTTGCACAGCAATTATGTATGGTGGGTGGTGCGGCTGGGTAATCCATGTGCTGCAGGCGGCACTCAGCGTACTGTGTCCACAGTCTCACCCCATCACCCAACCCGGTCGGGTTCGCCACTGTATTTTGTTAGGTTGTTCACTTCAACTCAGTCCAAAGTAAAACACTTCTCATAGTGATGTCGTTTCACCTTGCTTCTAGAGAAACCAATCGGAAGATCGAAATCCACAATTGTTTGGGGGCCAAGCCCCTGTTTTGACACATACCCTACTCCATTTACCACAAACAAACCATCCGATTGGGTCAAATGGGCGTGGGTCAAGAATTGGTACCCAAAATGGAACCCTGGTAAATGGAAACAATGACCAACATCTGCGGTCCCCAATAACAAAAGGGTAGGCGCTCGCTGTGGCCATGCCATGCCATGCCTTCTCCCGCACCACGGCGCTGTACTGCAGCAGAAAGTCGATGGTGTGGAACACGTTCCTTGAATGCACTCCATAGGGCCTTTTCCGGGATCCCAATCGCCACCTCCACACTTGATCGGAGCCAGCAACAGTAAGACGTGTTGGCCACTCACATGGTCCAAACCCAAAAGGTCTCTCAAGCAGGGAGGTCCAAACCCAAAAGGTCTCAAGCAAGGAGGTCCAAACCCAAAAGGTCTCAAGCAAGGAGGTCCAAACCCAAAAGGTCTCAAGCAAGGAGGTCCAAACCCAAAAGGTTTCAAGCAGGGAGGTCCAAACCCAAAAGGTCTCAAGCAAGGAGGTCCAAACCCAATGGTCTTAAGCAAGGAGGTCCAAACCCAAAAGGTCTCAAGCAAGGAGGTCCAAACCCAAAAGGTCTCAAGCAAGGAGGTTCAAACCCAAAGGTCTTAAGCAAGGAGGTCCAAACCCAAAAGGTCTCAAGCAAGGAGGTCCAAACCCAAAAGGTCTCAAGCAAGGAGGTCCAAACCCAAAAGGTCTCAAGCAATGAGGTCCAAACCCAAAAGGTCTCAAGCAAGGAGGTCCAAACCCAAAAGGTCTCAAGCAGGGAGGTCCAAACCCAAAAGTCTCAAGCAAGGAGGTCCAAACCCAATGGTCTTAAGCAAGGAGGTCCAAACCCAAAAGGTCTCAAGCAAGGAGGTCCAAACCCAAAAGGTCTCAAGCAAGGAGGTCCAAACCCAAACGGTCTCAAGCAGGGAGGTTCAAACCCAAAAGGTCTCAAGCAAGGAGGTCCAAACCCAAAAGGTCTCAAGCAAGGAGGTCCAAACCCAAAAGGTCTCAAGCAAGGAGGTCCAAACCCAAAAGGTCTCAAGCAAGGAGGTCCAAACCCAAAAGGTCTCAAGCAGGGAGGTCCAAACCCAACAGGTCTCAAGCAAGGAGGTCCAAACCCAATGGTCTTAAGCAAGGAGGTCCAAACCCAAAGGTCTTAAGCAAGGAGGTCCAAACCCAAAAGGTCTCAAGCAAGGAGGTCTAAACCCAAAGGTCTGAAGCAAGGAGGTTCAAACCCAAAAGGTCTTGAGCAAGGAGGTCCAAACCCAAAAGGTCTCAAGCAAGGAGGTCCAAACCCAAAAGGTCTTGAGCGAGGAGGCCCAAACCCAAAGGTCTTAAGCAAGGAGGTCCAAACCCAAAAGGTCTCAAGCAAGGAGGTCCAAACCCAAACGGTCTCAAGCAAGGAGGTCCAAACCCAAAAGGTCTCAAGCAAGGAGGTCCAAACCCAAAAAGATCCAAAAAGCATCAAGCAAGGAATTTTAGGGTGGCATCCTTCCTCCCAGGCCTCCTCCTTCCCCCCCCCCCCAAGCCAGCTGCCGAGCATCAGCTTCACCGACAACTCGGCGATCTGTTCCTCAGTGGCGTTGCGGCCGAGCTCATAGTGGGCCTTGCCCGCCACCACGCTGAGGCCGTTCAGCAGGGCGTCCAGGGCCTTGCTGACCTCACAGCTGAGAGCTCAGCCAAGGGAACCCATGGGTCCCTCCCCGAAACTTAGGGGGTTTCCCTGAGCACCTGCCCTCGGCTGAGTTGTTCCCTAGCCATGGCTGGCCTCTCCCCAAAGACAAAGATGACCTGAATCAGAGCTGGGTGAAGTGGAGCCCCCGACTCCCCCAAGTTGCCGTGGCAACCAAAAACGCCCCCGCCATGGCGGAAAGTGCCTTTGAAAGGTCCAATGGCTCGTGGCAAATGAGGTTCGGGGGTGGACCAGTAACATACTGTCAGAATTATGTTCGTTTTCCAGGCGCTTGCCAAGACAGAAGTTGGCTCTGAGGACACGATCCACGCAGATATTGATCCCCATTTTGAAAATGGAAGGATTGACAATAAAAACAACAAAAAACTAGATAGGGGATCGCTATGCTGAATGATGAGAGCTACAGGATTTCGGCTACATGCCAAGTGCTGAGTCCCCCGCTTGCGGTGCATTGCCCGCCTTGGACGCGAGGTATGCCTGAAGGTCAACTCCAGGCCGGGAACTTTTGAGAGGCGTGTGGGTTCCCACTTCTCGCATGCCCAAGTGCTAAAAACATGAAACAAGACGAAGAACAAACGAAAACACGCACGTACCGACAGCTGAATATTCATTCAAACAATGATGACTCAGACAGGGGAAAGGAGAGACTCGGACTGGGATCTGCCAGTATGGAACTTCGACTGGTGCAAGGAGTGTGGCACATTCTCGTTCCAAATGGTCAGGGCTCTTTCTGAGCCGCCGCCTACATGTCCAAAGGAAGTGTCTGTTTGTTGCCGGGACCCACACAATTGTGGTCTTCCCTTCAAAGCCACAAAACAGGCAAATGGCTCCAGCTTCTCCCAACCCAGCCGCAGAACCCCCCCCAACCTTGGTGGCGCCCTTGATGGCTCCACAGCTGGTGTGGCCCAAGACCAGGATCAACTTGCTGCCCAGGGCCGCCGTGCAGAACTCGAGGCTGCCCAAGATGCTGCCCTCGGTGATTCGAGCATGGAGAATCACACTCACAACATTTGTGATACCAACATGCGGGTGCCCGTTGGTAGCAGCAGTACATGTCATGGCAGGCGCAGCAAAAGAACGATGAAAAGCTAGATTAGACCAAATAAATCGATAGATCGGAGACCTAGGCGGATAGATCGAAATACAAAATAGATCGATTGGATTATATTATTAGACTAAATTGGATTAGATTAAACTAGAATGGATCGATAGATAGACAGAGAAATTAGATTCGCTTGAATTAGATTAGATTAGATAGGTAGATGCATGGGAGAGATAGGTAGATGGATACTTACATAGATAGATGGACAGACAGGTAGGTAGGTAGATCGGTAGATAGGTAAGTAGATAAACAGATGGATAGATAGACAGACAAACACAAGGCATTAGATGAGATAGGCAAGATTCGATAGATAAATTAGATTAGACTAGAATAAAATGGAATCGATTAGATAAATAGATACGTAGGCAGGTAATAGATAGATAGGTGCGTAGGTGCACAGATGCGTAGGTGGACCCAACCCATTCCATTTCCTGTTGCCACATTTGCTTGTAGCAGGCAGCTCTCTGAATGGTCCCTGCCGACATCTCTTGTTGACACATGCAGCGATCAATGCGGGCCATAGCTGCATAAAGCATAGCAGCCATTGCCACAGCGAGTTGTGGACAAGTTGGGGCTGCCGAAACGTATCAGGCCCAAATTGGAGCCACCTCTTCTGATAGGTCCACGTGTAGGCAACCACTCGAGCCAAATCGCGTGGAAATCCTAACTCCTGCATCATGGATGTTGCAAGCCGAGGACTCAAACATCGCAGCCACAATCTCTAGAATATCCTGACAAAGGTCTTGAACCTCAGCTCCAGACCATCCATCGACTCCGGCAGAGGATTCCTGCATTTTTTGCAGAGCAGATTGAACCATGTCTGCAGTGTGCCCTTCCCACTCCATGACCGGTGGTGGAGCCGGAAGCTCCGCTCTCCACTTTTGCATAGCTTGCTCAGAATCAAGCTGCGGTCTATGCCAGATAGTGTGCCAAAACTGGCACAGAAACACAAACGACTCGTGGGCTGCGCTGGGCGTGCCATTCTCACACGTGCCTGCAATGGGGCCAGCAGGCGCTGCTGCTGTCAAACTGTGCTGCAGAGCATCCTCAGTGCGCGCGCACCATGCCGTGATGGTCTCCCCTGCTTGCCTGCGCAACTGCTCTGCAGAAAGTCTTGTGAACACAGCCCTTGGCCAACTTCCTAACCATCATGGCGTCTGCCTTCGTGAAGGCCACTGACATCCGCCTGGGCCGCGATCTGGCCTGGTTGGCCTTAGCGAACTGTTCGTCAGTGAGATAACTTTGTCTCCCTGAGCCTTTTTGGCTGCTGCCATTGCCTCCTCCAGTTGCCAGTTAGTTGAAGTGAGCCCATGCTGCTTCAAGCGAGGCAGCATCCTGAGCCCTATCCGCGGCAAAATCCAAGTCATTGCGCAGCTGGCGCCAGGCCAAGCTGAGGCTAGCCTTCCACTCTGCATTCGCCACATGAGAAGGCTTCGCAAGTGGTCGCGTGCCAAGGAGGGCGTGTTGCTCAATCCTAGATGTGGGAACAGTGAAGACAATAAGAATGTGGTCACCGAGGGCCACATCATCCAACCAAAGATCCTTAATGATGGCCGGGTGGTTGGCAGCCACCCAATCGATGGTTCTCTTTCCGTTCCACCTCGTCGGGGCGTCTCTCCCAAGCTCATCAATTGGGCCCCGAAAAAGAAAGCTGCGCAGCAGCCCCGAGGCCAGTGCTCCTCAACTGGGACCTGTCCATGTTGAGTGGCTGTGACTGCTGCATGCAGCAAACGCTTCGTCAAGTTTTTCAACAAAGCGCAAGGAATCCTCAGATGGGCTGGGGTAGACCACCCCTAAGGAACGCTTTCCAAACTGGATCATGAGACACTGGCTGAGCCCCACGAGGATCTCAGAATCATACCGTCAAGCAAAGATACTGCGCGCCATGATCATAACCCTACACCTTTGCAAACCGCCACGAAGAAAGCCACGTACCCATGGCGCTGCGCATGCCATCTCATCGCCACTTGTTGCTGCTGATCAGCATCCACCTCCTCCAAGCAAGGAGCATCAACTCCCAACTGGATGTAATGCGCAATAGCCACCAAAGCTCTTTGATTGCCCTGAGTTTTAAGGGTCACTATCTTAGCCAGCGGCTGGCGCTTTGCCCTCTGTGCATACATTGGCCCTGGATTGGGCTCAACCCCTTCTTCTCCCAGCTTTCTAAGCCACTGCCCTGTCCGTTGCTTTTCCTTCTGCGCCAGCTTCCTGGCTCCCTTGGCCTTGATCAGTGTCTCAAGCCACTGGGTCTCTCCTTTTGTCAGCTGCCATGCATCTTGCAGCTGCGCAGTGAGCTTGTCGCCATGCACCTTGGCTGCCTTCCACCGCTTCCAGCACCACGACAACTTTGCAGTCCTACGCTGGCAGTCGCACTCCTTGGGGATTTGGGCACGCTTGCTCCGTATACCGCAGCATCGACAGCATGCAAAGTGCGTGCAGCGCGTGATTGTTCCCGCGACCAATCCATCAACCACAAAAATGAGATGAGGATCCGACCTATTCAACTCGTTCACATGCTCAAGCAATTGTTCCCGGCAGCACGTGCTAAATCCACTTCTTCGCCTGCTTGGACAGCCTTCTCTCGTTCAGGCGCATGGAGCACTTTTTCTTCATCTTCGCTGAGTGAACGGCAAGGTGTGTGCCTCCTCCGGGCATGGTCTGGCATATCAAGCAAGCCCGCCTGACACCAGCTGACATCTGGTCAACGGGCCAATGCCAAGGAACGGCAGTTGGAGCAGCCTCATCCCATCTGGCAACATGATGCCAGGGTGCAGCTTGAGATGCATGCATTTTGTCTTTGCAAACGCCCTGCTGCTGCCTCGTCTTATTGTCCACTCACACACAGGGCAAGTCCGTGAAAAAGTCACCCGGCTGGGTGTGGCTTCCGCTCAGGTCAGCCTCTTCATCCAAGGGGCTGATGAAGCATCACGCAGCCTCTTCAAGGCGCTGCAAAGCTTTGGACTTGGTCCGCAAGGACAAGCGTCCGCTGCAAGTGGGTTGGTCTTTGGGGCGCCCCTGCAACTGCCGCAGATGAAGATGCGCCAAGGCCTGGGAACTGGTCCCACGCGAAGGCCGACTACAAGTAGGTTTCAAACTCAAGTTCCTGCATAGGTTCCGAGCTGCAAGTGCTTCTTGATGTGAGTCACAGTGGCCATCCTGAACTGGTCAAGGCATTGGAAAGGGCAGTATACCAACAGTCACCCTTGGCATCGTTCTTGACAGTTGGTAGCATTTTCATAGTGCGGCTCTCTTGCCTGCAGCAACGGGCAAGATTTTTTGGGCTGTCTCTGGCATTCCTCATCGCCCATGAGCTTGTCAAGGCTCTCACTTACGTCGCAAGGAGCATCGTCCACTCTGGCACGCTCTCCTTCTTCTGTTCTTTACCTTTGCCTTTGCCTTTGCGCGGCGGCACCAGCCTCTGCCTGGAGTCAAGGGGCAACAACCTGGCACTGGCTTCCGACGGTCCATTCTTTGGAGCTCAACAAGTCTGACCTCATCTTCCACAGCGAGGAGGTCAGGGCTCCTCTCACTGGTGGCTCTCAAAGTCCACCCCGCGCCTCCTCTGCCTGATGTCCCCAAGCACTAGCAGCTGCCACGCACCATTGAACGGCGAGTTCCGCATCCTCCACATTCTGTGGATGAGTGAGGTTTGCCCTCATCTGCCGCCTGTTTCCTCCTCCTTATCCCAAGCTGCCTCATGCCAGAGACAAGCCCAAGATCCTGAGACAGCAAGAGCGCCAATTCTCAACCACTGTGAGGCCCTTCTCGGCCTCCGGGTAAAAGAACACGCTCTCAAACTCACATCCACTGCGTTGAAGAAGCTCATGAACTGCCGTTGCTTCGACTCTTGCTGCCGGCGCATCCCGCGCGCTTTTGCCATCCCCATGTGTCACGCAGAGCCTTGCCTTGTAAAAGAAAGCGCCCACTGGCAGGCACATTGCCCCGGGTTGCCCTCCGCGGTGCCCCAGCTCTTGGGGCCCATTCCATGATGAAGCGCGCAACCTGAGCTTCCTCTTCAGCACGGCGGAATGGGACTTCGCCCAAGTTGATTGTGTTGATCTCTGAGGTGCCTTTCCCACTTCCCCCGCCCCATAAGTACCTGAAGCCAAGGTGTTTTCCCTTCTCTTTCACAGGGAACTTGCGCTTCTTCCACCTAGGTCCATCTGGCTTCTGGACACCGCTGACCATGCTGCAGCAGGGTCTGCTGCTGCTGTGTCTGCTGCGGCTGCAGCGTGTAGCTCCCTGCTGGCGACTAGGCGTTGGGCATAGCTTGCCACCCGGACTCTTGCCCTTGCCCTTGCCCTTGCCTTTGCATATCTAGCAGCCAGTTCCTGCAGAGCTCGGAGTAAATTCGATGGCCTCTGCTGGACAAGCGCCTGAAGTTCATGCTCCAGGTCTGCCTCATCTTCTGCCATTGTGCCGCTCCATTGAATGCTCACCTTTTCGCGTGGGGAGCCAGTCCTTCGTCGAAATCATGGCCTGTGAAAAGCAAAGCGGCCCGTTGCCAATGGGGTGCCAAATCCCCAGCCCTCCTCATTGTGAAGTGACATCCTGAGCTCTTGAATGCTGCGGATCTCCACCGTTGCCCCGAGCTCGGAGAGTGGTTTCATATGGTAGGAGTTCCCGCATCTCTTTCACAACCCGGCCCTGATCGAAAATCATGATGTGCGCCATGATGCTTGCTGGGTTCCCACCGCAGTCTGATCACAGAGATGCCAGCCACAAAGCGGGCCAAGAGGCTGGCCAGCACCAACGGGTGACCCCAAGGACCCACCTGGATCGTCCAGGGACAGAGTGCCCGAAGCAAGCGGGGGACCATTGCCCACCATGGCTCGCACCCGCTTGTTGCGGGCCCGCGCGAGGGCCTCGCAGAAGCCGTCGACCCCGCAGGCGTCAATGACTTCACAGCCAGCCCCGCACCTCCAAGCCGGATCGCCCACGAAACCCGCAACGAAGGTGCCCTTCTTGAAGACCGGGAAAAGGAACATGAGGACCGCCTCGACCACGAGGAAGTGCTCCATGTCCTGCAGGAAGAACCCAATGAAGTCGGCACCCAAGGCCATGAGAACACAGCCCCAAGAAAAAGGGTGTCCGCCACCAAATCTCGCATGAAACCAGGGATGCGCCCAAGAAGGAACATGCCCAAAACCACAGCCGCAAAGCCTGAAATACAGCGAGGTGGCCCGTCACGGTGTCCAGGATGTGGGTGAAGCCACCCATGATGAGGCGCAGGGTGAAGGCCTGCCACCTCGTCCATCGCCAGCTCTCTTCGTACCCCACCAGGATGGTGAGGCCCGTGATGACCAGTAGGAGATAGAGAGACAAAGAGGTAGGTAGATAGATCGATTGGATCATATTAGACTAAATTGGATTAGATTAGACTAGAATGGATCGATAGATAGACAGAGAAATTAGATTCGCTTGAATTAGATTAGATTAGATAGGTAGATACATGGGAGAGATAGGTAGATAGGTAGGTAGGTAGGTAGGTAGGTAGATAGGTAGATAGGTAGATAGGTAGATAGGTAGATAGGTAGGTAGGTAGGTAGATAAACAGATGGATAGATAGATAAACACAAGGCATTAGATTAGATAGATTCAGATTCGATAAATAAATTAGATTAGATTAGAATAAATTGAATCGATTAGATAAATAGATAGGTAGGCAGGTAGGTGGAGGATACATAGATAGATAGGTGCGTAGATGTACAGATGCGTAGGTGGACAGACGGATAGACAGCTAGACAGATAAACAGATAGATAGGTACATAAGCAAATGCACAAAAAGATGCATGGATGAATGGGAAGGCAGATGGATAGATAAAACAATGACTAGGCCAACAAGCAAGTAAATGGATAGGCAGGGACATGCAGGGACATCTGGGCAATTGCTCTGCTTTCGGGTTTGTGGCTTGTGTCTGTTGTGCTTGTATTTGTTGAGGTCCCATGTTGACACATACCCATGTGTCTGTTAAACATGACTACTGTATTACCGTTTGCGAAAACCGGCAAGCTAAAAACCTGACAACCATCAGGACAGACTGTTGTAATTCACAAGCCGGAACATTTAACACCATGTCCTTGCAGAACTCCAGATAGATCCTTAGCTCCCTCTTAAAGGCAACCTTTCCACGACAACATGTGAAGCTAGCTCCGTAGAACGGCTCTCGGCTGCCTTCCAACCACCAGCAGAGGAATCCCCAAGCAAGGGCCTTCATTTCGGGCATCCGCTGGTTGGTTTTTCCCTGCCTCTGCGTGTGTGCAGGTGTTCCCGGCGTTGCGCAGCGCGAAGATGTCGCCGGGCATGGCGTCGAAGACCGTCTCCTGGCGTTTCTTACGCGCGTGGCAGGGGCGGGACACCACTTTTTTGTGTTAACTTTGGAGTAATCAAACATACGGAAAATCTGGGGTGGCTCCCCTTTTAAAAAGGAAATGATATCTATTCTAGGTGCTTCCTCCAGACCAATCCGAAGTCAACATTCCTTCATTATGCTTTTAGAAACCAAAAGGAAACCAACCACCTGTAGACTAGTAAGCACCCATATTTCCTCTGCACGTCACCCCACCATGAGTCTGTCTCAAGTTGAGGGATCAAATCCTCCGAAGCCATCCAAAAAGGGCACGCCTTCGAGAAACGCCCTCAAGGGCATGCGCTTCTCGCCTGTGCTTTTCGTGTGGTGCCCTTTGAGGTTGATATTTAAAGGGACCGGGGGCGCCCACCATTGCGGGTTCCCCCGTTTTGACACACACCCATATTTCCCATTGAACCGTAGCATCACCCACCATCACCTCAAGTTAGGCCAAAGGTAATGTTTCACACTGGGTCAAGTCAACCCAAAGGTAACGTTTCAGACTACCAGGGCAGGAAAAACTAAGCAAGAATCCCCTTTTGCAAGTAGCGTGTGGCTGTTGCAGATAAAGAAGCCTGGAAGCAAATCCACCTGAACTGTTCAAAGCCATGGTGAAGTGGTGGGTTAAAGCGACACATCCCCATTTTCCGACTCGACACCCTCTTTCCAACAATCGTAGAAGTGGACAGGTCTTCCAAAACCCTCCTCTCAGTTTCCATGATTGGAGGGAGGGCAGACCCCAGAAAGAATCAAAACAATTCGACCCCATGGGACCATCTCCGTCCAGAGGTGCGCGGGAGTCGGCGCAGCCCACAATGGCCGTGTGAGGGGCTTGGCCCTCCACCACCAGCGCCTTCCTGCGAGCCAGGATGTCACGGTGGTGTCCTTCCATGGTTCAATCCCTTGTCCTCCCCGGCCACAAACACCAAAAGGCTGACAGTCCCACATAAGCAGGCGCCAAAAAAAAACAACTTCCCGCTTGCATGAGACACCCCTGCAGCATTGATCAACCAGGGCAAATGGTCTTGGCCATCTGAACACCATTGAAGATACCTTCAGATTCTGCTTCAGGCTTCGTCTTTGACATTCGAGACATAAGGTCTTGAGGCCCGCTGGCCAAGAAACAACTTCAGCTCAGTCTCGAAGCGCAGGTCTCGCCTCTTCCGTCGATTCTCTGAACGTTTGCTCTGCTTCACGCTAAGCCAATCGCCGCTAAGGCGAGGAGTTGAAGAATTGTCGATATGGGTGTCTTTTTGAGGGTAGCTCTTTCTGGTAACGCAGACTTGTGTTCATGAATCCTCAACTGTTTTTTATCCTGAAACAGTTGGGTTTTGTACTAATTGCTTGAGGGTTTCAATCTGGACGAACATGACCAGATGACGGTCATGCTTCACCTGAATACACCAACTATGGTGGCTCAAGTTGTATGGACAAATTGACTCACACGAAAAGTATGGTGTGCTCATGGTAAGGGTCCAAAACCGAGTTGGACCGCTCCAAATGGTGCGTTTCCTGAAGGAGGCTCAAGGAGCCTCCTTTGGCTCCCCCTCAAACACGAAACAGGAAGTGGTTGGAAGCCATTGATTGTTGGTTTCCTTTTGGGCTTCCCCTTGCAGACATCACCCCACCCAGAAAGCTGTCAAACATTGGCCCCGAAGAATGATGTTTCAATCCATCCTAAAGGCGCCAGCCGCTTTCCCTTTAACATGTTTGAACCGACCTCCAAAAAGCAAGTGCCTCCAGTAGATGCCCCACTTGTTTAAAGTAAGGGAGCAAGGAAAGCAATTCTCCACTGTTGCAATATGGGTATGAATTTCATCGGGGGGTCTTTGGTGGACAACATTTAGGGACTTCGTGTCCAACACTTTTGTGCTTCGATTCAACTCTCAAAATTCAAATTGCCCTGCGGGGCATCATGGGGAATCCACCGGCATCCACCGTGTTGGCTTCAAAACGAAGCTGGGTACCCATAAATCCAAGCCAACCCACCAACGGCGTACATGACTTTGCGACCCGAATGGACATGACACTTCGGCGGGGATTCATGTCCACCGACCACTTTTGAGTTGGTTCCCCATTAATATTGACGTCGCCAGAACAAACATCCGCCCCTCCCGTGCCTCATGATGGGCGTGATCTTCCCCGCCAGCGCTGTGCCGCTGGTGAAGCGCAGGTTGCCCGCCTGCAGCAGCTGCAGCGCCGCCTCCGGCTTCACAGGGCCGCTGCCTGGCAAGGATTTCCATGGGCTTGGTTGGGACTTGGTTGTTTTAAAGGGGGACCTTCCTTTTAAAAAGGAAAAAAGGGCACCACTGGGCAACTGAGCCGTTTAAACAACCTGGGCCGTGCTTCACTCTTCACCCATCTCAAAGGTCACTTGACGCATGGCTTCTTTTGGGCCGGCGGCTCCAAGCCTATCGGCTTCCCGTCTCACGGTTTCGCATCTTGGGTGAGGTTTTAAAACAAAGTTCGGAGGTTGCAAAAAGGGGCAGCCCAAATTCAACCGGGATGGACAAAATCCACATACATCCTCATGTTGACCTTCCCAGAGCCAACCCTTTTGGGGGGTCTTTTCCAACACCAACCTCGAAGAATTACCGCGAACATCAAACCCACAGAGGAAGACACTCTGTTGGTTTGAACCAAAGAGACGAATTTCTTCTTGAAACCCTTAAAGAGCAAATGTTGAAAATCCCACCCCACTAAAATACACTAAAATGGGTAGTGCACCTACCCCCAAATGGGATGCCATTGGCTTTGACCCCCACCCCCAACCCTCCTGGCGTGCGGATGGTGAGCGCGCCGGCCATGGAGGGCGGCAGCTGCTCGCAGGAGGCCAAGACCTCCGCCTGCACCGGGGACCGCCCCAGGAACTCCACGCGGCCCGTGGCCAGGTGGTAGATGCCGCCCTGAAACGGTCCGTCGCGCGTAGTGGTTGGGGGAGGCCATGTGGCTGTGGGTCAAAAACCCCTGGTACCATTTTGGGGTAGGTGCATTCACCAGCCATTTTAGTCTATTTTGGTGGGCTTGGTGTTCCCAGGGGGTACGGGAGTTGACCCATGGCCATGTGTCTTTATGAGGTCTCGCCAGAGGCCCCGCACAGCGGCGGGCCAAAAATACGGCCGGACTGTTGGCCCTTCAGTGCCGGGTTTTCTTCCTGCAACCATGTTGCGTTGGAAGAAAAATCACACACAGGCTGCGCGTTGAAATGAAGCACACATGCTTCGATTTAGCAACGCGCATGTTTGAGCAACACAACGCACACTTTAAACCGATTCCACGCGCGATTCCCGGCGCCTGGATTTCCAACTCGCCGGTCTTCACCATGGCGCGCAGCGTCTCGCCTCGGCTCTCGACCAGGTCCCCATTAACTATGGAGAGCCCATGGTGTGTTCACATCATGTACCGGGAGGGCAAGCTTCTGAACGCGTTGCATGATCGGCGGCAGCGACATGCAACCTAGCTAGAGTCTTAGAGGTTGCAAACAAAAGAGCCCCGGATATTGAAGAGTGGCTGTGCTGAATGAGGAAGTTCATGGAGTGGAAAACGTTGACCTTCACAGCGTGGCTGGCCAGCTCCTCCAAGCTGGCGCCGGGCGCCAGATCTTCGCTGGCCTTCTTGGCGACTGTGGTGAGGTCCATCAGCAGGCCCTCCAGCGCTGAGCCAGGAGCCTTGGCGCCCGGCGAGTTCATGAAGGTGCTGGCTGCGCCGGCGATGGCACCGCAATTGGTGTGGCCCAGCACCAGGATCAACCGCGACTTCAGCTTGGACACGGCGAACTCCAGGCTGCCCACCATGCTCCCCTCCGCGTGGGTGCACGTGTTTCCGGCGTTGCGCAGCACGAAGACGTCGCCGGGGACGGCGTCGAACACCGTGTCCACCGGCACGCGGCTGTCCGCGCAGCCCAGCACGGCGCTGTGGGGCGCCTGGCCGTGGCTCACCAGCGCCTGGCGCTGGGCGCTGGTCGCCGTCGGAGCCACGGAGGCGCCCACCGCGAAGCGGTCGTTGCCGGCCTTCAGCAGCTTCAAGGCCTGCCACGCGGGTCCGGTGCAGAGCCTCCCGGAAACCACGAGCCCAGACGGAAGCACCAAACACCCGCAGCCCGGCCCAGTGCCATGCAACAGCTCCATGGAGACACCAACCTGCAACTTTGCAGAAGCAAAAATGTCCGCTTCTCCAGACCTTCGAAACCTTTGGGCGTTTGGAACCCTATCCAGCTCAGCGCAGCAACTTGCAGGACGATGTGTTTACACATCAAGGTCAAGCAAGCATCTGCTACCTTGCCACACACATTTAAAGAAAGTCCTCTGTTACTATACATGTCATGCACAAACCGTGGTACGGACTGCTCACCGGCTCTGTGTGCATACAAGTTTTGCATCAGGCTGGAGCCTGAAGGTCATGGTATGGATTGCATGAGCGCAGAGGTGCTAAAGCAGCAGAAACAAGAAACCATCCCTCGTCCCACCACCCCCTGGCCGGTGAACCGCAAGGTTGCTCGAGCAATCACGAAGATGATCACAGCGAGAACAAGCCAAGACGCGGGACGGGTTCCAGTCACAAAGCTTCATTCTCCGTGGCGTTCCCCATTTCGGGGATCCTTCAAATTGTGCAAAACCCGGTGAAAACAGAATGGTGGTTGCGACAACTGAGAACAGGGAATCACAAAAAGTGGCACACTACATACATTATACATGTTCCACACCTGGCGGGGAAGGAAACCAAATGCCCCCAGAATCTCCACTCACCAGAAATTAAGAAAAGATGTATTTGCTTTTAGCTTTCCGTGAGATCCCCCTTCAAAACTGAAAAGTTGAAAAGGGAAGCAAGCAACCCACAGGTCTGGACCATTCAGAGCCACAAAGCCAAAGAGGCCAAAGAGGCATCAGCTCAAAAGCCCCCCAGCGCGCCCGGCCTCCGCAGCCGGAACGATGGGGTCCTCCGTGGTGCGCACTCCATGCTTGGCCTGCGCCGAACACGGCGTTGCTCAAGAAACTCCCGCGAGAAAAATACACCACACGAGGATTTGCTGGCGAGTCCTCAGCATAGGTGAAGATAGATGGCCCTGGTAGTTGATTGAACCACCGGGTAAACCAGGAATCGCCCTCTATTTTTAAACCAAATCAACTAAAAAAAACAATGGTCCTCAGCCTGTGAGTATAGTCAAGCTGTTTGCTTAGCGTGTGACCTGTCATTCTCAAGGCCAAGCCAAAGAGCATCTCAAGAACTTGAAAGAGAAATTTGAGTGTGTCTTTCGAGGCCCTGTTTGGGGAAATCGTTGCCAATGGAAACCAGAGGGAAACCTGTGGATATCCCATTTTGCGGGTTCCTGGCTTGAGAGCTTTTGAGGGCTCGAAACGGGTTCCTGTTCAAATACAAACCCATTTGGATCTGAGTCAGTTTAAACTGGGGACCCTTTGGTGGACACACCGGTTGGTAGCACGGTGAACCGGTGACAATCTCACGGGGTCCTAAAATGCTGGTGTTTAAAGATCCACACAAATGGTGTGCGTGTGAGTGTGTGTGTGTGTGTCTTTTTTGGGAACCCCCAGAACGGTGGCTGTCCTTTTAGTTTCCCTTGCACACATTTCACCCAACAGAGAACTGTGGTTTTCCCTTTCACAGCCACCAAAACAGGTACCAACTCAGAAAACGACAGGGGGCCACGCCTTTTCAAGCCGCCCGAGTGGTGTTGGGGTTTCCTCGCCTGCACGCTGCCAGTGGCGGACATGGAGGGCGGGAGGTTCACCTTGCAGGACAGCAGCTCCTGCTGCCGCGGGGAGCGGCCCATGAAGTCCACTCGCCCGGTGTCCAGCTGGTACACCGCTCCCTGGATCTCCACCTCGAGATGCGAAAACAAAACGGGGGACACCCCTCCCCCTTTTTGGTGGTTCGGGTGGCCTTCCCACTACCATGTATTAAATTTGTCATTTGTATGATTCAGAACCTGCTGCATCTATGACGTTATAGAACGTCGGCCTTCCAAGGCCAAGTCAATCTTCCCAAACGCAAACACACATGAAAACAGGCATACATAGGCACTCGTTGCAAGACCAACTGCCTTGGCGAGCGGAATCCCTTCCAGGCAACGCTTTAGTTTCTCCTCTCCCGCCTGGCCAGACTTCACCTTCTCCCGGATGGACTCCGAAAACTTCAGGAGGAAGTCGATGGTGTGGAACACGTTCACCTTCACCGCGTGCGCGGCCACCGCATCCTGCTCTGCGTGGGGGCCCATGTCATGCGCGGCCTGCTCCGCCACGCTGCCCAAGTCCTGCAGCAAGCCCTGCAGCGCCGAAGAGGTCGCTGCCGGCGGCGCCGTCTTCCCATCGAAGAACGCCTTCGTGGCGCCGTTGATGGCCCCGCACTTCGTATGGCCGAGCACCACGATGAGTCGGCTGCCCAAGGCACCTGTACAGAACTCGAGGCTGCCCACCATGCTGCCCTCCGAGTGAGTGCAGGTGTTGCCGGCGTTGCGCAGCACGAAGATGTCGCCGGGCATGGCATCGAACACCGCCCTTGGAGCAGAGCGACTGACGAACCACCGGTGCTTAAACACGTGTCTCTTGGCTGCGGCTCCGCCCTGTTTGCAGAGGGTCGATGGAAAGTCAGGAGAACTGATGAGCTTTAATTGTCCACAGGCATGCAACGAGAAAGCATGTAACGAGCGCCTTTGCTAGGTTGACTCTTTGTTACATTCATGTTCCACCGATCTTTCTGACGGTCACGCTCTTTGCACAACCCTTTTTACGTCTGTGCATTCGAGTGCGCGTGCAAGCTGACTCTGCGGCTAAAGCATGCTCTGCAAAAGTCTGCTCTTCAAGCACCCACAGGGCATCCACAGTCTGGGTGCATCCTGAAATGCAAGGACAGGCATGCAACCAGCTGCACAGGAATGTTGCGTAAGACATTGAACCGGTTGTGACATGATATGTAGCGAGCCGCATGAAACGAAGGGAGACGAAACGAGCCAAAGAAGGGCAGTCTTCCTACAAGAACATGTGTGTGACGAATGTCTTGTCACATAGTTGCCGCTCAAAGAAATCACTTTCGCAAAGCTATCGCGGACGACACAGTCACCCGCTCCACCTACTACAGTGAGCTTGATGCTTTGGCAGCTGACGCGAAGGGCGACAAGTCTTCCAAACAGTGTCAGATGAACATCTCAAGATCAATAGTTCATATGTATACATATATTAGAGAGGGAGCAAAAGATATGTACAAAGTCATGGCATATGGAATCCAGGACTCAACCAAATGTGGCCCCCCTTCCCCCAATGGCAAGTGGCTCCAGGGGTGCCCGCGAGTCCGCGCAGCCGATGATGGCCGTGTGGGGCGCTTGGCCTCGCATCCGGCGACACATTTTTTTTGCGCCGAAGGCACCCCCCAATGGCCCAACAACTCCCGGGGATCCCAAGACCTGAAATATCTTAACTTAGGGCCTTTGGCAAAAGACTACTGTGGATGGACGAAATCCTGCACCACCTAAGAAACCCCGGAATGATGAATCCCCTATAAATACCAACAAACAATGGTTTCCCATGGTTTCCAAGTGGTGCAGGATTTCGTCCATCCACAGTATGACTGCTTCTTCAGCCATGTCCAACATCCCAAGATTGGTAACAAAGCGGTGTTTGGGGGGTTCTAGGTTGGAGTGTACGTTGGGGCAAAGGTTGTGCTGGACTCCGGGTACAAAACATTCGACGCCTTATATCATTAACTTGGAAAAAACGGGACCCCTTGAGCCCTCGACCGTTGTGGGCCCATGAACCCTAGGCGAAATGGGGAAGGGTACCCTACAGCTTCAGGGTTGGCCGTTTGCCCAACCCTCAAAATCAAGGGGAAACACGGGACATGCCTTTTTGCGGATCCCATGTGGTCTTGCTGGTTCTCTGAAGGGAATGACGGAATGGCCCCTATAACAATACCTATATTTGGTTTCCTTTATAGGTCTTATAGGTTCATTGCCGAAATGCTGGGTCATTCCCTACTGAGCCCCAGCAAGTTCTGGTACATCCTGAGGGTGACCCTCCAATGCACACCCCTGGAGTTTCCAACAATTCCTCAAGGGCCCTCAACAACAACCCATCTTGAGGGCCCAAAATTAATCCACACCCTCAGAAATATACCCTTCCTCTCACTAATGGCACATCTGCGGAGGCACCTGATCAGTTTCCTCTTGGAGGGAGCCCGTCTCAGGTGCCATGTTAGTGCGAGAGAGGGTAGAATTCTGGACCGGAAACTGAGTCGCGCCTTGCTCCACCAAGGCCTTGCGCATGCTCGCATCGGTGCAGGCGCCCAGCATCTTGCCGCTGGCGAAGCGGTCGTTGCCTCCAAATGCCGGCCGCTTCGGCCGTGTCGGCCGCGAAAAAACGAACCGATGCTCGCCCAGGAAAGAGGGCTGCCTGTTGTTTCCTCCAACGCATGGGGCTTTTTGGGACAAAGGGCGGGAAAAAACGGGGCCTGAAGCAGGGGGCCCGTGACCTGCGGTGGACAAGCGCACTAGCCCAGCCTTGCCGGCGTCTCCCATACTGAAGCTCGGCTGTGAACCAGCCCCGTCTTCGGGAAAGCAAAGGGACGCGGGCTTTTTGTGGGCCAACTCCATACTCAATCAGAGAGGTTGAAAGGAAAACCCCTCCCCTTTGATCAAAAGGTGGCATGGTCAACTACTCAAACAATGAGGCCTACCAAACCAACTATCTATTCAAAAAAGGAAGGCTTCCTATCACAGAAGTGGGAAGCAATCCCTCATTCACTCAAAATTGCTGGTTCGCAGTAGGGAATTATAAAATAAGCCCTTATAAAGCCTCTAAACCATCCAACTGGTGGTTTCCTATCCCAAACAGTTCATTCTTCATTCCCACCCTGCCCAATACCCTCCCTCCAACAGTCATGGAGGCAAGGAGGGAGTTTCTTTGGGGAACCCCCCTGGTCACTTCCATGATTGTTGGAAAGAGGGTAAGGGACAAACCCACAACCCTGCTTCCAAAGAATTAGGTGTCTCGCGTTTTTTTGAGGCTACCCTTTTGGGGTGGACTTTTGTTATGGGACCCCGAAAGAACAACCGGTACGAGTTTTTGCCATATTGCAGGGTCCCCTTAAAGACATCTGCATGGCAACGACCAAAGCCCTCGTCTCACTTCCTGAGTTGATGGTCCAGAGAAAGTCCAAATTGTGCGTTTGCCACTTAAATTGTTTCCCCCCCACACTCTCCACCCCCACCCCCACCTCCACCCCACCCCCACCCCACCCCACCCTACCCCAGCCCGTTGCTCCGCTGGCCTTCCTTCAGGAGCTTCAGCGCATCCTTCGGCGGCAGCGGCCCATCTGCGGTGGTGCGCACCAACCGCTGGGAACCTCGCACGACCACAACGGGGTGTCTTCATCTGGGTGTGTCTTAACATGGGGAACCACCCCCGGCCCAAAAAAAACACAAAACGTGGGTGTCTCCCTCGCGGAGAAAAACCGCCCATCCTATTTGTTGGGATCCTGCTCACTTGACTACCGCCCTTTAAAACAAACCTCTCTTGGTATTGGCACCTGGTCCGAAAAAACACCCGAGTGCTCACCATGGTTTTGTGGGTTCCGCAGTCACTCGCGAGTCCCAATATTTCCCCCAGGATAGGTTGAGAACCAGCCGGGCCACAGGACTCGACCGAGAAAGAACCTAAGCCACAAATTTTGTGGGCGGTAAGCTTCATGTTCTCCAACAAAACCATCTGGGCCGTAGTGCACCAAACCAATCTAGCCTGTTGATCATGGAGCGGCTCCAAGAATAGAATCGAGCAACCTTCAGCCAGCCGCCGTTGGGTTCATGCTATGTTGCAGAACATCCCTCCATGTAATACCCCAGAAACGATTCCCTCGGAATCCCTGTGCCTGTACAAACGTCGGATGTGAGCGCTAAGACCAATAGAAGCAAACACTTTAAAAGTACCCTGAAATCATCAAGGGAAGCCAAAAGCCAACCAACCAAGGGAGGGTGCGACCTCTTTGGGGCAGCCCAGGATCCTCAGAAGCCCAGTAGTCGACAGCTTCGCACCCATTTTGGTCCCTGAGCTGAAACCAAAACGGGAAACCAGAGAGAAACCCAAAGGACATCAACCACTCAGAATTGCTCCTACAAAGTTAAAAATGACAGCGGAAAGCACCTGGCCTTTCCGAAAGAAGGCGGAGCAGCAGGTCTCAGGCATGGCTGGCTTTTTGACGGAAAATCCGGCAGGGAGGCTGTTGTCGCGTAAAAAATGCTGCGGAAGCAACAAGTTCTTCGTGAGAAAATCAAGGAATCGGAGCCTGGCTTTCAGAGTCATTGGCAGATCAGCGGCTCCAAAAGGATAATTGCCCCAACACAACCCCCAGTTTCTATCAACAGCTGCGATCCCTGAATTCCAACACTTCCTGCGACCAAAAGCAACGGCCGGTGCTGTCCGGCCTAGGGATTGTGTCCGCTGCCATCACCTAGGGATGTGAGGGTTTCTGCGAGGTCAGGTCTTGGATGCTCACAACTGGCGGTCGGATGTCACTTAAAATCTAACAACCCAAACCTGTCGGGTGGGTCGACATGTTTCTTGTATTTTTCAACCAGCACGGTTCCGGATCTGCTCCGGACCGGGTTCCGCTTCAAACATCACCCTTCCAAAAAAAAAAAATCTTCCCCATCAGCCATGGACCAAACAGTGAGGCTGCTCCCGCCTTAAAGGGGAATTTGTGCATCTCTCTTAACATGGACCCTTTCTTGGATGGTTTTTTTATAGGGAAACCAAAAGAAAATCAACCCACGTGTCTGCTCCCATTTTCGGACCTGCGGATCGGTCGCTCAGGTCGTCTTCAGGGAGAGACGCCATCCACGCGCCTGCGGCCGCGAAACACCGCCCACGAGAAGAGTCTGCCCAAGCCACAAAGATCCGCCGACCACAGACGGGTTCCGGCTTGCTGGACGCAAGAAATGCAGCTTTCCTCCTTACCTGTTACCCCTCGCACTCGGGGGCTGCGGGATGGATGCGGGATACAGTTTCGTAAAAGTATTGAGGTTTTCGATTCCGTCCTCAGCATCATGTTTCCATCCTCAGCATCACGTTCCCAAATGGCCAGGGAAATTGCAAACAGAAACCTAATTACAGGCCTCATCAGTCGCCCATTCATCACTTCTGGAAAAAATCAAAAGTGGAAATTGCAAACAAACCCCCTAGATGAAGAAAAGAACATGAACAAACGGAGGCAAACTAAACATCCCGAATCCCGACCCAAGTCTCGTGAGGACTTTCCAAAGGAGTAATGCAAATGAAAGAAAAGCAACAAGAAGCATCAGCAGGACAGAGCATCAAGCCACGTGAAAGAGCGCAAGCAAAAGCCAAACAGCAAGAAGCAGCAAGCAGGACAAAGTCTGATTTCATCGGTAGCGCCCCTGTCCATCACACACAGCTTCTTAGCTACTTCCATCGCTACAGGCACTGCGAATGTGAAACACATGTAAAAACATATTCGCCCCCACGCCCATCTCTGCGTTGCTACTGCTATTCCTGTCCTGTGGCAAAGAGACATGAACCAACGAGGTCAACAAAGATCCCTTCCCACATCGCGTTTCTCCTGTGCACATGCACAGTACCTGTAAGACCCATACAAGAAAGCAGGCGTGTAATGTCGACGGTCTGAGCCGGAGGCGTCAAATTTGCGAAGTTCCCCCAAGAGGACATGGACACATTGGGGCTCGCCCTCTCAAATGAACCATTGACAAATGGACGTTTCATGGACGTTTCTCCAAATAGGGTCCACTTCCTAAACTGGCAACAGTTTCATGTTTCTTTCCCTTTGAGTACCGAAACAGGGTCCCCAAAAGCCACTTTGAGAAACCCCCTATGATCTGAAACCTCACCCAGGCAGCCAACAGCTGGACGCCTCGTGACGTATGCTGCCAACACCGGGTTTGCAGCCAAGTAGGCGCGGAGGCTCGTCCTTCTTTCGCTCCCATTCGGGGGGAAACCACTCCCGGTGCACACAAGGCACGTGCAACCTTTCGGGTTTCTTACCCGGCTTTACCATTACCCGGCTTTACCACGGATGGTGTCCCCTCAACACCTCTCGTGGCTTCAGCATTGTTTCACGGAAGAAATCACCCAAAATCTGTGATACCATAGGATTGTCATCAACACTCAGCAAATACCCACGTCCCCAAAATCGTGGCACCTAAAATGCCCGTAGGTTTTGAGTCTTTGGTTGTTTGATGGACCTGCAGACCTCAAACAACTAAGGTCTGGGGACCCTGGGGATGGTTCAAAAAGCACATTGCAACAAAGAAAAAACGGGAGCTAGGCCAATCTTTGCGGATCTCCTCCGATCTGCAAGCAGCGTGGAATCCAGGAAGTGGTCCAGAAGCCTTCGGCGCGCTCTGGGTTTCTCAGATTTGGTGGCAGCCTAAACGAATTCTTCACCAGCAAATGGCAGTGGGTCGAAAGTAGGTACCCAAAATGGAATGGACTAAAGCCTGCGGATTCATATCCTGGTGGGGGGGGGGGTTCTTTTCGACCTACCCACCAAAGTCTTTACTCGCCGTCGCATCAGCTGTTCCGAGTTGCGGGCCCCGCCGCATCATGCGCCTGCGCCTGGCGTTGATTCGATTCTTTGACATCTGAGGGGGTGTTGATGCAACCTTCAGGCTTTGAGGGGACCCAGTTGGTATTTTTTACAAGCTAACATCCCAAGGTATGTCCTTTTTGAGACTGGAGGCGAACCAAACCGACACACACACACACACACGCCACACACACACACACCACACACACCACACACACACACACCCACACCCACCCACACACACACACACACACACAGTGTTCGAAACAGCTTCTCGTTTTTGACACCCAAGTTCAGCCAAGGGGCGCAGTCACGGAGATACCCCGGAGCCTCGGCGCTCGCTTGAGGTGACCTAACTGCCTTTTGCAGGTGTCCTTCTTGGGGGACCCTCAAGGCTAGTGCTGGGCGCTTCCCCACAAGCAGGCAACCATGATGGGAGCCCCTTTCAGATAAATGAAGCTTACATCTTTGAAAGTCCCTCATTTTCGGCAATGAGAAGGGATGGTAAACCCTGGTGCCCGAAACGGGGTTCCTGCTCCGGAAAGCCAAGCACTGAACTGCAAACCCAGGTGCTGGGTACAGCCCTCGACCAGGCACCAGTCCTAAGGGCGGGAGGGGTTTCAAAAGGCGTCATGGTCGGTTTGGGGGTTCCCTCCCTCAAAAGGAGCGCACCAAAAGAGGGCCAGACAGACCGCCTTCCTTTTGTTTCATTTCAAAATGTCGCAAAAAACACCAGGACGATATGGTTGGTGCGTGGGTTCCCAACTTCAAACCAACAAAGAAACACACTAAAGTACAAGGAGATGCAGGGCCAGGCCGAGACCCCTGCAAAAGCTTGATTCTTGCTGGTGGAAAGGTGAAATGAAGGAGCACCAAACAGGCGAAAGGCCGATCCCCTCCAAATAGAACTTGGTGTAGGGTATGATGCGCGTCCTTGATTACAAAAGTTACGGAAAGGTAAGCCCTTTTCAGCTTCACTCTGATTGGTGGTTAAGAACTAGGTATTCAATTCGAACCACCAATCCAAACCACCAACCAAGGATTACCTGATCTTGGAAGGAAAAGAAACGGGCCAGTCCTCTTGGAAGCGCTTCCTCGTCCACGGTGTCTAGACTTTCCTGCACTGACCTGAACGCTCCAGCATAACAGCCGCGCGGATCACCACAAGTAGAAAATCGATGCAACCCTTATTCAGCTGCGCCCGTTGACATGGACTCAGTTGCAATGCTTTATGTGCGCCTTACCACGATCCCAATTAAACCTACTAAAAGGGCCAATAAGGGTTTCGGCCACTGCTCAAATGTACCCTCGTGCATTGGTCATCTTCAGGAACGGCTCGAACCTCACCGCCTACGAGATCCCCAGGGCAATGCCTGGGCATTGCCCCACCAGTCTTCGGGTCTTTCCAACGAATGCATGAAAAAACGACTATCAGACGCCGCAATGTCGGGTGGCCCAAAATGCTTGTGGCTTCAAATTCATTTCCACATCTACCAGGGTGACACATTCGATATGTTTCTATAATTTGGTTCAACGAGCGTCCCATGCTAGGTCCTTCAGTAGAGAGGTTGAATAAGGGTACTCTTGTTTTCTGTAATCTATTTTGGTAGGGGAACCCTCCCCAAAAAAGGGGTGAGAAAGGGCACTACTGGGACACCTAGCATATGTCCGCAGCGGAGCCCATTCTCTCCTCCGCCTCAGCCCCAAGCTCCGTCTCTCCGGGAGACAAGGGCATGGCCTCGGAGACACATGTAAACCTCCGGTGACTTTTATGTGGCCAAACGACCAGTCCCTTGGCCTAGCTTGTTGGGCTAGGGTCGCAGACCTTTCTCAAAAGGCACCCCCCCCCTCTCCCCGGCCCGGCCGGCCCCCCAAATGGTGGGATTCTTTGGTTTCCCTGTTGAGACAAGCCTCAAAAACAGAGGCACCCAATATCTCCAGAGGTAACTAACCTCTATGTGTAGCAGCCTGAAGTGAGCCTTCCGGGTTCGAGGGGCAACGTCCCATGTTCCTTCTTTTCGGAAACCACCAAATATGCAAAGAAGACAGCTGATTGTTGGGTTAAAAAGTAGGGAACCAACCCCCAGAAGACCCTCCCACGCAACACAGTTCCCCATATTTCCCCTGAACACATCACCCCCAAGGGAAACTCACCTGACATGGGAATCATTTGCGTGGACCCCCAAATGGTCCATACACAGAGTATTAGAGTGTCCGTGCATGCAATCAAAACATTGGGGTGGTCACGAATGGAATTAAGAACTAAGGACGGCAGATCCTTTCGTTCCCCCAACCTTCAGCTTCCGTAATTGGTGGTTTGGAGGCAACGGCGGGCGGTTTTCCCTTTGCCCTCCGTTGAACTTGCGCATCGCCACGGCGAAGCGCATCCCGCCTCCGGAGCGGGCCATAAGGGCCGCAGCGAGAGCTGCAGCCACCGCGAGACATAGTCTCGGCATGCGAGCGGCTCCGGTTTCCAATGTGAGCAGTCGGTGCTTGGTAGTTGCAAACTCACTTGATATAAATCCGAGAATTATGATGTTCAGCTCCCCTGCTCCGTGGATTATTGTCGTTTTGCCCACCCTTCGCCATGTAAGGCTGAGTCCCAGCCCTGGGTGTCCTTTGCTTTGAACAGCAAAATGGAATCTCTGACACACTTAGCCCTTCGTAGTTCTTCGGGTTTCCTACCTAGGTATTGCATGATGGTTTGCCCAGGCGCCCCTGGCTACCTATCTGGGCTACTCTCAGATCTCCCGCTCAAAGTTTAACTTTTAGTATCTTTTAGTGGGTTAGATGGAATCTACCACGAGGTAAAGGGGAGGAAAGAAAGGAGTCCTCTAAGACTCAGAGGACTTGCCGGTTTACTGGAGAAGCTGATCCTCCTTTTTCAGATGCAATACCGCCATCTTCAGAGAATCGTGTTTTTGCATGGAGTTCGCGTTTGGAAGATTTTCCACAATGTAAAATCCGATCAGTGCTTGTTAAAGGCTAAAAGGCTAAGAAACCCCCCCAACCCCCCCAGTTTGTATCCAGATTCATCCAAAGCCATCGAGACCACATGGCTTGGTCTCTGATGGTTGAAGAGAAGGGAACCAGAAGAATCCCTTCATATTCCCCACTTCCACGACATCCAGCCAGAGGTAACCAGAGGAAAACCAGCGTTCGAGAGGTCAGAGAGCAATAATGTTGACCCCGTATCAATCAAGCCCTGTGATTCCCCGCTAAACCCGGGGACACCCCCTGTGAATAAACTGGGGTTGATTGATATGGGGGTCAACAACAATGGGAACTGAACGCACTGAGATGAATATGAAGCAAGGAACAACTGCAATCACTTTTGAGTACCAAAAAAGCAACAGCCAATAAGGGACCGTCGGAAACGAGATACCCTGGTGACATTCTCAACCAAGGCCTGCCCAAACTGATACCCTCGGATTTCCGCTAAAGGGCAGCGATCGTCTCATGCACAAAGTCCACTTCATGGGATGTCTTAACATTGGGACCCTTTGTTGGCTGAGTTGTTCAACAGGAAACCAAAAGCGCAACTTTTGGGGAAGGCCCGCTTTTCAAAACGGGCAGGGCGTCATGTTGACCATTAAATGAAGCCCGAGACATGTCCCGAAACCTTCGCCAGAACCTCCCGAACCCAGGGACCTCGAAGAGCCTCTTGAATTGACCCTTTACCATCCTCCTGTCGCTGTGTCGCTGGAAAACTGGTGACCCACCCCACCCCCGCCCAAAAAACCCTCAATGGCCCTGACCCCAAGCCTAAAACCGAGGCCAGGCGCCCACGTCCATGCAAAGCTTCTGCAGCTCCCCTCCCGGCGCCCACAGCCTCGCATCCAGGGATCCTCCAATGCTTAGTAACCAGAGGGGTAATCCAATGCTTAGTGACCAGTCAATGAGTATTTGGGGAAAAATTCTGGAAATCTCTGGAAAAGGCCCAAGCTAAACGTGGCCATGGTGTCCTCGAGGGAATTGTCACAGCGATTCCCTTGCCGGGACGGCTCAGGTTCCTCCAGCTCTTGCCGAGTCTTCCCCACATTCTGGAAAAATGGATTTTTGGTGGTCGAACTCCAGCTACATGAGCGCCTGTTTCACCCATTGCACTAAGATGGCTATGAACCGGGCTTTATTATAACCCCCGTGAAGCCAGGCCACCGAACCTACGAACCTACCAAAAATGGCCCCTTCGGGTGCGCATGTGGCCGGGTCTTGGATCCACCGAATCCCGGGCCTGTCGGCCTCCGCATCATCCTCGCAAGCCACGCCTCAGGATCTCAGGATGGGGGGCCCCTCTCAGTCCAGGCGTTGCACCACTTCAACCGTAGCAAGCCGTGTAAATGTAAATCTTAAGACCTGGCAAGTTGCAGGAAGCGTTGCAGGTCTGGACGCGGGCTCGTTGATTTCGCGTCCGGCTTCTCTCTTGGCTTCCCTACATGTGACAACTGTGGTTTTGGATTCCACCGAAATCTGCAGAGTAGATCCTTCACACGGGGGACTTGTTTAGACGACCGCATCACTAGGCCCGCAGCACAGCAGCGCACAGCCTGTCTGTGGGGGGTCGCGACCTGCACACTTCTCCGTGGGCGGCTGACGTCTCTGGCATTGAATGTCTCCTCTTGCAGTCCTCAAACATCAACCCACCCCAACATGGAACGGTTGGATTGCTGATTGAACATATGAATATGTATACCTTCATGTTGGGTGAATCGGAAGAATTTGAATCATCCCTCCCACCGACCAACATGGAACCTGACTGGAGGTCCCACAATTGTCCTGCCGAAGAAAGGGATTTGTAGTGGATTCCAAGTTCGTCTGAGGGCCGGTACACAGAAAAACAAACATCGCAACGCAGCAAGCAAATGCCCAGCACCCTACGCCGAGACAAATGACAAGCGCACACTTGCTGGCAGGGCCACCCAGCGACGAGAAGGGCGTGTTCACGATGCGATAGCCTGACAGCCCCGCTCGGGGCTCACAAACAGGTGTCTTCGGCGGGCTTCCTTCAAACCAAAGTGAAAAGCGCCAAACGACACGCTTTGAGATTCCCGAGGAAGGAAGCCACGTAAAGTCGACGTCGAGTTTCGCAAACTCCATTTGACACACAATCAAAACCCGGTACAAAAGTGGTCGACCCAGAACCATGTAAAGAACTAAGAAGGCGGCCGCAGCTATTTATGGCTGGGATCCTCCCTTACTAACCTTCACTTACTCTGGTTTTGATTGTGGCTTATTTTAAATTATAGACCTTTGGATGGGTCCACATTGGACTGTTTGGACCAAATCCGAGGCAGCCGAGCCTGTCTCGCGCTCGTAGAAACCTGCAAGGCAAGCATTCATCCCTGGTGCAAAATGGATTTTGTCCATCCAGAATGTCACTCACAAATCCTGCTTCGCACTGTGGCGAATGCCTTTCGGAACTATTCAAACCAATTCAAACCAAGCCGCAAGGGACGCTCAAAACCGGGGAGGCCCAATTGAGTAAGGGCGGAACTAAAAAATTGGGGGTGTGGGGGTGGGGGCTCACCCAGAAGGAGATCCCTCACAGGCGATCAAAGGAACTCACAAGTCAACGGAAACCCAGGGAAACATGGGTTGAAAAATGCCACCAAAGGAGATCCATCTCTTGCATAGTGACATCCTCCAAAAGATCCCTCTTGGCTCAGGGAGCCATTCTCTCCCGAAAGCAATCAAATGAGAGTTTGGTTCCCTCAAATGCCAGCCGACTTCAAGGGACTCTCTTCAAATGCATACTATATATCCTATGTATGTGGTTGCTTTATTTGTGTTTATGTTTCTTTGTGTTCGTCTTCTTCTTCTTCTTCTTCTTCTTCTTCTTCTTCTTCTTCTTCTTCTTCTTCTTCTTCTTCTGCCGCCCTCAAACTCACACCCACTTTTCCCCAGGTGAAAAACAAGCTCCGGAGTGAGGGATATCACCTGGGCGTTTCTTGGAATTTAGAAAAAGGCACATGGAACTTGTCCGTCCCATGACCCGAACATATTTGAGGTCCTTTGCCAAAGCCCCTCAGATGTGAGGTCTTGGGATCTTAAGGTACTCTCTCTCTCTCTCTCTCTCTTTTGGGGGTTGGGCCTTTCAATCTGCCCGAAACCATCGAGCAATTCCCAGCCTGGGAGCTCTCCCCGTGGCACGTCCAGCAAGGCCACCTGGCCTCAGAACTCCCGCATCGGATCAATGGGGATCAATGGGGATACAGGTTCCTGGCGCTCCTGGACTCCTGTTCTTTGGGGGGTTTCCGGGGCGGACTAGGATGCAGGCAACAAAGCAGGAAGACTTTTGTGCTCCCCCCTCCTGTGTGGTTTTGGGATCCACAAATTTAAATCAATGCGGGCGGGAAAACAAAGCACCCTGTGACTCATACCCTTATGAATCAGAAGCTTTCCCTTGAAGGCAAGAACATCCGCACAAGAGACTGGGAAATAACCGGGTGGGCTACCAGCAATCAGTGACTTACCAGGGTTCAACATAAAAAGAAGCCAAGCGAGTGGCGTCCAACTTCCTTTTCTTCTGCTTCTGTCTGAGTTTTTGGCCGCCTGCTCAGTAGCTTAAATGGCCAAGTACCAACCGAGGTTGGCGATGTCGGCGCCAAGAGGACGGCGCCACACGTCCAAAACGTTAAAACTAAACGTGGATTCGCATCCGAAAATGGCAATTTTCAAAGCGGCGCAGACAGGCCGGAGCCCGCGAATTCAGTCGGAAAAAAAGAGGCCGCGTGCATGGGGAAAAAGCCGAGGATCCTTGAGAAGGGTCCCATGTTTCTTTGGAGGATTTCATCAGCTACTTCTTGATGGATGGGGGCAGGGAGGCACCAGACCGCAGGAGCTGGGCGTGGTTCGGGCTTCGGCCCAAGAACTCCACCTTGCCGCTCTCCAAGTCATAGACGCCGCCCTGGATGTCCACTTCGCCCGAGCTGACCTGTCAACGTTCACTTGCGAAGACATCTCAAGAGGTGTCTCGATGTCACAGTCTGGATTGTTCAAGGATCGAATCATATCTATGTAATCCTAGTCTGTAATCCGTAGTGCACCACAATACACCAGAACGTGGCACGAAGGAATCTTTTGGCCCAACCCAGAAATTCACGAATGCCCTCTGCAGGACGCAGGACACAAGCCTTCTCTCGGACAACACCGCTGTACTGAAGCAGGAAGTCGATGGTGTGGAACACATTCCTTGGCATGAGCCAAAATCCGGTTGGAGAGAGAAGGACAAAAACAAATGCCCTACTTCTTCGTAAGGTCGCCCGACTCCATTTGGTATGTGCAGAAAGAGAGATTGCCAAATCCCCTCCCTTCATTACCGCAAACGCACCCTCCTCTGTGCTCTCCCCGTCCCCCTCTGTGTGTGGCAGTGTGGCCGTTTGCAGTCCCTCGTGTGTAAAGGCCCTTTAACTTTGGATCAATCTGGACCATATCAAGAGGAGTCCCCCCTTAAGAATGGATCCCAGGGGGAAAAGGGTCCCAATGGTAAGTAGGGTTGCGCGTTCTGTGACTCAACCTCCCCCCCACTGAAACGAGGACCACGCACGGATTTTGGTGCTCCTCCCTTTACTCGGCAGCCCGTCAGCCCGTCAGCCCGTCAGCCAGGCGTCAGCTTCACGGAGAGGTCGGCGATCCGCTCCTCCGAGGCGCCGCTGCCGAGCTGGGCCTCGGCCTTGCCCGCCACCACGCTGAGGCCGTTCAGCAGGGCGTCCAGGGCCTTGCTGACCTAGCTGAGAGCTCAGGAGCTCATGGGGCACCCATGGGTCCCATGGCAGTTTTTCTGTAACCCCACCTGAAACTCAGGGGTTCCTCGAGTCGAAGTTAGCCAGTTCAGTGGTTGAAAGGGAAACACGCTAGTTGCCGCCTTTGAAGCCCCATCAAAATCGATTGCCAATAGAAGCCAATTGTCGTTTTGTACAGGGTGTCGTTCCCTTGGCTGCAACCCTACGTCAGATGGTTGAAAAACATGGAATCCTTCTGGGGCTGGATTTCCCATGCCAATTCTAAGTCCCCGGCCTGAGGGGCCTTGCCCGCTTTGGAGGCCATGTAGGCCTTGCGGCGTCCAAATTCGGAGGTGGCGCAAAGGCGCTTGAAGGCCGCGCCTTTTTGGGGGGTGCCCGGTGTGCCCCTTGCGGTGTGCGCCAAAGGGAAACCCATCCCAGTTGGACTCCCAAAGGACTTAGTTACTCACCTGCAAGTAACCAGCGATGGCCGCAAGGGTCACGTCTCCAGCCTTGGTGGCGCCCTTGATGGCTCCGCAGCTGGTGTGGCCCAAGACCAAGATCAGCTTGCTGCCCAGGGCCGCTGTGCAGAACTCGAGGCTGCCCAAGATGCTGCCCTTGGTAAATCGAAACGCGAAATCTGTTATTTGACAAGTGAAACTAGCTCCGTAAAACGGCTCCCTTCCAACCACCAGCTGAGGAATCCCCAAGCAAGGGCTCGTTTTTATTTTCCTGCCTCTGCGTGGGTGCAGGTGTTCCCGGCGTTTCGCAGCACGAAGATGTCACCAGGCATAGCGTCGAAGACAGTCTCCTGGCAGCAAGTGAGTCACAAGTCTTCTTAGATTCTTAGTGCTTTGCATAATTTTGCCCCTAGACGAATACGCAATATCTTTAGCTGTTCCACCCGAGCACAAACAGTGAAAGGTTGTAATTTCGGAGCAACCAGGACTACAAAAGACGTGGACGACACAAGCGATATCTACCCCCGAAATCAGTCAACTCTGATTGCCCTGACATCAGCACGCACCCACAAGACCCTATGCCAGACCTCTGGCGATGGGAGAAAAAACGGAGCACCTGTGGGTGTGCACTCACATCCCGCCGCAAAAACATCGGACCACAAAACATCCAAAGACAACCAAACTCTAGGAATCCCCTTATGAGACATAGACCCAACCTTGGGTTGCTTCTGTAGGGGAATCCTCGATTCAAGCAAAGCTTCACACCGGGGTCTACGCTCCGAGACCCGCAAGTTCAACTCAAACTGGGCAAGGGAAGGAAACTCCATTCCCTATGCAAACTCCTTGCCTTTTGGCAACTGGCCTGTTTATGCAAAACCAAGCTTCGGTCTCAATTGTGAGGGAAGCCTCCAAGTGGATTTCTTTTGGTTTCCCTTTCCAAAACTACCCAAAAAGGCAAAATAGACCTTGACCCAGCGTCCCAGCTTCTCGGTCTCCCCCCTGCCCCCGCGCCCCCCCCGCGGCTCCAGCGGTGCGCGGGAGTCCGCGCAGCCCACGATGGCCGTGTGCGGGGCCTGGCCCTCAACGACCAGCGCCTTCCTGGCGAAGAGACTCGCCAGGACTTCCCACGGCAGGCTATGTTTTTTGTTTTTGTTTTTCTTTTGGGGGGGGGGGAAGGCATCTTGGTTTGCCGGTTTTTGCTTTTTTGTTTTGTGTGTGTGTCTGTGGTTTTAAGGAGAACCCGAAAGAAACACCACTTTGGGTGTACAGTAGAAGTTTGTTTGGGCCTTTGGACAAGATTTTGGCGGAGACAAAGAAGACCACCACGCATTTGGGAGAGAACATTCTTCATTAGAGCTTATCAAGATGGAAACCAACAGGACGCCTGCCATCTTTGGGGGATGACAAATTCCTATTTTGAGAAACACCCCCACATTTATCTTGGTAGTGATGGCATCAGCTTTTGGTTGCCAATTTCAAGGGAGGTTCCTTGCGGAATGATGATTGGAGAATGTAAAGGCTTACCCTAGAGGCCCCATGCCCCTCCCAAATGAACTGCCTTGCCGACAACAAGGGTCACCTAGTGCATTACCCCATCAAAAGAACACTCACGTTCAATGTGTGTGTTCACGGGGGCAGATCTTCAACATCACCAAGACAACCCAACTTTCAAGAAGCACGAGCTTACCAAAAAGGGGCAACCCCCCCCACCCACCCACCCACCCACCCACCCACCCACCCGCCCGCCCGCCCGCCCGCCCGCGCCGCCCGCCCGCCCGCCCGCCCGCCCGCCCGCCCGCCCGCCCCGCCCGCCCGCCCGCCCGCCCGCCCGCCCGCCCGCCCGCCCGCCCGCCCGCCCGCCCGCCCGCCCGCCCGCCCGCCCGCCCGCCCGCCCGCCCGCCCGCCCGCCCGCCCCCACCCACCCACCCACCCACCACCCACCCACCCACCCACTCACCCAGCAGCTTTCACCCCCTTCGCCTCATGATGGGCGTGACCTTCCCGGCGATGGCCGTGCCGTTGGTGAAGCGCTGGTTGCCCGCCTGCAGCAGCTGCAGCGCCGCCTCCGGCTTCACAGGGCCGCTGCCTGGCGGCGTGGGCGGCGTCTCTTTTGCTCCAAGCCCTGGGCTGGACCCCAAACCTCAATTCCAGGTGTCCCGCGGTCCAAACTCCAACATTTCAGGGTGAACCTCGAAACTCGGAATTCCAAAATTTGGAACGAAGGACACTTTTGGAGGACACAATGTTTCCCAAAAAAGTCTCATGTTGAGCCCCATGTTGGAGACTTTTTGAAGGACTTTTTTGGAGCCCCGTGTTGAGAGGCTTCTGGGGCCCAACATGGGGAAACCGAGCTTTGAGGACAAGCCTTGTGGCTGTGCCCTTTGACTTGCTGCTGCAAAATCGGTAGGGAATGTGGTAATGAACCGTTTGATGGAAAAACCACCAGTTGGATGGTTTTTACAGGGGTCATTCCCTGACTCATTCCCTGCTGTGTTTACGGTGCAGGAAACGGTTGGGGGTGGAAAAAAAAGCTGGGTCCTCTGTTACACAGTCTGATGACCCAAGGAGTGTGACAAATGATGGGGCAAATCGAATGATAAGAAGCAAACAAGCCAATACCATCCCTTTCCCCACACCCATCTCCATCTCAGAAACGTTTTGACTTCTGTTCAAAAAAACTATGAAGCTTAAGATAGGACCTTCCTATAGCCTCATTGCACTACGACCCAGACCCAGCAGGGAGGAGAACCGCTGAAGTCAATGCTCGAGCTGAAAATTCAGTGGGTGTTGACTCGCCTTTTGGACCACACCCCAAGGGAAACGTGGAAGGCCCCCGTGGTCCTCCAGTTTTAAATGGGAAGCGTGGACATGGCTAGTTCCCTGGTTTTAATGAGATTTAGAGCTCTCCAGCCCCTTCCAAATGGACCGAAGACCTCAAATGGACAAAGGGTCAGGGCTGGGAGAGTGGGCGCCTCTGCATCTCCAAGTGCGCAAAACAACCAGAATGACTCAGACCCCCTATCAAGGCAACCCCCCCCTGCCCAAAGCTCCCAGCTGCGCAAGTTCAACCCTGAACCTGCGATGTTAAAACAAACTTACTTCCTCATTTTAGTCTCAGATGCTCCCACCTGGATGTGCGCGTGTGTGGAGCACCCCTTGTTGGGTGTGGCTCAAAGAGAACACAAAAGGAAACCGCTGCCGTTGTGGGGCTCCAGAAGCCAAAAAATATCCCGCCGAAGCCGAATTCCTCCCCCCCCGCCGAAGAGGTACGCGAAGAGGCGATCGATGGATCGGCCTGGCGTGCGGATGGGCAGGGAGGCCATGGAGGGCGGCAAGGCGCTGGCGGAGGACAGCAGCTCCGCCTGCACCGGGGACCGCCCCAGGAACTCCACGCGGCCCGTGGCCAGGTGGTAGATGCCGCCCTGGACGGCGACGGGGGCGGACGCCGCGGATGGATGGATGGGTCGGGGGAAAGGGGGGGGGGATTTGGCACAGAGCCGCCCCTTTCTTCGGTAGATGCTGGGCACAAAATGGTTTTTTGTTTTGGCGGCCTCAAAACCTGATAATTCCCCGACAGCTGAAAGCTTTGGGGCCTCAGTTTAGATAGGCTCCGGGGTGGTCCGGGGTGGTCCGGGGCGGGCCTGAGGGTTCCACGAGGGTTCCACGAGGGTTCCACGAGGGTTCCACGAGGGTTCCACCAGGGTTCCACGAGGTTCTGCGAGGGCTGCGGGGTGGTGCGAGCACTAAAAAGAGCACCGCACGCTGGGGATATCACCTGAGATCTGATAGCCGAATAGGGATCGGGACTCTATGAATGGCTGGAACAACCTGAACATCTGTGTCAAAGGGATCTGGACCCCATGTTTAGGGTGGTGCCAAGGAAATTAATCGAAGCAAGCCCTGCCTGTTAGAGGGACCTGAAAAAAAGTAAGGTGCATCCTGAGTTTCTGACCCTTATAAGGTTGGCCAAACACCGTTAATGTGGAATCAGCGCACCTGGGCAAACCTCCAGCGGACAGGAAGGAATTGCCAATTCTGGAACGATGAGGTCTGTCATTGTTGCTACGTGCCTCAACACGCACCAATATGTGCCAAGCGAACCGTGACTCCAACACAGCACTGCCAATGACAAACATGACATGCTCCAACACAATCCAGCAGTAAGAACCCAACATGGCCTTTCCGTTGGCAAGACTCTAGAGATGAGCGCTGCTGTCAAGTCGAGCACGCTTTTTTGGGGGGGTGCAGGACGCTTTTGGAGGTGCATGGCGAAGAAAACCGCTCGAAACCTGCCGCGCCTGGATCTCCAACTCCCCAGTCTTCACCATGGAACGCAGCGTCTCGCCTTGGGACGTATGGAAGCACGGCGCCGATCGGCGACCCGTCGCCGATGCTTGCAGACAACGACTGGCTCCGATAAACTGCTCATAAGTTCGAAACCAGACGATTGCATCGAGCGACTGTGCTGAATGAGGAAGTTCATGGAGTGGAAGACGTTGACCTTCACGGCGTGGCTGGCCAGCTCCTCCAGGCTGGCACCGGGCGCCAGCTCCTCACTGGCCTTCTTGGCGACTGTGGTGAGGTCCATCAGCAGACCCTCCAGCGCGGAGCTTGGGGCCTTGGTGCCCTGGGAGTTCATGAAGGTGCTGGCCGCGCCGGCGATGGCGCCGCAGCTGGTGTGGCCCAGCACCAGGATCAACCGCGACTTCAGCTTGGACACCGCGAACTCCAGGCTGCCCACCATGCTCCCCTCCGCGTGGGTGCACGTGTTTCCGGCGTTGCGCAGCACGAAGACGTCGCCGGGGACGGCGTCGAACACCATGTCCACCGGCACGCGGCTGTCCGCGCAGCCCAGCACGGCGCTGTGGGGCGCCTGGCCATAGCTCACCAGCGCCTGGCGCTGGGTGCCTGTGGCTGGCTTCCTCGCGCCCGCGCCCACCGCGAAGCGCTCGTTGCCATCCTTCAGCAGCTTCAGCGCCTACCGTGCGAGGCGCTTGCAACGACTTGCTTCAACTCCCTACTTCCTTCCTTCCCGATACCTCCCAACCCTCCCCGCTTGCCAACGCCCCTGCCTCCAGGCCAGGCACGATGTCGTCCGCGGTGGTGCGCACACCGTGCTTGGTCGGCACGCCCACGCTGCCCGCAGTGGACATTGAGGGCGGCATGCCCACCTTGCAGTCCAGCAGCTCTGCTTGGCGCGGGGAGCGGCCCATGAACTCCACTTTTCCAGAATCTAGCTGGTACACAGCGCCATGGATCTCCACCTGCCCAGATTTCACCTTTTCTCGGATGGACTCCGAAAATTTCAGAAGGAAGTCGATGGTGTGGAACACGTTCACTTTCACCGCGTGCGCGGCCACCGCATCCTGCTCCGCGTTGGGGCCCATGTCAGCCGCCGCCTGCTCTGCGACGCCGCCCAAGTCCTGCAACAAGCCCTGCAGCGCCGAAGAGGTCGCTGCCGGCGGCGCCTTCTTCCCATCGAAGAACGCTTTCGTGGCGCCGTTGATGGCTCCGCACTTCGTATGGCCGAGCACCACAATGAGTCGGCTGCCCAAGGCACCCGTACAGAACTCAAGGCTGCCTACCATACTGCCCTCCGCGTGAGTGCAGGTGTTGCCCGCGTTCCGCAACACGAAGATGTCACCAGGCATGGCGTCGAACACGGCCCTCAGAATGCGCGATCCACTGCAACCCTGGAGGCTCTACCCTGCTCCAAACAGTTTATGCTTAGCTTTACCCCCTTCGCCGCACCTTGCAAGGGCAACCCTAGGATTGGATTGTTTGGCCCGTTTGCTTCCACCCTGACAAGCCGATTCCACCCACAAAACTTGCGCGTTGTTGTTTGCAATCAACAATTTGGAGGGAAGACTTCGCGCGGAACCCATAGCTTGTCACAACTGGACGGTTCGCATAGACACCCCCACAGAAGCAACGAAGGGCTAAGCATTCGACGCCGCAGGCTGCAACAACGCGAATTAGCCCAGGTATCAGTAGAGCCACCGAGTCGGTGGGCGGAAGTTTCAAAAAATATAAGAACTATAGATTTGTGTCTTTCTCGCTTTCTCTCTTTCTGGTCCTCTCTGTCTCTTGCTAGTTCTCTTTATGTTCCTCTTTATCTTCTTTATCTTTCTCTTTCTCTGCTTTCTGTGTCTCGTTTTCTGTCTCTTTCTCTTGCTCGTCTCTCTCCTGCTATCTTTATCCTTTACTATATTTCTCGTTCGCTGTATCTCCTCTTCATTTGTTCTTTCTCTTTCTCTTGTTCTATCTATCTATCTATCTGTCTGTCTATCTATCTGTCTGTCTATCTATCTATCTATCCATCTATCTATCTATGTATCTATCTATCTATGTATCTATGGATCTACCTACCTATCTACCTACCTACCTACCTATCTATCTGTCTCTATCTAGCTAGCAGTCTATCTAGCTATTTATCTAGCTAGCTAGCTAGCTAGCTATCTTCCTACCTATCTGTCTATCGATCTATCTATCTATCCAGGCATCCATCCATCCATCCATCCATCCATCCATCCATCCATCCATCCATCCATCCATCCATCTATCTGCCATTTCTGTCTGTCCATCTATCCAAACAGCTAGCTATCCGAATCGGTCTAAAGTATATGTTCATCTATTTATCTATCCGTTCCATTTGTTCTATCCTTTCAATTCTATTTATCTATCTTCTACCTATCTATCTATCTATCTATCTATCTATCTATCTATCTATCTATCTATCTATCTATCTATCTATCTATCTATCTATCTATCTATATGTCTGTCTGTCTATCTGGCTATTTAGTTGTCTATCCATCAAGCAAGCAATCTATCTATCTAGCTATTTACTTGTCTAATCATCTATCTATAGATGTTGCCTCAGGCGCAGCACCTTTTGCAAGGTCAGCTACAGACTTCCTGGCAGGGTGGTTTGGTGAGACGCTCAGCACTTTCACAAAGTTAGGTACGCACGTCGTGGCAGGCGCAGCGCTTACAGAAGAAAGATAAATAGATTGACGGTTAGAGAGATGAACAGCTAGATTCTTGTGAGCTTATAGAAGATAGAAAGAAAGCAAACGTAAAGAGATACATAGAAAGACTGATATAAAGGATTCCTCAAAAAAGTCATACCCGCCCAAAAAACGCGGCCCACATCCCAACAGACCAAAACAAGTCCTGAGTCTCTTCCATACTTACCCAACCGTAAGATACACAACTAAACCGGTTTTTCCCCAACAAATCCAAAGAAAACAACCTGCCTCAACCAAACGGGCTCTCTCAAAATCCCGACGTAGCCAACAACCACAGGGGCCCACGGGGCGCATCGAAACCCGCCCAAGGCGCTCCAGGGGCGCCCGCGAATCCGCGCAGCCGATGACGGCGGTGTGCGGCGCTTGACCTTGGGCCCCGGTTGGGCATCCGGTGCTTCTCACTTGAGCGGATTGGCCCCAAAACAAGTCCAAAGGAAAAACAAACAACAGTGATATGCAGCCACTAAATAGACATTGGGATTGGCAAAAAGGGTGCTAAGTTTAAATTTGCCAGTAAAATGGTTCAAAACCAGAAAGTTTAAAGTGCATGGACTCAGGAAGCGAGCTTGCCTGTCTCACTTCCCATCGAGCGGAGCGGCCAAAAACAGTGCTGGAACTGTTTATTCCAACAGTGTGTCTCACTTACGACCGAGTGGCAAAAAAAAGTGCTTTAAAACTGTTTTTGCTCACCGACATGGTCCAATCCCGAAAAGTGACAAAGTCCGGGAACCCGGGAAGCGTGCTTTTTGGGGGCGGGGTCGCTCACTGGATGTCCCAACTTCAGTTGCAACGATCGATCCACTTTTGGAGGTTCCAAAAAGGGAAATGGAGGAAACCCTGCTGGGGGGAGGGGGAAACCCTGCTTTTCGGGGAAGGGGTGTGTGTTGTTTTGTCGGTTTTGGGGGGGCATCCCAAATTGGTGGGGCGAGTTTGATACATGTAGAGTCACAAGCAAGAAGCAAAGGGGCGTGTCAAAGAAGGGGGTTGGATTTTCAAAATGGTAGTTTTCCTTTTGGTCTCCCTTTCAAACAACCTAGAAAGGGTACCCCTGATTTTGGATGAGCATTTTGAAACCTCGATCGGAATCCACTGACCCCCTTGCGGGGTGTTGCCCTGGACGATAGATACCCGGAAAGGAGCCCTTGGTTTTGTTAGTGATGCAATGATCGCTTGCTGAAACGTGAAACTTGCGGGGGGTATGTCATAATTCCACCTCCAACCATAAAATGTGGCTGGCCGCCAATTTTTGAGACATGCGCCCATTTCACGTTTACCAAATCTTTGACCTTTCCAGGCACATCAAGCCTCATTTCGAGAATTTCTACAACAAAGACGATTCCCCTTCATTCGTAAAGGGTCAAAAGGTTCGGTTTTGGTCTTGGAGAGCCCCCGCGCCCGACTTCCGATACCTCCACAAAAACTCTAGGTGTTGATTCCCCATGTTTTTCAACCATTCTTTTTTTTAGAAACAAAGCTCCATGGAAAGAATGGGGAAGGTACCGGTAGAAAAACGATATTGAGGGCCCAATACAAGGTTTGTTGGTAACTTGGGACACGAGGAATGATTGAGGTGTATTGCCACCGCACTCCACGCAACACACCCCAGCCGTTCCGCGCCTTTCTCCACCAGCGCCTTGCGCGCGTTCTCGCTGGTGCACGAGCCCAGCATCTTGCCACTGGCGAAGCGCGAGTTGCCTCAAAGGGTTCGCGCCGAAAAAGCAGCGCGTTGAAAACAAGACATGGCGTGGTTTCCTGTTAGCGACCCAAAAACAAGTATCTGGGTGAGTGATGCCGTAGTTCACCAGCCGTTTCCCCTTTGCTTTTCCGCATGTGGGAAAACTTGATTGTGCCCTCCCCGTAAAGAAGTATAAGGTGTACTTGAAGAAGGAACCTGAAAAGAGCGCTTGTGCCATTTGATTGGGCTACCCTGCCCTTCTCTTCTTAAGACAATCCCAAGCCAGTTCTGCTAAGCAGCCGGGTGAAGCATACGTATCCGGCATCGCCAAGCTGAAATAAGACATGGACCCATAGCGATCGCAAACCAAAACCTGGGTTCTCCGCAAAATGCCCAGACTACGTTGAACCTAGATGCCCAAACACAAGCCTATGGAAACTACACGATAGTTCCTTTTGCCGACAAGAGAGACATGCAACACACACACAAACACACACCCTGACAGGGGCGAACACTGTACACCTACCCCACCTGCTCAATCGGAGGCCCCACTTTTTGTGGAAATGATCAGTTTAAGCCGGGTTGATCAAAAAAGGAGTGTTTGGATTCCAAATCCGATTTTCAAGTGTAAAAGTCCATGGGAACCAAATCCTTTCGTGCCCCGACTTCCTTGTACATTCAACCAAGCTGTCGCGTCCCACGTGTGTGACTTCAACCTGGAGGAATGGCGACGTGAGGGTTGTCCAAGAAGAGAAGGTCCCGATTTGAAGCCCCAGTACCCTTCGTTCTGCAATCATTTAGTAGTCACGCCCAAATGATTGCCAACAGTCGGGTTCCGTTTTGGTATCCGGCACCCGCGCCCCAAGCGAGCCCACGCGAGGACGAAAACTTCCCCGTTTCGTTGCTCGCCTTCCTTGAGGAGCTTCAGCGCATCCTGCGGCGGCACCGGTCCATCTGCTGTGGTGCGCACAGGGCGGGCAGCACCTGCCACAGGAGTCACAGGAGTGGGCCCAGGAGGACTCCTTCATTCAAAAAAAGGACAAAGTATAGAGGTGCGTACCAGCAACCCCCCCCCCCCTGCAAATAGTGCCTTGTGGTTACCGTACCAAGGAAATGTTGGGCGTGGGAAAAAGTGGTTGAGGGGGTGCTGGTGAAAATACATGTCCAATCAAAATAATGAAGTACTGCGATGCCTGGCTGCCGAAATTCATATTTGGTAAATCCATGACCATAAAGAAAAAGGCTAAATCTATCCAGGGAGCCCAACCCAAAACAATATTCAAACGAATCATCACGGGGGTTCGTGGGCTTTCATCGCTCGTTTTTCCGAGAAACCGGTTTTGCCACTCTCCCCGCCTCGGCTCAGGAAGGAGGCGCAGCAGGTCTCGGCCATGGCTAAAAATGTAAAAGATGGGTCGCTGGGCGGAAAGCTGACGTACCGTCCGAAATGGGCTGCGAATCCAAGCGTCACTTGTCGCTTTGCATGCCATCCGCTGCAGCTGCCAAAAAAAAAGAAAGACAAGAGAAGAAGAAGCCGCAATGCACACGTAACACATCCGAGTTCTAGGGGAAGACCGACTTCTGCACTTGAGTACGTGCCGAACAAGTGCTCAATTGACAGACCCCAGCACAAGTGTCTTGGGTATGATGTCAACCATGTCCTGACTAAAAGCAGCTAAAACTTGACCTGTTTGCAAAACACAACCGAGAAAGGTGCAGGAGAAACACATTTAATTTGATTGCAACTCCCGGGTTTTCCAACAAACATGCAAAAACCAGCGTGCAAAAGCCAGATCTTACCCCAAAAAGCTCCAAGGAACAGCCCAAAAGAGGGGTGCAAAAGCCAGCGCTGGCCCCGAGAAAGGTCCCGAGACATTCACCAACCTGAAATAAGGTGCTTGGGCTGAGATTCCCCACATAAACCACCATTTGGGGTGAATTCGGTCGTGTGAGGTCGCCATAATTCACCCAGACATTTGGAGGGAGCTGCGGCTCCGGCTCACAAAGTCTGGCTCCGGCACCTTGGCGAAAAGTGGCTGAGACAGACCTCCATAGGGATTTGATTTGGGTGGCTCGCCAGCTTTTTTGCGTTGGTCCCCCCGCCCCCCCCCAAAAAAAAAGTGGGGGAGGCGGGGGTCCTTTTGGTGTCCCTTTCAAGCCACAGAGACTCAAGTACCCACTCGGAAAAAGACACACCCATTTTTCGAAGAAAACAAAATCGGGGGGGGGTTCACCTCAGCTGGCTTCGAACAACTGATCTCTTCTTCGGCGTTCTCCCCCCAACCCCTAGTTGGTAAACAACAAAACCGAGTGCGGGTTGAGACAAAGACATGGTTTAACCTTCGGCAAAGGGTCAGCTCGAAAAATGGCTTCATGGTCAATGGACCCTCAGTCTGGGAATTGTGAAACGGTCCCTGTTTGTGGACCCGCCAAAGTATCTTAACCCCCTTTGTTGATGGAAAAAAATACCACTGCCTTGTTGGATCGACTGCCACTCAAAAGCCAAGGGTCCATTTCAACGGGGCATCTAAGTTTCCGAAGCACAAGTTGACCCCGGGTATTCCTGACTTCTGGGTCCGTCCAAGTGACGTCCTCGAAATTTCGTAGTTTCAAGGGAAGCCACCCGTTAAAAAAGGAAAATCAAAGGGAACTGGGTGCGTTTGTCCATGCTTAGTGACTCTGAAACTTCCGTTGCCCTCCCACAGTCCCCAGGGCCCTGTTGGTTTGCAGCTCCTGCCGTTGTTCGGTATAGCCGGAGACAGGGGTCACCGGACTCTCCCCTCACAAGTTGATCAATTTACGGGTTTCCAACTTGAAACTGATCCACTTTTGCAGGTTCCAACAAAAAAGTAGCCCTGAAAGGCGCTCGTTTTTCGACCTCCAACGCAAAAAAATCCGGTGGGTCCTGGCTGACCAGGCGCGCTTTTGGCATCGACCCATTCGGGCGTCCGGCCATGGCCAGCGCGGCCACTTCGTTGGTTTCCAGGCGGCTTGCACCGCACCTCCGCGAAGTCTGGGAGGTTTCCCTTGGGCAAATCACCTTTTTGCAAATCGAATTTTGCTTGTGAAAGAAGAAGAGTAAAGCTTAGTAAACTTGTGCTCTTTTGCTTAAGTTGGTCGGTCTTTGAAGCGTAGATTATCGGTTGATAACTGTTGTATTTAAGTTTCATTTTTTTAAGAGACCAGTTTGGAACTTTTTGCCAAGGGTGTTGGGGATTGAGAAATTGTAGATCAAAACGTTCCTTGGGTCATTGGTTCTGCCAAACTGGGTATCGAGGCTGATGTGGCCTGTACTGTACCCTTGTGGACCCACTTTCCATCATGGCCAATTGGGGCTTTGGTCGCTGCTCAATTCCACTACCCACCCAATCACGCAGGTGATCTTCGAAACAATATGCTAGCTTTGCCTGCAAACAAGACGAAACGGGATGCCTGGGGGCCTGGGGGAAGGAGAGAAAAAGGCAGTGCAACCCAGAAACCTTGTACCACTGCTCATCCAAGCAACAGCCACACGAGGAAGAAAAAAAAAAAACGAGCTTGTCTCAAAATATGTGACCCTCAAAATGAGTGATTCCCCCACTCTGCAAAACAAACCAAACTCACCCCTCCACCAAAAAGTGACACAAAGCTCCCTACATGTCTGCAACAAACCATCACCGCAAGAGGAAACTCGTCTGGTGGCAACCAAACGACCTTTGAACTGACCCTCAAAAGGACATATTTGGGTGTCTTTTTTTGGGCGGATCCCCCAGAACTACAACCCAGAGGCTCCTGGGGCTTTCAATGGAAGCCCGACCCCTTCATTGGAAACGGAGGTGTTTGGGGGTCTCAAGACCTGGCTGTTTGAGGGCCCTAAATGAATCGGGAGCCTCTGAGAAGACAAAAAACGGAGCCCGTTCTTGTCTCTCAGCCCTTCATCTGAGCCGCCGGCACCACGGTGACCCAATTCGCCTGGCAGAAGCACCGCCGCCAGCCGCGCACCTGAAGCCACTGGCGTAGTCCGGTTTGGGGATGGCTCGTCAAAATAAGGATTTGGACGCCCAAACTCGTAGATTCCTTTTGTTGGTTTTTCTGGTTTCCCTTCCATCAAGGTAAACATGGCACCCTCACAAGTAACACACCCGTGTGAAGCAGAAGGCCTGGGCAGCTTGCTTTTTGAGGCTCGGTTCCCTTTTCACTTTGGCTTTAAAGGGGACCCAAAAGGGAACCAACATTTTTGGGTCCCCCACCCACCCCAATTTTGAGACATTCCCAAGTCTGTCCAACACAAGCCGGCTGTATTCAAAGGGATCCCCATTCTGCGGCAGAAGCCCCCAGGGTCTAAGCCTTCGCTCTTGGGAAGCTGCGTCTACCTGGGCGCCAACATACAACAGGGACCTTCCAAAATCAGGGGACGACTTTTGCAACATGGCTTCCCTTTAAATACCAACTACAGGTTCACCATTTCAGGGAATGTTTTGGGAACCCCTGTTTGGTGCGGAAACCATAGGACACCAACCATGGGGGTCCAAACCCACTGGGGGGTTTCGATCGAACCGTTCTAGCGCAGCCCGAAAAGGAATATACCCCCTCAAAAAGACAAGCCCCGATCGCAAAAAGGCGCGCAATGGAATGCAACAAATTTCGAATGGCAAGGACGCCTTGATGGTTGGGGGTGTTCGGGTAAAGTATCTCCGTACCTTGGTACATGATTGGGCTTGAACCCTTGGCACTCGACTCTCGCCTCTCCCCTCGCCGGCCTCCCCCAGGCGGAAGTTGCTGAAGTCGAAACTCTCGCGGGCGGAGGCCGGGGACAGCAAGGAGCCCACCCCCGCGATGGTCACCGCCTCGACCCATGGCCAGGATCCCATTCTTTTGGAGCCGTAAACCCGGGTTTAAGCCCATCTCAGGGTACTCCAAAGAATGCAACCCTGACCATTGCTACAAAGGTTTCAATGGCGAATAACGGGTCCCAGACACGAAATGGTGGACATGTAGGTTCGCATCATTTTCCCACTTCTGAGGGTTGCGATGGACATGTATGGCCATATGGAGGGTGTCTTAAAATGGGGAAACCCTCCAAAATGGTTGTTTGCCTTTTGGTGTCTCCTTAAAACCTATACAAAAAGGGTACCCTCAAAAAAACTACTAAATTCCCCAAGAAACCAGGCAAAAAGAACCAGCTATTTATACTACAATTGCCAGTGGGGGGAGGGGACACTGCTAGCACCTTTGAATTACTGGTGGAAACGCTGCTAAATCTGGCCGAAAAACGTGAAACTTAGAGACTTACCTTAACTAAAGAAACTTTGCGGCTGGAACTGTTTAGACCTCCTTTCATTTTGGAGGGTGCATGTTAAAACCTGGTGGTGCTCAGTCAGGAATGTGGGAGTGAACCCAGGGATTCCTTTAAAGGAAACCACAAGGAATGGTTTATACATTCCATTTCTCGTTCCCTGCCTATCACACCAACTGCCCAATGAATTTCAAGAGGAATTTCCTGCAAAGTGGTTGGTGGACATAAATCCCCACCTTTTATCGATGTCCACCAAATCCCTAATTAAGATTCAGAAGGCAAAACACCATCAGCGAGAAAAGTCGCAGAAAAACAAATTGCCCAATGGAATGCATGCGATCTCAACCGTACCGCCGTACCGCCCCCGCGCCGCGTGCCTCATCGCCTGGCGGCTTCACCAAGGGCTCTGTCTCAAAATTGACGGGCCCCACAAAACAAGCAGGTTTCACATATCTTTTCCTTTTTTTAAGCTCGTGACCCCAAAAAGCGAGCAGGTCTCCCGATAACAATAAGACAAAAAGTCGTTCCGCGGTTTTTAGAACCCCAAGTGGGTGTGTCTCAAGATATGGAAACCCGAAAAGGCTGGTGGTTGCCTTTGGTTTCCCTTCAAAGCAACAACCTGTGGGGGAGCTCTACGAATAACTTGCTTCAGAGGCTGGCCTTTGGATAACCAATGGCTTGCATCGCTTCTCTCTCTAATTGGCAGGTGTGGATGGTGGTTCAGAGGTAAGTGGCAGCTTTTTATTTAAGAATCAGGGGTTCATATCCCATCCAAACCACAAACTGGTGTTATGGGTCAAAACTAAACCACCCAGATATGGACCGCTGGTTTTAGTCTTTGGCTCCATTTACCAGCATCTTTCAACTACCCTCCCATCAAACATGGAACCTCGCAGGGGGATCCTGAAGCCCATTTTCCTTAATCACCCCCAACCTGGGTCCCAGGTAGGTGGGCTCCTGGACCACAAAATACTGTGGATGGAAGAAATCCATTTCGCACCACCGTTGGTTCCCCCCTACAAACACCAACAAACCTTCTGGCATTTGTCATTTTTCCCCCACCGCATTGGCCATTTGAACATGCGGAGCGAATCACTTGGGAGCCCATGGGGCGACCGAATGACTCATTGTGAAAGGAGCGGACTATGGGTTGTCTCACGGCGCTTAGACGAACGAAACCGCAAAAGAAACAAGGAAAAGGGAACCCCCCACAACACAAAAAGCCCAACGGATAGCCCACCAAGGATTGCCCGAGCTCCGGCCTTCGGAGGCCATGAGCTACAATGGCGCTCGGCGTTGTGATGCGGGGCTGAGGTGCCGGCGACGTGTGAGTCTGCACGAACCGGCACGCCATCCACAAGAAAAGTTTGGATCCCGTGGCGCCCGTAAAAAAAAAAAAAAAAAAAAAAAAAAAACTTGTCATGTTCAATACATCTTGCTTAATGCGCATGATGGCATTGGGTGATTGAATGTGTTCAAAAGCCCATATATGTTGATTATTTGATGAGCCTCGGTAAAGGCGCTGAGAGCTGGCCTGTGACATGTCAGACCTACGCTTTGAGCCGAGCGCCGAGACTGCGTCTGACAGGAAAGCCTGGAAGGTTTGGCTTTGCTTGATACCATGGCAATCCCCCTTCACCGTGATCTAAGTCATGTGTACACTCTCAAGCACTCCTGGTACAAAACTCCATACTTGACAAACGGTCACCCATCCCTACAAGGAAAACACCTCTCTAGCCATACACATACACACATTTGTCGACACTCAAGAGTAACCAGTACTGCCGCTCATCCGGTCTTGCTTCTGCGAGCAATGGGCAAATTACCATCATTCATCGTTGTGGAATTTTCAATGAGCCTTCAAATCACCGGCGAGCATATTTCTGTGATTTTCCATCATGCACCTAAGTTCCTACAGAGTCTCCTGTGTGCACTCACGGGAAACACCCTCTCTTTGTCTTTCTTTGACCAGTGCCACCTTCTCGTGATACCACGTAGGAGTCCATCTTCTTGATACCAAAGTGGCCCATCCCCATGACTTTGAAGGCTATGTCCTTAGATGTCCTTAGTATCCTCCTGTTTGTCCGCGTGGCCAGCGCACTTTTTGCTCCAAGTTTCCTGGCACTGGAGCTAGAGAGCTAGGACGCATCTTGGGGCAACTTCTGGCAGGTGCATTCGGTTAGATTCTGTTGCATTCTACAAATATGCTTTTGAGAGATACGAAAGTTGGCCATGCATATGACTGGTTTATCACTCAGGAGGTTCGGGTTGCCTCCGGCTCGGTTTGGTGCTGATTTAGGGTGGGTCTAGGGTTGGGTTCCGGTGGGCTTAGGGTGACATTCTTGGTTTGGTTTAAGGCAGGTTCAGGGTGCTTTGGGGATGGTTTAGTGCTGGTTTGGGGTTGGATTAGGGTGGGTTCAGGGTGGTTTTAGGGCTGGTTTCAGGTTGGTTTTAGGGTTGGTATATTTGCTCGGCGGGTTGGTTTAGGGTGGGTTCAGGCCTGATTTACGGTGGGTGTTGTTGCTTTTTTTCGGGATGGTTTAGGGTAGGTGTAGGGAGTTGGTTTAGGGCGTAGGGTGGTTTAGGGTGGGCTGAGTGACTGGCTTTGGGTTGGTTGAAGGTTGTAGTTGGTTTAGGGTTGGAGTAGAGTTGGTTCAGGGTTGGCTTCGGGCTTGCTTAGGGTGCTTAGGGCACTTTAGGATTGGCTTTACGGCTTGTTTAGGGTGGGTTTATGGTGGGTTGAGGGCTGGTTTAAGGTGGTTTGGAGGCTTCTGCTGGATTTCTCCAGGGCGGGTTTCGGGTTTCGGGCGGGTTTAGTTGTGGTTTAGGCTGGGGTTGGTGGGGGGTTAGGATTGGTTCAGCTAGGATGATTTAGGGATGGTATAGTGCTGGTTTAGCGCTGGTTTACGCTTGTTTCGGGTTGGTCTAGGGTTGGTACAGGGCTTGCTTGGGGTTTGTTTGTTGGTTTCGGGTGGGTGTTGGCTAGTTTTGGGATGGTTTTACTGCTGGTTAGAGCGGTTCAGGGTGGGTTTGGGTTGGTTCAGTTTAGGCTGGTTATTCATGCTGTAGTGCTTTGGTACACGGTGTGCTTAAATGTGTTGAACTACTGTTTGTTTAGGGATGATTCAGGGTGGTTTGGGGACGGTTCAGTCCTGTTTTGTGGGCTTAGGGATGGTTTAGTGCTGGTACAGGGTGGGTTGGGGTGGGTTTAGGTTGGTTTGAGGTTTCTTCGGGTTTTCTTTATCAGGTTTCATTTAAGGTTGATTTAGTTGTGGCTTAGGGTGGGTATTTAGTGGTAGTTTAGAGTTGGTTGAGGGTGGGCTTAGGGTCGAAACGCCACCAAACGCCACGAACACTCGCGGCAACTCAATGCTTAAGCTGAGTGCATTCAAGAAACCGGTGTTGTTCCCTCTCTACCTGGCTTTTCACAGAAAGCCCTGGAGCTTGTAGCCATCCGAAGCTAGGCGCCCCAAGAGCGCCAAAAACTTTGTACAGGTCTCCTGCAGAGACTGACCCACTGGTGACCCGTGCTTCGACCCGGTTCCAAGATCGGAACCCGTACGGGTCACCATAAACCCATCCCCCGGCCCCGGCTGGGGCCCGGAGGATCTAAGCGCCTAAGGGCTTGACCTGAGCCGAAAGCGCTGACGTGAGGTGCGGGGCCCCTAAATGAGGAGAGGGGCGAATAGGGGCGATCGTCCCTTTGCTTGTCGACACGAGGTACACAGTTGTCGAGCCGAGTTGCTGAGACCCCTCCAATGGAAAGCACTCCCTTTTGGGAATCGGACCTCCAAAACATGGCTTCGGTTTTCGCTTTGGTTTCCCTTTAAAACCACCAAGAAATTGTATGTATCAACTCAAAGAACGGCAGACCATATGGCACGTGCCATGTGGGTGGTCTCCCTGCTTATCGGGTCCAAGACCCCAAGTTCGTGCAGCCATACTGGTTTTCACATAGGGGCTCTTCTACTTTGTCCACGTTGTTTCCCCCCCCCTCCAACCAAATAAAGAGGTGTCCTTGTTGTCTGGTGGAAAAGGTCAACATTTGGAAATCGTCTGTTGGACCGTCAGCAGCGTCATCCAGCCGTTGATGTCATACTCCAAGGTGTTGTTGCTTGGGATTGGTGGTTTGGAGGTTCCCCATTTGCCACTCTCAACTGCTGGCGACAATCACACCATACACTCCGGTTTTCGCAAACCATCCACCTATGGCTTCTTCTGGCCCTACAATGCAACATGAGCACGACCTCCAGCCTTCCCTCAGCATGGCACCATTCATATGAGGACAGCTTGAATGCTGATTGTGCTGCCTAGAATTCCTGAGTTCAAGGTGTGCCTAATTTGTGCCGCCAAACCCACCAGAGGGTCACAAAAGAAGCGAGTCGCCGGAATCTCCTTTCACCGCTCTCAATCTAACTTGCCGTTTCGGCGCCCCTCGAACGCATACTGTATTTACCCGCCACGTGGCCATCTGAAAACAGCTACCGTGCATGGAATGGGGAAGCCCATCCTGCAGGGAACAAAAGAATGATTTTGCCAATGACCAATCACCCATTTCCACACTGGCAACTGGCATCTCGTCCAAAGTAGTTGGCAACACAGCTGAGCGTGTGGAATGTTGGCCGGCCAACCCAAAACCCGAAATCAAGACTGCAAGGTTCAACCACAACCATAAAGGAAGGGAAGCCCCTTTCATAGCTAGATTACGCCACTGGTTCTAGGCTCACATAGCCAATGCGCATCCTCCACCCCGATCCCCCAGTCGATTTCCACATCAAAGCAATGGGCACCTTTTGTTTAGCAGTGTTCTTGCACAGCACACCCTCACTCCGAAGACGGCTCCATCTTTCTGGGGAGCCCACTCTCTCTGCCGCTTGGTGGGCGGCTCCTGACCAAGGTGACCCCCGACACCCTCTCCGCTTTTCGGGAACTCGGGCGCTACTTCGCGGCTGGGAATGACAACAAGACATCTTGCCAAACGAGACATGAACCATGCCTCTCTCAAGCCAGCACAGGGGGCCGCTCACTGGTGGTTTAACCTCCCTCTCAAAGGACCCACCACCATTCCTAAGCTCAAGATAGCTCAAGGTCTCTTGACCTGGACCACGCCGCCCTACTTTTTACTCTTTGATGACCATCCAGAAAGGGACGTTGGAAGGGCCGGGGCCACCACTTGTGTGACGAGCACTGGAAGGCCTACCCATTGACAAGTTCTTCATTGAAAAAGGACGACTTCCTGTCACACAATTTGGGTTTTGCAAATAAGCATCCTTTGTAGGCAATGAGGTACGTGCTATTCAAATGGTACATGATGGTTTGGGTATTATTTTTTTCAGAGGGAAACTGGACGGTGAATTTCCGCTTGAGACCGTCTGTCAGGTGAAACACTTTTTTTTTTTCCGGGGGGGGGGGGCTGGGGGGGGGGTTCTATAAAGACAGACCCAGAAAAGCCACTACCAGGATGCGCAGACCCGAGAGGCCTCCTCGCTCTCGCGCTCGCGCTTCTGGGTACCCTGACACCTTGGCAGAAACTGGCAACGAGTCGCCCGTAGGAGCAGGCTTGCGGTCAGCGAAATATTGCACGTAAGCCAACCAGTGTCCCGGTAGATTCTGTGGTCGAAATTGCCGATGAACTCGCCCGGATACACCACAAGAAATGATAAGTCCCGGCCAGGAAGAGGGTTTCCATGGTCCTTTGTGCCATCGAGTTGTTCACCCTGCATTTGGATTCCTGACGCAAAACAAAAACGGGGGGCCCGACGTGACGTCCAGGCCCGAGCTGAGGCCGTTCAGGATCCCCGTAGTGCCTCAGGCTCGTCGGATTTCATCGCCACAGGAGGGTAATAGGACACCTCAATGCCTTCTGACTTTCTGAAGGCCGTCATGACCACAAAAGTACCAGAAAATTGACGGCCCGCCCCAAGAGATCCGACGCTTTCTTTCTTTCTTTCTTTCTTTCTTTTGCTCCTGGGGCCGTTTGCTGAAGGTCTTCTTCTCCAAGGTCTGGAAAAGGACTTCATCCAGGGTCTTCTTGGCAATGAGATAGTGCACCTCATGCGGCCGATTTGGTAGATTGAACCCGCAAAGGCGCATGGACTGGTTTCACTTGTGGTTTTGTTGCCTTTTGGTGAGGGAAACCCCACCCTTGAATGAACCAGGCAAACTGCTAGATTGGCTTGCTTGGGATCGGGGCAGTGCATGCAGGCTATAACGTATGACAAGAAATATGTTTCGCCCTGACCTGGAGTGATGACTCCGCCAATTCCTCGTCATGCCGGATTTCGTGCAGCTCCTCTCTAGACCATCACAGGCAAATGTGCCAAGAATCGGAACAGCAAATGATTGATGCCCTAGGTGCTGCCTTAACCGTCCCTTTGATGGCTTGGCCTCCGCAAAACGGGTGGGCATGCTTTCACCATTCCATCACCAGGGCTCCCTAGATTCCCTGCATGTCCCCCATACACACATCACCCTAGAGGAAACTGACCTTTGCGGAAAGTGAAAATGGATAAAGCCCGCTTAAACCAGCAAACAGTGGGAGCAAATCCCCGATTCCCCATATGAAGAATCCAAAAAAGCCCTGAACTCAATTCATTGCAACTAGTCTTTGGGTTGGAAGTGCAACAACCGCCCCGTATACACCCAACCATCCTATACTTATTGAGAGGCATAGCAAAATCGTGACGTTTCATGACCCGCGACCAGTTTCCGGGCCGCTGCCACTTTTCGGGCCATGACCACTGAAGTTTCTTGGGATCTCTCAAAGTGGCCGCATCCCTTTAACTAACCCAAGGGGGTAGCATCAAAATAGACACATCCATTTGCTGGCTTTTCTTGCGGCTCTGGATCAATATGGGTGTTTCCAAATAGGGCTCCCCCTTTAAAAGAAAGGATGTTTCCTTCTGGCTTGACAACTCCATTCTCAAAACACGAGCCGTCCAGAACCCCCCCCACCACCCCCCGCACCGGTTTCACCGTTGGCGCGCTCAACCGAGCGGCCGTGACGCTGTCCCGCTGGCCAATACGGTGGGCTCGGTCCTCCGCCTGCTGCATCAGGCCAGGCACCTGGCGCAGTCACAACCTTCTCGCCAAGCCCGGTGGTTTGGAGGGGTCCCATTTCGCCCATTTAGCCGCCAGGGCTTCAAATCTCAAACAACTCCCAAACCGATCCAAATCAACCAAGGGCTCTTTCAGATCAAAGCGAGTTTAAAACCATAGGTTAAAAACACCGGTTCTTGGTCGATTTGTCCCATATCTGTCCCGTAGTGCTGTCCACGATTTGGACCCAAGCGGCCAGGCGCCTTGGAGCGTGAACATTGGCCCATAACGGGACAAGTCGGGTCCCCGCCCAAGCGCGTTTTTGGCGGGAAGGAGACAGATGCGGGGGGAACAAGTAGAACATGTGCTACACACCGATTGAATTCAGGGGGACACCTGTGAATTGCTAAAGACTCCAATTGAAAGGGGCCACAGAAAGGAGACTTATCACAAGCAAGAGGAACAAAGGTTGGGCCAAGACTGCGAAGCAACTACCACATGGGTTCGTAGTGAGCTGACTGATCACTTGCGAAGTCGCCAACCTTGACATGTTGCAAGTCCCTTCTCTCTAAAAAGGGCTCCTCAGCAAAACGCACAGAACTCCCGCGGTCAACGGCTGCGACGTTTGCCGCCCACCCAGTAGAGCTCCGCGAAAACGATGGTCTGTGCCGCCTCGAAAACTGGCAACTCTGTGTTGACATCCCATAATGGGATTTAAATGGGGGTAGGGATGCATGTCCATCAAGCGCTTTTGAGGTGATTCCCTATTGAGATTCAGAGCAACACTTCCACCGAGTAATTAATTTCATTTGCCATAGAAACCAACCCAGCGCTTTCAGTCATAGCAGGAAACCTTCAGGTTTCTTACCTCTACATTATACCATGGATTGTTTACCCTGCAAACTTACTGTAATGGCGATATTCCTGGTGAGCCGCGACAAAGGGAGGGACTAGGGTACACCCAAACCACATCAAGCAAACAAAACAACTTGGGGCATCCTCTCAGACTCTGGAGGCAGCTCCTTGTGCAAATCACCTTCAAAACCTGGCAGTAAAATGGAGTCAACACCATTTAAAGAATTTCAAAGCGCGGTTTTCCCCTATGGTTTTACTCATCTCCCTGGGAACTTCAGGCTGTGGCTCAAAGGCCCAACCCCTCCACCCGCCCCGCCATCCCGTTTTCGGGCTCCAAACATCTCTCCGTGGCCCAGGCCGTGAGCGTCAGCCCCGTGCCCGCCGCGGTGATGCTCAGAACTGCCACCCGCACTGACTCGTCCTGACGGTCCCCCCCTCAACGAGGAGAAAGGGACTAAAGTCACCCCCCTTCAGTGGGCGGGGAAAAAGGGAAACCACCAATAATAACGACCCCAGGTAGACAGGTAGCCTGCAGACAGGGTCCCACCCACCACTCGCGCCGCGGGCGCCGCGAGCGCCGCTTGCCTCCTGGAACTGCGACACCAAAGCCGGCCGCGCCACCGCTGACCTGGCGGCCACCATCGACTGAGCCACAGGAGCCATGCGGTTTTCATCCCATACAAAACGTGAGAAAATAGGTGTTTCCTGTCGTATCGGGTCCCTTCACCAAGGAAATGAACGAAAAGTCTTAAGCAAATGGAAGCATAGGCAGGCGATCGAGGGTCCTTGAAGCACCAAATCGTAGGCGTGTGTTTGTTGCTAGGTTGCTATAGCTCTTACTGACATATTACCAAACCCTCCCGACCAGACCGTACCAAACGAGGATGGACCGGGATGGGTATTTTCAGTTTCCCACTGGCCCATTTGCGCGGGAGGCGGGGGGGGCGGTGGGGGGTGGGGGGGTCACTTTAACACTCCCGGAAAAAGACATGGAGCCTGAAAGAGGGTCCCTGCCTCAAATTGTCCCTCCTAAACTAACATAGACATAGACTACAGGAAATGTTGACCCAAACTCCCCACCGTGGCATGTGGAGCTTGGCTAAAGGAAGCGGCAACTAATGTTCTTGCCGGCCAAAGGACCGTTAACTGCTGATGAATGACCTATGGTGCAACACGTTGTCATTTGCATCAAGTGTAGCGATGCAAAGAACCCCACCAACGGACGAAATGTGTTCCGAAGAAACATCTGAGCAGCGCCCAATGCCGGTGACTTGTGGTGCTACCAACGTGGTTCCAAGGGTTTACAGTGCGACGAACCCTGAGTAGATGGCAAAACCGCCTTCATATGATGACCAACCGGATTTTCCGCATTGGGTGCATCTCAAAATTCGGGACAGGTTGGCACTCGGTTACCCCTTCAAAGCACCCACTTCGGGCAAAGCATGGCAGTCCCGCGTGTGCCCGTCAATGCCTCGGAGAAGGCGCCCCTCACCTCTCTCTGAAACAAATGGATAATTGGGCTGCCTCAGATCCCTCGCTAAAAGCTTAATTTTGAGTGGGTTAAATGGCAAATTCACTACACACTGAAAGGCTAAAAGGCTAAGGAACCGGATGGCTGGGAGCCACCAAGATAAGTGAAACGTACATTATTCAAACACCAGCCGCCCTGGCAGTTTCTCAATATGGGGCGCCCCTAGAATAGGGAGTCCTTTTTAGGTCCCTTTAAATACCAAACCCGGGGTCTGAATCGTAGAAACTTCTAGGAACGGAGCAAAAGCATCCGCACCACGAGGTCCGAACGGATATGGCCGCAATGCATCCGCTGCAGCTTTGCTTGCACGGCCTGAGGCAGATGGACAAAGGCACAAAGGTGTCAACGTAGTTTTGACCGTTCCGTTTTTTGCTTCTTATTTTTTGGACCAGGTAGGCTTAAACCCAGGAATTGGTTTCTCTTTTGGGGGACCCAACCAGCCCAAAGTTCAAGACCTGGAGGTCAAGAATAGAAATGGAACCATGTGGTTGAATTCCTTTCCAGCCACACAATGACCATGAGAAACCCACACGGGCGTGACTCTTTTTACCGGTACGCCTTGTTTTGTGGTTTCCAAGGGAAACCACAAGGAAGTCACCATTTTGGGTCTCCCCTCAAAAAACACAGAAACACACACCCACACTCGCCTGTTTTGTAGGGGATCAAGGGACAGCCAGGATAAATATGGGTTCGAAACAGTTCGCACCCCATGTTCTCAAAAGGAGCGACCAGATCTAACGAGGGTTGGGCTCAGGGCGCTTAAACCTGCAAAGATCTGCAAAGCTTTGGACACAACTCCAACACCCTGAAATTGATCATCACTGCCCCCCCCCGGCCCCAAACAACAAACCCGGCGCTCCAAATCGCTCGTATTCGCTCGTAATCCCAATGGCGTTCAATCGCTCGCCGACTCAACCTGAGGTGCCAGCGTCCAGCACCAAGTGGTGGTGCCCTGAGCCACGAGTGCGGGGTGACTGGCGACTCGGTTCGCGAGAACCGCAACTGTCAGCTGGTTCCATTGCGAATCCCACCCCACAAAGGGCCTCAAAAAAGGGTTCACGTCCGTTAGGTTCTTGAGGGCAAGCTGCAACATGTAGCCGTGTGCGGAGAAAAGGAGATCGGAGGTGTTGTCTCTCAACCCAGGGTTGATTAATATCTGTGCCAAGCAGAAGGCTGCTCACTTCACCGACACACCCTTGTGTCCAAATACATCGGGAAGGGGAAACTCACTGCAAACGGCCCAACACCGTGATGTTTCTTAACCAGAAAGGCGTAGACCTCACGAACCCGGCCGCGCCCGAAGCCTGGGCTCCCGCGTGGGCTCCCGAAAATCTCTGTGCCGAGCCGCCGAAGAGAAGGAACTTCGCCCCGGTGCTGAGCAAGTGCTCAACCTCGGTGTCAAGAAAAAGCCTCTGTCAAAGGCTCTCTTTTGATTCATTGGCTCAAAGAGTTCTAGCAGCACCTTCCTCATTTTCTTCAGGAAAAAAAGAGGGTACCAATGACATAAACACCACACCCATTCTACCCATACATGAATGCAAATGGAGAGACCCCAGAGTCGGGTCGAGATCTTGGCCCTCGAACAAGAAAAAAACGCGAAGGCAGCGGTTTCTCAAGTCTTCGGCGTACTCCAGGACCGCTCCGAGCTTGGCCTGAGCGAGCGACTGAGCGACGACCCCATGATCCGAGCCGAGGGCCGGCCAGCCGGGGATCTGCTTTGAAAACATACAAAACACCTAGAGTCTCCATGACCCTTACAAAATGGGTCCATGACCCCTTTTGGGTAATAACCCCTTTTTTTAGGGTCATGGAGACTCCAGGTAAACGTCCGGTAGCGACGTCTGGGAAGAAAGTGTGGGGCCAAAATGCAGAGGACTCGTCTCAAAACGGGCCGAAACGTGACTTGAATCTTTCCACATTACTCAGCATCATGTGCTTGGGTGCTTCCCTACATGGTTCTAAGTGTATCAGAATATTCAGCAAACTTGTACACACACACACATGGCTTCAGTATGGCAACACAACACACTGCCTTAAACAACCTACCAAGAGCAACTCACCTTGGGAGCAAGGTGATGCTTAAAACTTCCAAAAAGGGAGTAGACGGTGGATGCTTTAAGTCTTGAAAAACAAAACGAACCATAGTCAACCACAAAGCCATAGTAAACAACGGTAAACCAGTAACTAGAGAATCGCTGTCCATGTTCCCTTACTTGCACCGTAGGTACCTTTGAAACACACCTCAAACATTCGACCAAGGGGAACTCACCTCGAATGGGGGACATGTGATGCTTAAAGCCTCCAACAACTTGAAAATGAGAGACCCTTGCACCACAACTAGGTCCTCCAGTAGAGAGGTTAGAGAAAGGGTACCCCTTTTTTCTGTGGTCTATTTGGTAAAAGGGCACTACTGGGGGACCTAGACAAATTCCCGGGTCTTCACCGGCAACTCGTCTTTGAGCCCCGCCTCTGCAGTCAGTCGGAAGAGCTGCGCGCAGTCCCCCAGCCCCTGAGTCGAGGGCAAGGAAGCTTCGCCACTGCCCCGAAAAAAAACGGCTGGTGGCGTTCCTTCGTGGAACACAGCTGCAGGGTTTTTGAGAAGAAATTTGCGGATTTCCTGTAGATTTTCCTGCTGGCTTCGTAGATTGATCAGTGTTTAAACCATTAAGCAAAGGTACATAAGGGTGCTTCAGGTCTAACTACTGAAACAAAAGGTCGGTGTCTTACCCAAACAGCTATCTTTTAACTGACCGCCTTTCGGTTTTCCTAAGGGGAACCAGGGGGACATGGGCTGGTCAGTTTTTTCACAAGTCTTGGTGAGCTAAGTCCGGCGATTTGGAGAACTCCCCTCCACGCCTTGCTGGCCACGAAGTCAGAAGGCCCCATCTGCCGACTCTGCCTTGCCGTTGCTTGGAAAACCCAAAGAAACACATCCGGGACAGCTTGGGCGACCTTGCAAGCAAGCAAGCAAGCAAGCAAGCAAGCAACCAAGCAACCAACCAACTGGAGGATGGTTGGTAATTTGCAGACAGAGGATAGGGTGACACGTTGAATGGCTTCTAAGCATGTGTGTCCTTTGGCACAAGCTGGAACAAGCCCCGTTAACCGTTCGAAGATGTTCAGTGCCCCCGGAATTCCAGCTCCAAGTAAAAACAGCAAGGGAGGTAAGCACGAGCAATCAGGCCCCTGTGGCCATAGGGATGTCATAACCGCAGGATGTCAAAACCGATTGACTGGGAGCAAGGAGTCGCTCGTCGGGAAGACCCGCCAGAAATCTTTGAGAACGTCCTGAACTGCAACCAGTTTGAGGGACCCAGAAACACACACACACACAGAGGGAGTAGCACGCCGCAAATCGCATGCCAGAATTCGAATTTGGATCGATTCGCCTCTCCGCCTCTTTGAGTGTCTCCTGACCGCAAAGTGGCAAGGTCAAGGGTTCAAGACAATAGGACAACCCCGTTTTGGATGGTTTGAAGGGAACAAAAATCCAAGCACCTGTGATCCTTAATTAATTTGAAGACACATAGACTAGTGGTCTTGGAACAGAGATTTCTCTGAAGGATACGGCGCCGCCATGTAAGGATCCGGGCACTTGAATAGGCAAGGATTCTATGCTACCTCCGCAAAAAAAAAATAAAAGAAGTCTGCGCAGCAGACCAAGTCCAACATCCGGTTGAATTTTGGTACTTCGAGTTAAATCTTGAAAAGTTGCCCCTAGACATGCGAAACTGTTCGGGCTGGAGGCTTGCAAACTAGAGAGCTGGAAGGCAGGGCTGGAGGGCGAGGCTACAGCAAGCGCAGCAACGAATCAGCTGGCCAGGGCTTACGTTTTCTTGCTTCATATTGCTTCCTGTGTTGGGGGGGAAGGCTGTGCTCCGAGTAACACCAAAATCTGTTATACTACCGGGGCCTGTGAGGCTGGCCCGGCCACTAGTTTTTGTTCTCTTTTTTGTTCTCGATTTTAACAAATGTTGTTTTTTGCACTAGCTCGCAGCCCTGAACCCCTGGCCCGGCCCCTACATGGCCCAAATGAGTCTCCTTGGGACACGGTTCCTTACAAAACACATTGGGGCCAAAAGGGAGGCCCAGTTTTTGATACACTTTGCCTCAACGGCGTAGTCTTTTTGGCTTGGCTTCCCTTAACACAACCCAGAAGCTGCCCTGAGATGTCAGAGCAAGGTCGAACACCAGCCATGATCCGTAGGCTGTTGTGAAAGCTGGAGTACCCAATGATTTCTGGTTTTCGTCTTGCCCTGCTGGGAAATTGCCAAAACAAACTTGGACTCCTCAAACTGACTGACTGGTGCCAATATCACTTTCCCGCCAAGTGATTCTGCAATTTGACAGCGTGGCTGTGTCTTTCTTAGGGGCACATTTTGGCATGGTCTTAAAAGGGAAACAAATTCGGAAAACCGTTGCGCCATTTTTGGGGCTCCGATTCCTTAAAAACAGAGGCACACCCGCACCCTCCAACAGAAATCGCCGCAGTTTGCCTTGAAAAGTTGATCACTCTGGTGGCTTCCAGAAAGCCCCTGTCAAAAACCAAAAAACAAAAACAGAAACCCAGATGGGCGCGGCTCAATTTCCCAGCAGGGTGCCATTTTTGTACATTGTTTTGAGCCACAGCCAGATCTCTGCCGGATGGCTCCTGGTTCATCTTCTCCGGGTCCAGCGGCACCTTGACGCGGCGCTTCGGCGGCAGCCTCGGCTCTCACTGCGGCCATAGCGAGCCATGGGGCCCTGGGTGGCTGGTCCGCTTTCTAGGGGACTTCCCCTGAAATACTGTGGATGGACGAATTCCTACACCACTTGGAAACCATGGGAAACCATTGTTCGTTGGTATTTGAAGGAGAATCATCATTCCATGGTTTCTTAGGTGGTGCAGGATTTCGTCCATCCACAGTATGATGGGGTTCCTTCGGGTTCCCTTTAACCCACAAAGGGGTATCCTCCAAACAACGACAGATCTTCATGGCTGCCTAGATTCCCTAAGAGTCCTTCCAACCTTTAAGGAGTCTTTTGTTCATGTGGCTGTTACCAAGTACCCTGCCCTGCTTAAAGGGGTGCCCAGACTTCCTACATCAGGAACCCTAAAAATGGTTGGCTTCTTGTACCTTCCCTTTGAACAGAATCCAGAAGGCGGTCCCCGGGTTTTTGGACACCACAGTGCAAGTTGGTCTCTTCAAGGGCTTGGTGAAGCACATTGGTTCGTCTTCGCGTGGAGTGAACCCCCTTTTGGTTGGCCAAATCGGAAAACAACAATCTGGGTGGTTAACTTCCTCATTTTGAGACAGGCCCACGTCCATGGAAGCCACGATCAAGATTCATTGTGCCCCTGAGGATATAGGATGTTAGTGAGTAGATCCCAATTTCTTCTGGAGTTTAGTGCGTGTAGCCAATGATAGCCCGCTTACGTCACAACCGCTCATGCGTGGCTTTCTTCCGCCCCAAAACACAGGAGTTCCATCCGAAAAGCCTACCAACAAACACGCCACTGGGCCCAACTGTCGGGAACACCAAGAAACCAGATTCTGGGATTCTGCTTGAGTTTTAGTCTACCCAAAATGCCAAATATGTTCAGAGTTTCTCTGACTCCGTCACGCCCCGTGTGCTTTGGGTTGCATGGTCCGGTTACCTCTATAAGTGTTCTCCTGAAACCTTGAGACCCGTACCAGAAGATTATAGTATACCAGAAGATTATGAGATGCAATTCAGGCACCTAGCCAAAGAACTCTGTGAAGGTAGGTTGCAACCCGACATAGAGGAACCCAAAATGGGAAACCATGTTTAACCAAACATCAAACATCTAGTTGGGAAAGTGAGTCGTTGCCTGACGTATTTGTTTAAACGCATATTGTTGCAGCCATGCACCTTGGTCGCCCCGCTGCTGCAGCACATCCTTCTTTAGGCGCCTGCCCATGAAGATGGAACCCAAATGTGCTTTGTTTTGAGGGTACCCTGTCCAGCTTGGCTCCAAGGAAAACCAGGAATACCGACAATACCGAGATCCATTTGGGGGTCCGATTTCCTACGTGAGACATCTCGGTTTTCTCTTGGAGAGCGCAAAGGACAGAAAGGGTACACCAAAAAAACACTCCCATCTGGCCATGAGTGTGAATCTAGGCCAAAAAACTATTCTCTCTTTCTCTCTCTCTCTCTCTCCCCCTGGCTGCTGACTGAGGGCTGTGCGCGCTACGTAGCTCCGTAGCTGTTTTTCGCAATATGTTTGTTTTCCCCCCCCCCACTTTAAGTTGGACCCTTTGGTGGCCATGGTTCGGATTTGTGCGAAGCAATTAGGAAGGAAGTCCCAAATTTCAACAAACGGGCCAGGTGGTATGGGGGGAGGGTTCGCAAAATGGTTGTCGCGTTGGTTTTCCTTTAAACCAAGCCCACAAACGGTTACCCTCCCACCAATTGACATGGAACCTGACAGGGGGCGTCCTGGAAGACCATTTTTCTGGTAAAGGGACCCCCTGTCAGGTTCCGATGTTAGTTGGTGGGCCCGGAACCCTTCCACAACCCCAGCCCGCAGCCGATCCGAACCACTCCGGATTATTTGGGCAGACCCCAAAGCCCCAAAGCTGATGTCGGGGAAAACACATATTAGGGAGCTTCTCAAAATGGTGGACGTCCTTTTCTGGGCTGCCCTCAGATCCCCCTCTAAAAGTTTAACTTTTGGTAGGTTAAATGGAAAATACCACCAAACACTGAAAGGCTAAAAGGCTAAAAGGCTAAATGGCTAGGGAACCGGATGGCTGGGAGCCACCAAGTTTTGATTGGTATTTAAAGGCCCACGCCAACCTATTCATGATCACCAAGCCGTGAGGCAAAAGATACAGAAAGGATGTCGGGCCCTGTCTTTCGCTGACTTGTGGTGGGGGAGTAGGATTCTGTATACTTCCCCTTGAAATAGCACCCCAAGAGCAAATGCACTTACTCGCCGAAAGGTGATGTTTGATCTGGTCAAAAGGACAGAAATATGAGGAAGCCTGAGTTCTCTCAAAACGCCCTGAATCCTCAGCGCCTGATCATCACTGTGCCCAAGAGACCTGGGGCACTGAGGTTTTGCCACCTCACCCCAGCCTGCCCCCAAGCACACGCCCCCCCCCCAATTGTGGCAGGGTGTGCTTGGTGTGTCCCAAGGGGCGTGATCTTCTTCAAGGGCAAGCTTCGGACTTAGAAAAAGATTACCATGGCAGCGCTCAAAACCAAATAAACCCATTCACCTTTCAAAACAGCACCGCCCACTCCAAATGGCCAATTGGGGTTTTGGGCGCTGCTCGCCGACAAGGGCCCCTAGTTTCGGCACCACCATTTTCTCACTTGAAATGCTGCTCCGAGGGCCGTGAAACAATGAATCTGGGGGTACCTTCCCCATTCTGTCCAGGGATCCGAATCTTTTCAGGAAACCATCAAACACCCTGGAGAAACAGCCGGTTTTTGAATAGAACGATGGTTGCAAACAATGGGAATCAACCCGAAGAATGAAGCCGTCACTTTTGGGGAATCCTGACTTCAATCAGAAATTCAAGGGGCCGACGGGGAAAACAGCAGCGTTGTAAAACGAAACCTAACGCTGGGAAAAAAATACACGGTGTTGATCACGTTTTTAGGTTTCGGCCAAAGGAGCAACCACGCCATCAAGACCTGACACGGGCTCCGCACCTATTTCTGGCTAGGACTGGCCCGCAACTACTGCAATTCGTCCACCCGCGTTTGGAGGATGTGGGTTCCAGTGCTTGATTTCAATTCCGCTGAACCTTCAAGAGCTGGTTCTCGGATCCCCAGTGAAACGATCTATGGGTTCTCTGACTAGTAGCGGGCTCCCTCAATTTCCGCTGGCCCAAGGCCCCCACGGCTCTGGGGCCTCGGCTGTTGAGCTCCGGGGTGCGCTGGGCGCCGTTCCACTTCACGGTGCTGCGCCCCCCGAAGCGCGCCACCCTCAGCTGAGTGACGTGACGCGGGCCACCTGGGTGGCTTAGGGAAGCTTGGGGCAGGGGTAAGGCGACTTGCTCAAGACCGCGTGCCTTCAGTGGGCCTTTCTTTGGGAATTCGGGGGATGGATGTGCTTACCAACTACCTTTGGCTGTTCCAACTGTTCACAAATCGAATGGGATTCTGAAGATTACCCTTTGAGGGGAAATAGAGGGAACGCCTGTTAAGGGGAAACTGCAAATGGAAGCCAATGCCAAATTCTCCATGCTGAGATTTCCCCCGTTTGAGGCATAATGAGAACCTGGTAGTGAAGTGGTCTACCCAAAAGAATGAAGAGGGTCACTCTTCACCTGGGGCAAAAGGTCTAACTGCTCGCAGGTTTATGGCGCCAAAAGGTCGGGGTTATAACGTTACACCAAAGACCTTTGGAGTTTAGAGGCGAGGAGCTTGCAATGGAACCAATGAGAATCCCCTTCGGTGGCTTGACTTGGTGAGGGGGGAACCCCCCAAACCATCAAACCACACCAAACCCCCAAACCCCCAAACCACCAAACCACCACTCCAAACCACCAATGGCCACAGCCAAGGCATCGGCTGCTTGTAGGAATACCGCTCTGCAAACTGCGCGAAGCTCGGCATGCCCGACGGGAGCAGGGCCTTCGAACCGATCGCAGGGCTCAGTGTTCTAGTGGCTCCTAAGCACTTCCTGAGTGGGCTGGACAAAAGTCCAAACTATTTGTTTGCCACCAAAATGGTCCTAACCCCAAACGTATGAAGTCCAGGAATTCTTCCAACCAGGTTTCCGGAAAACCTCCAAATATCTGGAGAAAAGGGCCGGTGTTCGATCGAACGATGATTGCAAAGAATGAAATAATAAATTGCAAGTGTTGCAAAAGCGCTGGCCTTTGGAGTCGACAGCGAACTTCAACAGGTACCAGCTTGCTTCAAACACTGAAGTCGTATGGAGGGGGGTTGCCAACATTCAGGTTCCAAAAGGGGATGACATCATGGCCCTGCAACTCCCCAAAAAGATCCGGCGTCGCTCTGTCTTCGCCCGGGTTTGACGTTTCAAGCCGGGGCGTGGGGCGTGAGTCAAGCCCTTGGGACGATAGGTGCAACAAGGCACGGCTTCGAAGAGTTCCGCCAAAAGCCGAGGGCCACAAACGGAGAGGCGGGCCGCACCTGGCGGCCTGATGAATATTTCCCTCAACTGCCCAAAGGGTTGACCGGGCTTGCGCCAACCAGTTCTGTGTTGGAGCAACTCATTCACAATTGACATAGGCCTCCAGTGGCCATGGGGAAACAGGGCCGCCCCATTCTTGGTAGCCTACTAGTATCAAAGTGCCCCCCTCATCAGAGGGGGGAGGGAAACCGTTGCCATTTCAGGAAATGGATCCACATCCGGGTTTTTGCTCCGTCTCAGATTCTGCTTCATAGTTAGTCTTACAAGTCAGAGGCCAGCTAAGATTCCACTATCAAGTGGCCAAAAAATAAGCCTTCTGATACCAAAGCGGGACATAGGCTTGGAGACACGGGACATAGGCTTTTCAAATAGTCAAATACTCCGGGTGCTTGAGCCAAAATGGCAACATGCCATTTTGGTGAAGCATTTCTCACACAAGTCATGTTTCCACATGTTCCAACATCTGCAAAATGTGGTGTTTCTGTCTGCCTCCAGCTGCGTGTAGAGCTCCGCGGCCCGGTTCACCGCCGGCGTGCCGCCTGGAGCTAGGGTGCAACCGTTCCACGCCAAAACAAGGCGCATGGCCGAAGAAGTCAGGTGGAAATACCGACTAAATGGTTGGGCGCTGCGCGAAGGACCTCTAACCCACGTCAAATGGAATTCGTTGATTTCCCTCCCCCCCTGAAAAAACAATATATATATATATATATATGTACATATATATATATATGTGCAAAAGAGCTTCAGCGGGTTGCTGGTGGGATGCTTGATGGTTGAATCCAGGTTGCCAATAGTTGCCATTCGAATAGCATGGAAAGAACAGGTTGACTCTCGTCGCTATCCCCTCCCATTCCCAGTTTGTGATAAACATGGAAAAAACAACCATAGGCTTCCGCATCTTGGTTCGCGCCTCCAATTGAAAATCCACTGACCGGTAATGGTTGGACGTTTGATGGTTGGGCTCTGGTGAAAAGCCGTCACAGGCACTGCAGATTTTGCGGGGTGAGGCACTGCAGATTTTGCGGGGTGACTGGATTGATTTCCCCCTTTGAGCTGCGTTCCAGTGACAGATGCCTCAGGTAGCGTGGGACATCGAGTGTCTGAGTCCAATGCGCCCGGAAACCCCAGGCCCCGCGCTCAGGAGCAGCACTCGCCGCGCCGCTTTGCAAATGCCCACCTCGCTTCAGCTCAGCCAATGCGTCTGAGACGCTTCGAATGCGCCCAAGAACTGCGGGCCGTGAGCATCTTGCCGGCTCAGAAATTTCCGAAGGCAGGTTTGCGAGCAGAATGAGAAAGGCCACTGAGCCACGGTCAATGTTCATGGTGTCCTCAAGTGACACGGGGTTTTGTTGAGTACCCCCATGTCCTAATGGCAGGTTGGCACCGGAAAACATGACAAAATATGGGTGTGCCTTAAAATAGGACCCACAAACGGTGGGAGTCCTTTGGTTTCTCTGGAAGACCAATGTACAAAAGGGTACCCCTACAAAAAGGCACACCCATAGTGACCGTTGCTCAAATGGAGAATGTGTCAAAGTAGGGAACACCCTACGGTTTTGAGAACGCAAAAAGGAATCAAACCATCCGGAATGGGTCAGCAATTTTGAGAAATACCCAAATGAGAATGTGTCAGACTTGGGATGACCCCCCAAAATGGTGGACTTACTTTTGGTTTCCCATTAAACCACGGTGAAAAGGGCAGTGCGCCTCCAAAAGCACACGCACACACACACACACCTAAATCAGAACGATGGGTGTGTCCCAAATTAGGGATCCCCACAAGGGACCTTCATCCTGGCTTTGGCTCGTCCGAATCAGTTCACCATTGCCCCCCACCCAGGGGAAGCCCCAGGAGCTCTGATCGAAGGCTCTTGGAATCCGTGGCGGGGTGCCCGAGTCTTGATGGCTATTACCCCCTCCAAAAGTGAGTCATTCTTTGCAGTCGTTCGTCTTGTCGCAATTGCCCCAACCCACAAATCGATTGCGGCAGGAGGCACGTTTCTGGGGCCGTCCTCAAATCCCCTTCTAAAAGTGTTCAACTTTCAGTGGCTTAAGTGGAAACCCAACCACCGGACCAACTGAAAACCTAAAAACCTAAATGAATATTTATCGTTGGGTTTAACCACTGCAGGGAACCGCCACGTTTTTGCCGCTTGGTTTAATTCCTATCTGCTTCCTCGGAGCCGCTTCGGCGCCCGAGGCCGTGACCACCACCTTGGTCCTTTGGCTCGTGGACTCCTCCGGCGCTTGGCATTCCCTTCATCGAAGCGGTGTCCGCCCTTTGAAATGGGGGAAAACCTGGGGCCATGGGTCAAAACCCAAATCGGTGAGCCCCAGGGAACATCCCAACCACTATGTCCAGTGAAATCGATTCCTTTTCAATCCAACCGGAAAATAAGAAAACACGTTCTTAAGCAAGTGGAAGGATTATATGTTATAAGCAATAAACAAAAACTCTTGCTTGTCTAAAACCCTCTCTCTCCCACATCGTGGCAGCTGACAGGGGAACGGTCCCTCGAAGGAATTGGATCTTCCAGGTACCCTACAGGTGCCATGTTAGTGAGAGGGAGGATGCCCAATGATTCCATTCTGGATTTGTAGGGAACCAGAGGTGAACACCAGGGGGAACATGGCAGGTTACCTGCTGTCGTGGCAACTGGGATCAGCCGAAGTGGTGGGAATATGTTCATGTTTGAACAGCCACATTACGCTCCCTACGAACTTGGAACCTGGCACCTCTACAAATCAATCAGGATACTCAAATCTTCCAGTTCCCACTATGGTAAGAAGTCAAAGGTGAGACACCATGGTTAGCTGCTGGCAACTGGATTCCAACGAAACAGGAAGCTAGTCCTTTCGCAGCGATGGAAAGTCCAGGGAACCTGTTCGCTCCTTCCCTGGCGGACTCACGAATCTTGCCCCCCCACGGGCCAGAAGGCAAACACCCTGCTTTGGTTGTGATAGGCATCCTTCTGGGCGCGCTATGTTTCTTGAGGGCCACGGTTGTTTTGTTTCAACAAAAGGAATTGAAAGGGAAACCTTTATTTTAACGGGGCTCCACCAGAGACAACCAGAGGAGTCTCTCAAACAATTTTGGACCCTGTCAAACAATTTTGGATTTCCTTTGGGTTGGATTTCTTAAGCATGTTTTGGAAATGGACACCCACCAGGCACCAACAGGGGTCCCTCCATGTCCCGTTTTGTTTTGTGACCCAAACTGTCAGCCTCAGGCGAACCAACCGGCAAATTGCATTCTGCTTGGGAAGATCCGGTGGCTCATCTTGCCGCTCCTTGATGCTCTGGGACTCATCTACGATCACCGCAAGATAGTCTCGACCTCTCAGGGGCACGTTGCTTAGAATATGCTTTTATCAAAATGGCATGCGGACCCCTTTAAAGGATGCGTAAACAAAAACAAAAGGAAATTCCTATGTACTCCTATGTATGTGGAGAAACACTCAAATGGTCAACCTCTGTACTTGTCTTGGAGGTTAGGCTATCAGGGCGGCTTTCCATGTGGTTGAAACAACAATCAGAGATGTTTGTTCACGCAAGACAAACAAAAAGGAAACCATCCGCCGCAGGCGCCAGGTACAGATGCAATAGTTGTAATGTAGCCTGCGCGTCCAATCTGCAAAGCAAACCCTTTCCTTCGGGCGCAAGAGAGAAATTCGGACAGGTCCAGCACACACGACATGTCGCAGATCCAGATCCGCCAACCACCCAACCACCCAACCACCCAACCACCCAACCACAACCACCCAACCACCCAACCACCCAACCACCCAACCAACCAACCAACCAACCAACCAACCAACCAACCAACCAACCAACAACCTCCAGGCCATTAAAGGGCACCAGGGTTCTTTAGCAACCCAATCAACAATAACGGATTTGGATATTGAAAAACTAGTACATCTGAGCCAATGCGCGAAACTTAGAGCTCGTCCCCCATGTCCCAAATGGGCCACAGAGACAAATCAGGGCATTTCGAACGAAGCCATGCCATTCCAAGCGGCACCAACGCTGGGCTTCCCGCCATCCGTGCGCCGGCGCAAAGCTTCGCAGCGTCGCAGCAGGTCGTATGTGGCCACCTGACTTCCCGACTTCCAAGCCGAAGCCATTGGCCAAGCGATCCATCCGCGGAGCGTGTGGTTCCGGCTGGCCTCCCCCGTTCCAACCCACCTGACACGACGTGTTGCCCAAGCGTTAACCAAGGGGATTCCACCCCGAGCTCCATTTGTATTTCAGGGTTCCTCAAAGGGTACTTCCAAAACCGCCTGCCTTACCAAGCTATCCTCGAAATCACCGCAGCGGCAGCTGGTAAAAATGCGTTTCTTTGGGTTCAACCATTTTCAAGGGTTGTTTTCAAGAATGGCAAATGAGACCACCCCGAAAGGGTTTTACTCCGACTCTACCAACGGAAACCCGCTGCAGGAAACGTGATAAATCGCTCCCTTCCCAGACAGTGGACTCCCATCAGGACAGAAAAGGCCTTCCCCTTTGTTGGCCGGTTGATTGCTTCTAGGGGACCCCCAGGTGAAAACGGAGGACCCCAAGGGATCTGAAAAGTCCATACTGTGTCGTCTTGAAGCCCGCACTGGGATGCACGCCACCACTCGGGCGGACTTGCTCACCTTGTCCTTGCTATTCCTCGCGCGCAGGCGGGCGACACACGAGCCTGTCTGCCTTGGGACCAACCCGGAACAGAGTACCCTCCGAAAAGGCACACCCACCACTGGGCCCACCACGCACCGGTGACCAAACGAGCCAATTGAGACATCCACTGCCAACCCGAAGCTGCGATGGGTCTGTGACCAAAAGGAAACCAACTTGGGGCAAAACTCGCTGTCCATCATTCCCTGCTGACAGCTGAGCACCAGCAAGCAAACATTGTGGTGGCAAACCTGCGCTGCTTGGTGCTGTGGCGACTCCAGCCACTGCATGCCCATCCATGTCGAGGCCGCTATCATCTAAAACCTCAATCTCGGAGCCACGGTGGTTCTTCTTATTGGGTCTTTGGCAGAATAAAAAAACATCACGACTCTTCTGGCATGATACTTGGTCTTTGCAGGTAACTTAGCAAACTGAAAGATGCCCTGCCGCCTTTCAGGGATTGATTCCCCATCCCTTCACAGCAGTAGTTTCGGCGGGAGTTTTCCTCTTGAAGCCCTTTTTGGGCTACTCCCCAGCGAACACACCCATCCGACCCACCCATCCGGCCTCACCACATGCACCAAGTTCCCATCCTCCCCCACCAGGTGAGGCAGCCACTGCGCCGCCTGAAGTCCAAGCGGATCAGAAAAACAAAAAAAAACGTTCAGCAGATCTTCAGCCTTGGCCTTGGCATTTGTCAGTGTATATTTCTAGGGGTCTGCTCATTTCTAGGGGCTGGAGAAAACAAGCTGACTGCTGGCATTATATACGCCCAAATCTGATTTTCTGTGTTTTGTGCTTAGCACATTTTTTTCCCCCGGTGAAAAGGGGCGACGGCCTCTGAATACATGACAACTATGATGTCTTGGGGACTCCCCAACATGGTGTTTTTTGGCTTTCCTTTGGGTTCTCCTTTGAACTTTCCTTTAAAGCCGCCAAAAAAGGGGTACCCTCAAACAAACAAAGGCGCGTGATCTGAGCCGCTCGTGCATCCCGCATCCCCGCCTGGTCTCGCCAAACAAAGCGAAGGGACGATGGGGCGATGACCAAAATGGGCCACTCAGCCTCCCGCGGCTCGGAACGGCTGCAAGATCTGCATTGGCGATTGAACGTTTTGCTCGTCGGGCGTCCTGTTGGGTTCCAGCGAACAAATGGGTTGGTGCAAGCAACGGAAAATATGTTTGTTCTTGCTGCTCAGTAAGGAATGACCATGTTGGGAATGACCGTAGGAAACTACCAGGGATGGTATTTCTCGGGGTCATTCCATTTCTCATGCGTTGCAAAAAAACCAGCCAGTGCTTTGTCTATTTGAAAGACCATGGCCCGGTTGTTCCACCGCATGCCCCGCTGAGAAGCTTCCCGCCTCAAAGTAGGCTGCCAGCAGTAGGGCCTGGGACGCAGGGCCGAGAACAATTTGCGCGGGACCAAAACCACGAGACATGGAGATGAGGGAAACCGCCATTTGGAGCAACATGTTTTGAAGACTCAAAAGAAAAACACAAATTGACTCACAAACCTCTAAATGGTAGAAGAATTACCCCCCCCCCCCCCAAAAAAAAAAAGGAGAAAAAAACAAAAAAAAAAAAAACGAACAAATGCGTGTTTTGACTCCACCAAAAAACCCGCAAAGACGCCCAGCGCCTGCAGCGTCTTCCCGAGGCCCATCTCGTCCCCCAGCAGCACCCGGCCCGCGCGGTGCAGGCCGAAGGCGAGGCCCTCCTCGCGTCGGTGCTTCGGTGCTTCGGTGACCGGGGGCGTCCTGTAAAAAAACCCGAAGGCAGAGGGCAAAAGGAAACTGGACAGGAAACGGCGAAGGAAACCAAAGGAAACGGCGAAGGAAACTAAAGGAGACCTGAGGAGACCTAAGGAAACCGGAAAAACAAGAAAGCACGGAAAGGGATTTAAGGAAAACCAAAACAAGCAAATGAAAGCAAAGGAAAGCAAAGCATACCCAAGGAAGTGTTTGGGCAGAAAGATCAGGGTTGAAAAAGAAAACGCTGGGGTTGCTGTTCTTGCCCTCCAACCGCCGCCCAATTTTGGGAGTCCCCTTCTTTTAGGTCGTCAAATTGGCCACTTCCAGAAGCTTTGGAGGACCCCAACGTCGCGTCCCTCGTGGTCACTACAACCATAAATTGTTTGACAGGGGCGCGATAGTAAAAAGGGAATCCCACATGAAAGACAGGTCTATTTGTGCTGCGTGGTACTTTCGTGTTCTTTGAGAGTACTTTTTTGGAGTGTTCACGGGAATTGGTCCAAGGAAGCCACCCAGGCCCCCCCACCCCGGGGGCCTTCTGGTACGGAAGCACCGAGCTGGCCTGTGAGGCCGACTTCAGTCGTCTCTGTCGAGATCCGCAAAATGTCGCAATGGTGTTTTTCTTGGTTTCCCTACAGCACCCAGAAAAAGGATGCCCTGAAAAGCAGAAACTCTCAGTATGTGCCAAGCTAGGTGGACCCGCAAAATAACATATGTGTTTCTTTCCTTTCGTTTCCGACGCTGTGAATCGCAGGCTTTGTCTTCAACAGCAACCAAAGGGAGACAATTGCCCGCCTCCTTCGGGGCAGTTGTACGCCCGACCCGGACTATTTGGGTGTCTTTTTGATGGAGCCCTTTTCGGGGTTGGTTTAAAGGGAAACCCAAAGGACACCAGCCATTTTTGGGGGACCCCGATTTTGGAGTACACACCTATTTCGTCTCCGAGTTGTGTTTTGGGGGGTCGGCGTGTTGGGATTCCCCAAAAGCAAGACAAGCACCGGTCCACTTGCAGGGCAAACATGCGATGTCCGTCCTGGCCCCCCTCCGGCAGGCTCCCCAGGAATTGGTCGACCTGGCGAGAGGAGCATAGCACGACTTCCTCGGGAAAAGACCCAGCTATCACTCGCTTCCTACCATTTGGATATGTTAGAATAGGGAGACCCAAAATGGTGGTCGTTGTTTGATTTGCCTTTAAACCAACCTGAAAGAGGACCCTCAAAAACAGAAAAGCACACACACAAAGCGCAACACACACACACACACACACTGACACAAAACAAAAAGTTGGTCATCCCTCGCGGGAAAAGCGAGAAAGTCGGCAGTCCGCCCCCAGATTGCCAGCTACTCATGTCATGTTGGGCACAATTCTTGGGGCTCTGACGTTCTCTGATGTTGTCCCCTGGCTAACCAGGAGGTATCTTCCCAAATCTCCCATGTAAACCATGTTTTTTCTCAAAATCTAGCCTGAAAACCGTCGTGTTTTTTTAAAGCCCGAAAAAGGCAAATACTTCTCCTGCTTTGGGAAAGGCACCCCCGTCCAGAACCCGGGTCCCGACTCCGCCTTGGCCTTGGCCTCCGCCAACGGCAGGCCGCCGCAGGGCGGGCCGCCCCGCTCAAAGCCGGCCACCTGATGTCACAAGCCCGCCCTCTTCACATGGAATCCTTCGACGTTCGGGTGTCCTTTTGGACCATGTTCCTTTCAAAGGGACAGAGGGTCCCGAACCTCAGGTTCCATGAGTTGGTGGGAGGGTAGTTAGTTGCTTGGATGATAGTGTGCTGGCTAAGCGTGCTCCGGCCAGCAAAATAACCTGAAAAATAGATGTGACCACTGTTGGGTGCAATGATCTCATTTTTAGGAAAGGGCTGAAACAAGGACTTTCCCGAAAACAACTTGCTGGTGCACAGCAGGGAATGAGAAATGGAATGACCCCGAGAAAGACTGTCCCCTATGGTTTATTTAAGGGAAACCCTGTCCGGTTAAGGGAAACCCTGTCCGGTTCATTCCCAACACCCGGAAGGTCATTCTCTACTGAGCACCTGCAAGAAAAGGACTTGTTGAGTGAGGCAAAAACCAGAAACTTCTGCTTGCACACTAACGTCAAACAAAAAAAAAACACCAGCCTCAAATAATGCTCCAAGAAACGAGCCCACCATGGACTTTCACTCGCCAACCAAGTTCCCAAAGCGCTCTAATTTGCCCCACAGGGCTTTTCATTCATGTCTTTGCGAGGGTAAAATGGGAAACCACCCACCAAACCACAAATCTAAGGGTTCCTTCCCCTTCTTTCCAGGTATCAGAATCTTTTCAGGAAACCATCAAACACCCGGGTGAAACAGATCCGGTTTTTAGAAAAGAAGGATGCTTGAAAAGAATGGGGACTCGGACTCAACCCCTAGAGCAAATCTCCAACCCCTTTTTGGTCCGTAGGCTCCGAATCGGTGCCTCTAACTCGGCACTGCTCGGCACTCGGGCCCCGCACGGTGCAAACCCAGGAGGGGAGCGGGGAAAAGTCCAGGCCGGCGGCAGCCAGGGCCTAGCGCGTGTGAAACTCTCCAAATGAAAATGGGTCTGTGTCAAAAGAATGGCAACAATGGGTTTCCCTTCAAAAGCAAGCAAAAGGTGGTTTCAACTGGACAAGATCGGGATTTCGGACAGGCTGGTATTTGAAGGCAAGCCAAAAGGAAACCAACCGCCATGTTAGGACATGGAGCCCCCTGACCGCAAGGCGACTCAGCTCATGAGACGAGTCGAGTGAAGGAGGGAGGTGATTTGCAAGGCCATGATTGCAGATTGCTTCTTTGCAGATTGTTGTTTTATGCATTTATTGTCATTGTTATGTACGGAAACCAGGGTGTCCAACAGTTCCCCCCCAGATCGGCAGGTAGCCATGTGAACAAAGGGCACCGTTTGCTGGACCTTGAGTTTAAGGGACAACCCCTCCGGAACAATGGAAGGGTAGCTGGAAGTTGGGGTGCCCTCTATAACTTGAACTTCTGCAAATACCTTGAAGTACAGTCTGAGCCAGCTAAATACCTCCTTTCGTAGTCAGGGGTTGACAGGTACTTGGAGCAGGGGGAACCTTCATGCATCCTCCATTTGTTCTCTCGCGCAGTTTCTGCGGCCGCCTGGGGCCCTCACCTGTTGGCGGAAAGGCAGGTCTTTGTGCCACGCCGCTGTACACTTCTGCTCCCTTCCCCTTTCGTTAAACAAGTAGTAACCCTATTTTCAGGAGCAATAACCATATTTTTGGGTGTGTTGAGGGTCGAGGTGCTTATTTGTTCGGAAAGAACGATGGGAAAGAAGCGGAAATCAACCGCTAGACTTGGGAATGTGTTCATCCAAATGGTGGGTCACTGGCTTACTTCCATTTCCAGCTTTGACAACCGTCACACACCAATTGAGCCACAATCAAAACCTTACCGAGTCGACCCCACAGATGTTCAGTTTCCCTCTTGATGGCTTCCCATTTGCCTTCTACAAGAACCAGGGGGTTCCAATCCAAATCCAAACGACCAGTCCAAACCACCAATCAAGGGTTGCCCGAGCTGATGAGATCCGCACCTTCTGGTCTTTCCCTATGCGTACCTGACTCGCCCCTCAGCCCGGAAAGGCCGCTCTCAGGTGTCGCACGCTCTCGCTGAGAAGGGCCTCCTCACTGACCGACGGGAACGACCGGCCCGGCAGGCTCAAAACCCGGCGAAACTCCTTTGCACAAATGGGTGTGTGTGTGTGTGTGTGTTTTTTGAGGGTACCCCTTGTTGTTTGGGGGCTGAGGTTTGAATATGGGTGTGTCCCTTTTTTCTCCCCCTTTCCTTCTTGGTGTCCCTTTAAAACCACTAGAAAAGGGGCACCAACCCTCGAAAAAGACACACACACGCGCGCGCGCACACACACACACACACACACGCAAATGGTTGAACAACTTCTGGGTTTGTCTGGATGGATTGTTGGAAATCTGATCAAGTTGCTCGTTTGCTCCTTGAATGTGTCCTGATGAACGTGCTCAGTTTAGCAAGCTGTTCAGAGGCCTAGTCACCCAAGTCAAGGGAGCCCTCCCGCAGCTAGTGACTTTGATACCCACCAGTCCGAAAAATCCTATGTCCCCCCCATGTCCTCCCCTGGAGGGTCAGTTGCTAAAATGAAATGATTAACACTTCTCGAGTTTTCCGGGAGAATTATGGGAGTATGTCTTATCATCATCTTGAGGAAAAAGTCCTTCCACAACTTCAATATAGACATGCCCGGCTCCAACCAAATATTTTGAACCTGAACCTAGTTTGCTCTGCGGCTGGTGCCACAAATTTCTTGGAACCCCCGGTGGTTCTTTGTTTCTGAGGGAACTCCGAACTCCTTCCACTCTGGGGGGGCGATTTGGTGATTTGGAGTCGGTGCCCGCTTCTGAGGTGTTTTTTTCATAAGGAAGCCAAGAGGCAAACCGCCCCATGTTGCAAATCCCGCGTCCGATTTAGGTGCATCTTTTATCAGGGGACCCTTCCCCCCGAAAAACCACAAAAATGCAAGAATTCTCTTTCTCCTGTGGCTTCCATTTCACGCCACCCCAAAAAAACGGGGGGGGGGGGTAATTAGTTTCCGGCTCCCAACAAAGACGGGACGCCCACAACAAATGGGTCACCCGTGCGCGCCTCCTGCGCCCGGGCCACCCCGGGAGCCCGGCACTTCTCAGCCGCCCGGTGCAGCGCCTCGCGCTGCACGTGGCCGACGGTCAGGCGATGCCTGCGGCGAAGCGAGCTCGACGGCTTCGGGTCGGAGGGTGGGGGGAACGCCCCTCTCTCCAAACCCCTTGCTTGGCTTCCCCCATCTGGCCCGTGAGCTTCTACCTTTCGGGTCCGGCAAGTGTCTCTGCCTCTCAGGGAAGAACTTGGAACCCCGAGAAACAAACCATCCATGGATTGGGGTTCCTTGAAGGGAATCCGCAAACGGTTCATTCCCAACACCAGGACCGGAGCGGTCATTCCCTACTGAGCACCAGCAAGTGTCCATGTTAAAGCACTTCTCCAGGGGGTTGGCAGGAGTCTTCGGGGATCTAGACAACCATAAAGATATGTGTTTTTGCAGCTGGTACCCCTTTGCAGGTGGCTTTAAAGGCATGTGTTGTTTTCCACCCTAGGTATTATTGCACCCAATGAGATTAGGATCTCTATTGCAAGGTTATGGACCTCAAAAGCCTTTTCGAGGGCGCAAGATGCTAAGGGCAAAGATTTAGAAGTTTCTCAAAATGGTGGATTCTGTTTTGGACTGGCTTCAGGGACACCAAAACCAAAGCCACGATGTGTTGGTTCTCTTCTGTTGAGACGATAGACGTTTCTTAGTCTTAGATGTGCAAAGGCCCTCTCAAAAGGAAAGTAGTCTTTCAAGGGGGTCTGTGCACCACCTAAGAATCCAGGTTGTCCGGTAAGTACTTAAACCAACAATGATTCCCCATGGTTTCAAAGTCATGCCGGATTTCGTCCATCCACAGTTTGTCCCCCTTTTTCCTAGTATGGATATGATTTGTTCATGGCCGAGACACCCTTCACAATTGTTGGCATAGATCCCTGTGTACATGATGTCCACAAAAAGGTCCCAACTTAAAAATTATCCCAATTCCCCCGCAGATTCACATGGAACCCCAAAATGCAACGCTTTCTGGTTCCATGTGAATTTGCAGGGGAATATCGGTTCATGTTCGTTTGATCATGCACCAGAACGTAACAAGAACAACCCGCAGAGAACAGGAAAAGAATGACTGCACGGAAACCTACACAACTCTGAGCAGCATCATGTAGTTCATAAAGAGCAAATAGCAAAATCCTAACCTCCATTTGCTTAAGCCCCCCCCTCCGAAAAACGAAAAAACAACATATATCCAGTAGTCCCAGATTAGATTCCCTTTAAATCCAACAAGGATTGAAACCTACACTCATCTTCTGCCACTTCAAATGGAAGCTTCATGTGCTCTCTACAAACACCAAGGCTTCAAATCCCCAACCACCAATCCAAGCAACCCTTAGGGTTACCTGATATTTTGGTTTCCCTTCAACCAACCCAAAGACCTTTGGTGTCACAAAAATACTCAGGTCCCTGTTTGGTTTGCCCACGGAGCCTTGAGCCAAAAGCTGCTCAAAATCACTTGGGCTCCAACAACAAAAGGACACTTGTCTGACCACCCCACCAAGGGGTTGCCTGAGCTGGCCAACACCTGCTCACAATCACTTGGGCTTCTCTCACGAGGAGCCTGACATGGAGCCTTGAGCCCAAAGCTTCAAACACCAAAAAACCTCCGCCGCGCGCGTCAATCCCATCGCTCCCATCGCTCCCAGGCGCTGGGCCATGCGCGGCAGCAGCGCCCAGGCCAAGCGCCAGGCGCCCCGCAGCGCGGAGGCCGCGCCGTTGAAGGCCACCGCCTGCCAGCCGAAGGCCGACGCCGGCGGTTCTCACGGGAACCGGACGCCGGTGAAACGCGGGGAGTTCTGGGGGTTGAGGAATTTGGGGATTGGCTTTGAGGGTTTGATTTTTAGGGTTTTATTTTTGGGCTTTTGATTTTTAGGCTTTTGGGGAGGAGGGTTTGAGGGGGGGTTAGGGTTTGAGGGTCCCGTGGAAATACCTCCCCTTGCGGTTTTGAACATCACCTTTCAGCTTTCTTCCATTCGCTGTTTCTCCACCTGGAAGAGTATATGAGACATGCCCATGCGTGATTCATTCCCTGTGAAGACCACAGGGCCAAGTGTTTTTTCGTATTGGGCGACTGGAAGTGAATATGCTGGGGGCTTCCAAAAAGAGATCGGATCCATTTTGAGAACCCTCTGCCATCACCAAAGTGCCATTGGGAAATCGGGGCTCACCGGTCATTAAAGCGGGGGGGGGGGGGGCGATGAAGATTGGCCGTGCTATTTGTTCAGAGCGCCGCATGGAACAAATGGATTCGGGCGTTCTTCCGGTTCAGGGTGTGCGGGGAATGGAAATCGGCTCATGGACTCATGGCCCATAAGGCAAGTGTTGGTTGCAATGAGGCAAAGCAGGATGGACAAACTGGAACTTGAATTTGATTCAGACCCCTGGAAAAAATATGTCCGGTAGTGATAGGTTCCCTTCAAAATCAACAGGGGACAATAAAAAATATTCTTAAGCAAATGGAAGGGAAGGAATCGTCAAGAGATTCATCACGGATGAGCTTGTTCTACTCCCAGGTGAGCTTCGAACTAAAGTTGCAACGAAACGATGACTGCAGTGACGCCATTCCCCGGCTGTGTGAAAAGCCGCTTGCAAATACAAGATATATTCGTGTCAGAATAGGGGACCCTGAAATGCGTTCCTTGTTGCTTCCCTGGAAAACTAGGCAAAAGGGGGGTGACACCCCCGTTGAGCCATCTATTTTTCACCCATAAGATTCAACTGGCGCCAAGCCGCATTCATCTGAAGGCCCGTCATGCGCTGCAGCCAAGCCTTGCCAAGCAAGTCCCGATTCCCACTGAGCAGCCCACGAAACTGGAGCCGACGGACAACGCGCAATATCCCGAGGCTCGAAAACTAGGAAAGGATGACCTCCCACGGAAGATCAACCCTGGCTTCATAAACCTCTATTAATATCGATCAAGGGCACGACACCTTGAACAGTATTCCCAACTTGGCGGGGGTTGCCCAAGAACAGGCATCGGGCCATAGGGTGGTTCTGACCCACTTGCCTACGAACACATGGGGACGCCTTTTCTCCCCACCCGTCAGCCAATCCATCCCATCGATCCGATTTGAACCCAGTTGGGGCCTTGGTTTGGTGGTAACCTTGGGGGGGGTAGATGAAAGACTGCCCTCCCAAAACACTCAGTTGCCATCCAGAAATCAAAGGTGATCACCTTTTGGGGCCACTAAACTTGGACCATGGGGAAGCCGAAAGATCACCTCAGGTGGTTCGCTTTGGGCCTCGTCGCATTGGCCATAAACAAGGGCGTTTCCCTCCTCAAATGAGCCGCCAGGAGCATTAGCCGGTTGTGGAAATGTTTGCCAGTCCCCGTGTCCCTCCCAAATGAACACAATAAGCTGCTCATAGGTGTCCTTTTAGGGGCAATAGATGTCAGATGATTAAACCACCAGGTAAACCACGGCCATCTATGTTTCTAGCAAAACAACCAAAAAGGACACCTATGAGGCTGCTGAATATCTTGAGAAAAAGAACAGCTCCAAGCGGCCAAGGCCGGCCGCCATTGACGGCACCGGTCACAGGCGTCCACCACGGCGGACAAGGTGTAGACGTCTGGGCGCTGGCCATGCTCTGACCTCATGTGGCGGGACACGTCGCATGCGCATCTGTGAGTGAAAACGGAGTACACTGCAGAAAACATCTAAAAGGGCGTTGTTTTTTGTTGTTGTGTGTATTTATGTGGTCCTTGATTTTAGTTTTTTGGCAGGGGCGTATGCTTCTTGGCGGTGCTTAAGTAGGAAAGCTAAAGGGAAATACCCATTTGGGGGTCCCAGGCGATAGTTTTAAGTTTCCCATGTTCAGCCTACCTTTGCTGCATCGCTCTCGTGCCTCTTCATAGGGGCACGCCTCAACTTTGTGTCACGAGAGCGCCGTCGGCGCTGTGATTGGCCAGAAAACACAAGCATGCACTCTGAATTGTCGTGTGGCCACAAAGTACGCACGCGCATTCTGATACATTCTGATATGGCACTGTTCAGAAAGTTTCGGCCAGCAACACCACTAGGTTCCTACACCACCACCACCCCCCCCCCCGCGCGTCTACGGAGGAGAGCGGGCGGTCAGCCGGGTTTGTCGAAAGGGCCGGCGAAGTGCTGCGCGGTTGACGCTCAACCTATCACGCCAACCACAGCAGTAAAAACGGTTTTGAGCAAACCGTGTTGCCATCACCTTGTCCAAGTGGTCCAGCAACTCCATCACTCCAAGCCACGCAGAAGGCCGAGACCCTCCGCAAGGTCGGCCGAACACGGTGAGAGCTTTGGCTAGTGTAGTGAACACAAGTGGGACGTAAGCAGGGGCCAAGTTTTCCACCAGCGCACTCGCAACTTGGGCTTCAGCCCAGTCCAAAGTTTCTGGCGAAGCGCCTGGGCTGGTGGCCCCGTTCTCAGATCCACGGATTCGGGAAGAGAGGCCTCGTTGAGGTCTCTGCACTTTTGGTTTCATTGATGGAACCTCAGGTTGCGCTTGGCGCGCGCATTGCGAATAGTCTCCATGTCTTACTAGCGAGTCTTCCTACCCAACTTCTCCCATGAATTTAAACCTCTCTCAAAGTCACCCGGCGAAAGAAAAGGAAATCTGACTTTGATCATCCACTATTTGACCACTGTCAAAGTCCCCCCCCCCAACTGGTAGTCTAAAGCAGTAAAAACCAGCAAATCCAGTTTCTGACTTTCATCCAGAACCGTCGCTTTCATTTGCTCAAGTCCCCTGGAAAAATACTCCAAATGGCCATGGGTCAAAAGCCAAATCGTACCCCCAGTGAACATCCCACTCCAACTACTAGAATAGGTTCAAAAATGGGTGGTGAATTCACCTACCAACCAAAATGGGATCCCCTTGACCGGTTTTGACCGCAACTGCCAAATGACCCCCAGCCAACTTCCCAGCGAGTGCCAGGCCGCAGATTGGCCGCGAGCCAACTGGCCCAGCGCCAGCGCTGGGCGCAAGCGCTCACGGCGCCGTTGCTCTCCGCCAAAGCCGGGCTGCGGCCCTCCGCAACTCGCGGCGCGCGGCTGGGGGGGGGGTCGTCCCGGACACCGAATCTGCTTTATCAAGGATTGGCATTTGAGTCTTAAAGGGGGGGGTTCACCGTCTCAGACGAGTATATATGTCCCCTTAATTTCTCGAACTGATGTACGGAACAGGCCACTTGTGCGAAGCATCTCTGACATGACTTGGCAACATGCTGCATTATATAGACCCCCCAACCTGGCAGATGGTTTGCGGGTGCATCTTTAGGGAGCCCTCTAGATTGAATCCAAACTTTTGCGTTATTTTCATGAATTGTGTTCTGGTCGAAATGATGCAACCAACTTGTAGACCTCTGGTTCCCCCGGCTACTGTTGCAAGAAACAAATTGGTGAAGTGGGGTCAGGCACTGGGTTCTAAATTGGATGTCGTTCCAATCCACGAGCAAACCGGACGAATCCATTGCTCAGGCGCTTCGTCCCTTATGTGTGCACTGAAACATCACCAAGCCAGCAATTCTCGCACCATTGGCATTTCGAGGTTTTTTCTATCCCAACACTATCCCAACATTGGAATGTAGAGGTGTACCTGTATATATATATATACACATATGAATGTGTATACTGCATAAGGGCCCTCGGCTCTGGTTTGGGATGGATCGTCTCCCTGAAAAACCTCCGAAAATGTTGCTCGGCGCGCCTTCAAGCATGACAAGGCCGACGCCCAGTGGAATTGGCTCTGACCTCGTTCAGCAGAAAGTGAGGTTTCGGAACGTGGGTGTGTTCAACAAGGGATGTGTTGGACAAGCCCACCTCGTGGTCGGTATTTGCAACGGCCAGAAAAAGAGAAAAAAAGAAAGAATGGTAAGACTAGGTTACAGCGTCACGAGGCGCCTGGCACGAAATGACCGTGCCATGACAAAACCCACTAGAGCGGCCGGGCCGGGCGCACTGCAAGTGCATCTTTTTAGCACTTCACAAAACTACTTTCGGAGCAGCACTTGACACGTATTCACGGGGCAAACAGGGTTTGAAATGCCTCCAAGAACTTCATAGGGCTTGGATTGCGCAAGCTCTTGCGCCATGCCCACTGCATGCACCGACGGAGCCTGTCATTGACAGCACTGTCGCCGTCCACAGAGAAACTTTCTTGCAAATCTGCTTGGGAACAAAGCTTTTCAAGTTTTCCACTCAGATTCTAAGCACTGAGTTCCGCCCTTGCAGCGGCAAGGATTTCTTGACCTTGCAGTGCAACTCTTTACAATATTCTCGGCTCTGATGCGACACCTGGTAGACGAGGATTTTCAAGCTCTTGCCGGCTGTTTCCCACGCGCGAGCTCCATCTGCGTACAGCGGACTGGTTTTCTTTGTGTTGATCCGGGACAACAAGTGGCTATCCCGGATTTCAGCCCAAGACTCAACTGGCGGTCGCGACCGCGGAAGGGTTACCTGGTCAACATGCACAAAGTAAGGTCGAAACGTTTGTTTGTCTCAGATCCATGGCAGGCAAGAAAGAACAAAACGATACAAAACTGCGCATCAATATGGGCCAAATGACAGGCGGCCGCATGCTGCAAAATGTCCGTGCTCTCCAATGCAAACACATTGCAGTCGACAAGTGTAGTATTGCCCCGCCCCCCCACCCACCCCCCCCCGCACCCCCCTGTGCATCGTGTTTGTCGGGGAGGCACGAAACAACCAGGGGCCTGGCAGCGCTGTTGCCAACTACTGGGCGGTGGGCGCTCCAAATACCGAGCGAAAAGGATCACAAAACAAGACCTCGTTTGCCCCGAAACTGCCTGCCTGGTATGGCTCATGGCTTGATAGTTGCCCTGGACCCCCACACTAGTTAGTAGCGATTTGGCCTCTCGACAACCAAGAGCGGATGTCCGCACCCAATTCTGATTAGCTCTATCTCCTAACCTTCACGAATCGGTTTACATGTACTTTTGGGTTCACAACTTCGGCTTGATCCGCGGGACCACTGCAACATAGGGATGGCTCCTAGACTATCCTCTTTGTTTTTGTTTTTTGGGGGGGTCCTCTGGGTCCTCCGGATCAATGCGAAGGTAAGGCTCAGCTGAGCTGCATGAGCTGATGGCTGCGGGCCGAAGCACTGCTCTGGCTGAAAGGCCCCGGGCCTCGCGGAGAAAAGGAGCGTTGGACACGAGGACCCCCAGAGGTTGGGGGCCCAACCAATTTCCTTCATGAACACGAGGACTCGCCCCCACAATCAAAAAAAAAGCGCGCTTGAGAAGAAGAGCAACAGCCACTTCGGCGGCCCGGAATCTTGAGCGCGGAACTATAAATGGCCATGGGTCAAAAGCCCGTACAGTGAACATCCCAATCCCCAGTAAAATATAGACTAAAATGGGCAGTGCACCTACCCCATTGGTTTTGACCCACAGCCACATCAATCTAGTGGTCCTGGCAATGAACCAGAGGGGGATTGTCCAGGAAACTGCATTCTGCCCTTCCACCTCCATGGCTCCCAGCAGCTGTCTGCCCCTTCGCCAACTGGACGTCCCCAGCAGCGCCCCATAGAACGCCGCCTCGGGGAGCTCGTAGTCCAAACGGCCCGACAACATCTCCCCCTACTGTGGATGGTTGCAAAATCCTCTTAGGCACCCCCGTTCAGAAACCCAACGAAATCTTATGACTCCCCTGTAAATACCAACAAAACAATGGTTTCAACCATGGCTTCTTAGGTGGTACGACATGGATTTCGTGCATCCACAGTATCGCCCCCGCCTTTCGTTGGTGGAACTAAGCCATCCAGGTTTTGATCGCTGAGATGCCCAGCCCCAGGAAAAAGGTCGTCGCTCTACCGGAAATTCCCTTCAGATCGCGGGAAAAAGGGCAACCCGAACCACGAGTTCGACCAAGTAACCGGGCGCTTGTCTGGATTTGCAGCCTAGCATCACGCCAAAATGAACCTAGCGTCACGTCTAGCATCACGTCTTGCTTCAAATTGGCAACCTGCTCAAACTTAACCAAGACAGGAAGGAAAACTTTAACTGAACCAGGGAAAAAGTATCTTTCTTGAGTCCAAAGCTTTGGCCCCCTGTTGGGGTCCTGATGCGCCGGCAGCCATGCTTCTCCTTCAAACAATCGCGATCTGACCATGTCAACCCGTTTTTGAAAATTCAAGTTGATCTACCCTGCTTGCTGGGGAATATCTGCTTCCTCGCTACTTCGCAGATGCCACCTCGTTACTCAAGGACCTGCGCTGGATCAAGCAGGTTTAGCCCACCACGCAACCAAAATGTCTGCACCCCAGCCAGTATTGGAGGAATTTGCACAGAAGGTCTGCTGGGTAGTTTCTATTTAGCGATCTGCCTGATGCTTGCGTCCCGCCTCGGTATGTTCGGCAACACGGCCGACCGTGAACGGTGACGCCACAAGAGAACAGGACCCCAGGCTCCTTTTCTTTGCCACAGCGCAGGAGTGCGAAGAGAAAAGGGGAGGTGAGTAAAAAGCGGGTCACCAGCCCACTGTAGGCTTCCCCCCCAACCAAATAGAATTCATTTGACGCTGCTCCGTGCTTAGTGGACCTTCAAATGCAAAGAAATTGCCAAGCTAACTTTCTTTCTAAGGATTTACCTTGAAAAAGATCGACATCCCAGGTTACACCGGGATGAAAGAAGGTGGCACCACTCTCTTTGTGTGGGTAACTCAGGGGCTGCAAGCCCCAACTCGTTGCCACAGGCGCGTCGTGCTGCAGTAGGGTTTCGCTGGCACGCCGGCACAGGGCTGCAGCCACACGCCACCTGACAAATAATGGCAAAGCCGGAACTGGGCTGCCCTCAGATTACCCGCTGAAAGTCTAACTTTTAGTCGATTAAATGGAAACTACCACTAAACACTAAAAAGCTAAAAGGCTAAGGAACCGGATGGCTGGGAGCCACCAAGTGAAATAAGGGATTCCTGAGCAAAGGACCTTCATCACGGCCAGTTTTTGTTTTGCCGTTTTACCTCCAGGTGACCTCGTCGCATTAGTTTCTGCAGAATTGCCCCGGCCAGCTGGGGCCGACCAACTGGCAGTGCTTGCATTCCCAGGTCACCTCTGGCTTGGGACCCATGTGGCAATGCGAGAACGGGGCTTCACCACCCCGTGCAGCTTCCACAACGTTGGCTTAAGCAACCAGATCATGGACCCTGCCACGCCGGCTTCTCACGCAAAAAGTTCTTCGCGCTCCTGCCGCGCCAGACTTGGACGGCAAGGTCGCGCCCTTAGGGAGTGAGCCTTACATCTGACTTCCCAGGGGGTCCATAGGTCTGGAAACCGGATATGTAACCGCCTTAGAATCCTGAGATCTCTGGCGCTTTTTGGCCCGGATGCTTCTCCGCGAAATTCATGGCCAGGTGAAACCCTGCACATTGCTAAGCTTCAAGCTGATGGGACAGGCCTGGCCGCGCTTCTTTGGAGGTGTTTTTTCCTTCGGTGAATGGTTCAAGTTCATCGCAGGCTGGTATGTGCTTGGGATTGCCGTAGAATCCCACCCATTGCTTGCACCGAAAAGGTCTTCACACATTCCAAAATGAGCCGAGCCTTGCGTCGAGGGCGCAAATGGCAGCTGAGATTCCCGAGATGTCTGGCGTGTCCGTGGACGCCTTGCTGCAGCTTGGGATTTGTGGTCGCGCCCGCCAGCACAAGGCTTCTTACCTTCCCCCCGCAACATCACCACCAAGGTCAGTGAAAAGTGAACGCCTGTATCAAGGGAACTCAGGCTAAAGAGGATGGAGCTGGGGGCCAAAGAAAGACGCACTGGGCACCATTGAGCCCTATTGGGGACCGGTCGGGCACATGGCTGTTGGTGGGGAGTGCCAAGTGCCCCAAGGTTTGGGAAGATGAGTCATCGCACAAATTGCGCGCCTTCGCCCACCAAGCCCCATTCAGATGCTGACTAAGTGCATGTTCTGAAAATCCCCCATTTACAAAAAACCAACCGCAGAACTTGCGTTACGCGCCTTTTTTTGGTCGAACCCTTTCTCAGCCGAGGGGTCAAAAGTCCAAAACGGCCCCAGATCGCCCGCCCTCCAAGGCGCCAGCTGGAGCGCGTGGCGCCAGCTGCTTCCGCAGGCGCTGATGCCACAGTTCCAGGTGAGGCTGCTGCGGAGCGCCGACCTCGCGGCCGGCGCTCGGCCTTCCACGTGAGGGGGGTTTCCCCTTAGATCTCGCCAATCCACTCAGGAAGTGAGAAATCTATGGGATCGAAATAATCGGAAACCCAATCCCTTAGATCTCAGCGGAGGTTGGAAGCTTCAGCCGGAAGTGGTGGGGAGCTCAGGGCTATCAAGTGATGTCACCCTTCAAGCATGACCCCATAAGATGTCAAGCGGCATTTGCGACGTTCGAAATGGCATTCGTGGTTTGAGGCCACCCCTGTTTTTCAAGGTGCCCACTTTTGGGATTCATGGATACCCTTTCCCTAGCAAGCGTGATGCTTGAATAGCTCAGTTCCGTCAAAAATGCCCGTGCATGGAACACACAACGATTGGACAAACGAATCTTGACATCTTCCCAACCCCTAGCCGGCTCAAAACACAAGAGTCTGCGACATCCATGTTTTGCAACCACACTCATTTTGCTGGTTGGAAGGGAAGTTGAGGAACACCAAAAAGGCAAAAAGCCAAAAAGGCAATAGAAGGACATGTGTGTGTGGCACTGACTTGGCAAGGGCGTGAGGGAACTGGCTTCATTTGCATCCTGACTTGTTGATTCCCAACTCCGAAATTGATCCGCAAAACTCTCCGCAAAAAAACAAAAAACATACATGGGAAGCAAAACTGCCAATCAGGTCTGAATCCACCGGTTGCTCAGCAACCGCAGTGAAACCTGTAAACTCCCATCTATTCTCAACCAAACTGCGAAGTCAGACTGGAATTTGTCGGGTCCAACGCATTTCCTGCTCGGACATTGCCACAGCAGAAAGCCCCTACATTGCATGAGCAACTCTCAGTCATTCAACAATATGATACAAGGAAGCTTGTTTTACCCATAAACGGCACATGTCACGTGTCTCATGGCCGAGAAACTGTCCATCTCCTTCATATGGGCGATGACTTCCTTTGGAGAGCATTTTCACGTCTGGGTTTTGGAGGTACGGAGGTTATGTACCACTTGCATACTGTACAAGCTTATGTTCGATATTGGTTGTACATACTCTCCATACCTCCAAAACCCTTGAAGGACAGTCTATAGTATACCGCGGCCATGATATCTGGGTGAACTATCATATTTCACCAGCCTGAAATAAGGTGGTTGGGGGGCCATTCCCCACATAAACTGCCATGTTGAGGTCGTGTGAGGTCCTTATAATTCACCCAGATATAAGTGGAATGGAACCTCACCTCCAAAACCCCCTCCGAACTGCCGACTTGATCCACCTGACCATCGCCCGCAGGAGCAGCAAGGCCTGCTGCCAGGCGCCGCCTGCATGGATTCGCCACGAGAGTTTGAGGGTTTCCGTTTTCCAGGATGGTTCAAAGGGAAAACACCGGTGGGAATGGGATTTGTGAAGGTCAATTTGCCGATGTTGAACGGGCTTAAAGGGAAAACGCGCAGTGGAGGTCACCTGGAATAAGGATGTTTATGTGTTTTTCACTTTCAAGACCCCATCAGGGACTCTTTGAAAGGGCATCCTTCCCTGCATTTATGTCCCGTTTTCGAAGGCTACTTCTTTTCCTGGGGCCAGCGCCTGTCTCGCACGCGCCCACCGCGCGGCAGTAAGTCACAGGCGTCGGCGCCAGCCCATCGCACGGCATGGCGTGGGCGCGCGCCAACCTCGGGCTACGGAGGCCACGTCGTTCCAGGGCTGACCCACAAAAATGAGGTTGCCTTTCAAAGCCGGCAACAAAAGACACACCCCAGTGAACATCCCAATCCCCACTAAAATAGACTAAAATGGGTGGTGCACCTATCCCAAAATGGTACCATTGGTTTTGACCCACAGCCCACAGCCATATTGCAAGCATCGGAGCATGGAAGCGGATTATTCGATTTACCGTGCGTTTTGCCACGGTTTTGTGAGTTTTCGTATGGTTGATTTGCTTGCAGGATGGCAGAGCATGCACAGCATGAGCACGGATCTATTTGGCTTCCCTTTGGGGCAATGATGAGAACCCATGTTGATGGAGTTTGTAGGTGTCCCATTTTGGAAAAGAATACCTTGCTATTGATTTACCAGGTTTCAATCCGGTCTCCATACCTTCATCGCGTCTCAGTGTCCATGGCACGAAAGCCACCACGAAACTGTACAACCTCAATTTGACCTCCTTGAAAACTGAACGAGAATTCGGAATTCCGGATTGACAATCTTCTGAGTTTAACCTGCTTCAAAACAGATCTGCCTCCGTCTCTGCACTTCCTGAGTGGATTGGGTTTCCCACTAAAAATTGTCTTGCCAAAATGTTGCTCGAGTCCAGGAACTGAGGGAGCGAGAATCTTCAGTGGCTAAGTGGTGGTGGCAGAAGCCCTCCTTCGCCCACAGGAGCCACGCACAATAAATTCGGCAAAAGAAACCAAAGACTAGGGTTCTTTCTTTGGTTTTCCTCACTTACACCAAGAACCGGCGCTTTTGGCTGGAAGCCTTGAAAATATGGCCCCCCCCCGAAATGAGAACAGTCCCCAAACTAACCCACGTGTCCCCCTGCTGAAAACGGCCAAATCTACCTCACACCAGGGGTGGATGAAACCCGATGGTTCATAAACCACTTGGTGTCGATCGGCACCAGGATTTCGTCCCAACACTCCATCAGTTCAATTCAACTTGCATCACAACAACCTCCAAAACCACCCTCCAACTACTTACCATGTCCAAAATCCCAAGTACTGGCCAAACAGGCGGTAGTTGGTGTGATGCCCTGAAGGAGCCACCTTTTGCCTGGCGAGTCGCTTTTCCCCTGGCCATCCCTGGCCCCCCGCGCCGTGCCCTCCGCACAATTCGGGGCTCGGACACCTCCCGCCAGGCGAAGGCGCCCAGGCCGCAGTTCGCGGCCACGGCCTCGACGTTTTTTCGACGAGTTCGGGGCGGCGCCTGGGCCACCCTGCAACCCTTGGTATGGGCTGGCAAAAAAACCCGACGGCTTTTTTGCAGTCCCTAAAAAACAAACAGAAGCAAACAAAAACACATTAAAAGAACTTGCCGACAGTGAAGAGGGATTTTTTTTGGACATCAAAAGGAAAGTCAATCAGGAGAAATTTCAGGAAACCGTGCACTTCTCCTTACCAGAAACCGGCCCCCTTGATTTTTGCCTCATGAAGTGCTGAGTTGGTGCTTCGTTGTGCTTTCAAAAGAAAACCAAAAGGAAAACCTGGTTCCAAAAAAATAACGCACCGCATGATAAAGTTCCCGGTGCACAATTGGTGACCCTCAAACTCAAATTGTCGAAAAAGGTTGTTCTTGGCGCTGGGGGGGGATTCTCCATGGGTTTCGGGATGCTTCTCTGGGTGTATTTTAGGTGTGTATCTCATGGTGTACTTTTTGTGTATTTTTAATTGTTCGGACATTCATAGAACTTTGGCTGATTGCCCATCATGACAATAGGTTCTTTCAGACACTAGGGTGAGCTTTCTGAGCCGGTGTGAGACGAATCTGGAGGACGGATTGCGTCTTGAAAAGGGGCAACGTTCTTCATTTGGTTTCCCTTTCGCAGAACTCCAATCGGAGTATCCTCAAAGAAGACACACCCATTTGGCCATGAATTTTAAGAATCGGAACCAGCTTGGTGAACACGAACCCCCACCTAAATCATGCCAATGGGTCCCTGGCACGGGGTTCGCTGGATTTGTCTTGATTTGTGGTTTCCACTCGAACTACCACTTTTGGAGGTTCCAAACAAGTATGTTACCGTCAAAGTCGGCCCCCTTCAGTGGCGAGGGGAAGGGAAGCCACCAGTTCCAGTACTTCTGGCCTGCCAGAAACAGGCAAAATAACGAATGCAGCTCCAAGCCCTGCCACCAAGCCTGAAGAAGACCACGCGCCGCCAATAGCAGTCAAGAAAAGGGAAGTGGAGGAAACTCCGTGAAAACCAGTAGAGAGTAAGGGTACCAACTTTTTCTGTAGCCTATTTTAGTAGGGGAACTCTCCCCCAAAAAAAGGATAAAAGAGCACCTAGCTGGCAGACCTAGATGGCCCTTCAGCCCTCCAGCTTGGCCTCCCTGCGTCGAGCTGTAGGCTGGACACACGCAGCGCTCCCAAGACCCGCTGCGCCATCTCCCACTGCCCTGGACCGCGAAGAGCGGACTCGTTGAACTTGCGATGCAGCAAACAAGGCAATCAACGGCTGAACCGGTCCAATCGGCAATTCAACCTTGTTGAAACATGGGAAGAACTTCCAATTACTAAACAATCCGCCGACATTGTGGAGGCGTGTCGGATACCTAAGAGAGGATAGAGGATAACCCCCCCCCCTAACCCCGCCCCCACGGGTCGACGTCAAGGGGTCAAGCACGCACCGCGCGGTAATTTGATGACGTTCCACTAAACGAAGTCTTCGGGCTCGAATCCGCCTGCCAGCTCTTTGCTGGTTTGGGTTTCCTGCCTCCTTTTGCCGAAAATCTTGAAAAACTCTGTGTGTTTTGACAAACGCTGGAAAACCGTGCTTGTTTTTGTTTGCGGGAAATACTGGGGAGCAAAGGGGACATGAAAGGAAGTGCAATAGGAAGTCGACATGACAGGAAAGCGAGGGGAAATGAAAGGGAAGGGAACTGAAAGGGACATGAAAGGGACAGAAATGAAAACAAGGGGAGTGCAGGGGGGAATGAAAGGGAAACAAAGGACAAGGAAACCAATCGCAACGACGGGAGATTAAGGAAATGACTGGCAACGAAAGAACGGGACATACATGGAAAATGAAGCAGGGACATGAAGGGGGAGTTGAAAGGAATGGAAGGGACATGACCAGGACATCATGGGAAACGTGAAAAGGACATCTTAAGGGGAAATCAAGGGGAAAGCCAGTAGTAAGCAGACAGCTCAGGGTCATGAAGGGGCAGTGCCCGGACATCTGCCTTCCACTTGGTGCTGGAGCTGGGAAGGGCGCACCGCAAGGCGAGAGAGAGAGAGAGAGACGGCTGCGCGACACTTTGCTTGCTCCGCCCCGCAGGCCCTATCCCACCTTGGAGCGGTCCGTGTCAGCTGGGGGCCGCTTCCGGACGTGCGCGAGGCTGTGCGTGTGTGTGCGCGCAAGGATCGCCTGATGTGGCACTCGCGGGGCGGGGTCCGCTACACGGACCCCATGAACTCCGTGTACTCCGAGGTGTGGGCCGCGCTGGACCTTGGGGGCGCGCTGGGCCTCCCGCACTGGACCAGCGCGGAAACGCGGGGGGACTTGCTTGAGGCAAGGGTGAGGCTTGCGCGCTCGCCCCCGGAGGCAACTCAGGAAGGACGTGACGCTGCAATGCAGAGAGAGAGAGCGAGAGAGAGAGAGAGAGAGCGAGAGAGACAGGGAGAGAGCGGGAGAGAGCGAGAGAGAGCGAGAGAGAGAGAGACGGGGAGAGAGAGAGAGAGAGACGGCGAGAGAGAGAGAGAGAGAGAGAGACAGAGAGCGAGAAAGAGAAAGAGAAAGAGAGAGAGAGAGAGAGAGAGACAGAGACAGAGCCAGAGTCAGAGAAAGAGACAGAGAAAGAGACAGAGAGAGAGAGAGAGAGACGGAGAGAGAGAGAGAGAGAGAGAGAGACAGAGAGCGAGAAAGAGAAAGAGAAAGAGAGAGAGAGAGAGAGAGAGAGAGAGAGACAGAGACAGAGCCAGAGTCAGAGAAAGAGACAGAGAAAGAGACAGAGAGAGAGAGAGAAAGAGCGAGAAAGAGAGAGCGAGAGAGAGAGAGAGAGACTAGGTCCTCCAGTAGAGAGGTTAGAATAAGGGTACCCTTTTTTCTGTAGAGGGGCGTGGACAGGAAGGAGACAGGGAGACAGAAAGAGACAGAGACACAGAGAGAGAGAGAGAGAGAGAGCGAGAGAGCGAGAGAGAGACAGAGAGAAGAGATAGAGAGAGACAGAGAGAGGGAGATTGAGGAGAGAGAGGCTTGGGGGGATGGGGAGGATGGGGAGGATGGGGAGCAGAGGGAGGGAGAGAGGACGACAGAACACATGGGGGAGGAGACAAGAGAGAGAGGAAGAAGCAGAAAAGGGAGAGGACAATGTCGGCGGACTGAGCCGGAGGCTTTAAAGCTTTTAATTTAAGTTTCTTTAAGTGGAGCAGGGGGGATTCGGGTGACAAAGCTTCCCTTTACAGTTCGCTTTGTGGGCGAGCCGATTGTGGGGGGCTTGGCACCCATGCAAAAACCACGACTTCAGAGACACACGACGCAAAACTTGGGACATGCGCATGTCCAGCTGGGCATGCAAAACGAGATGCGAAACAACTCTCGAAGTAACAGGATCGGAGGGTGCAAATGACCTGCAAACAAGGTCATGTTGGCCGGAGGTCTCCCGTGAATTTCCCTGAGCAACCGAAGAAGATAGAAGGAAAGGCACGCGATCTGGCAGTGGGTCAAAAATATGTACCCAACATGGGAACCCTGGCAAATGGATTGATTAAACCTGTGGTCTGGTGGTTTAACTTTGACCCACAGCCATTTGATTCGATGCCTGATCTGACGCAGGCGCTGATGCACTTGGTGTAGGCCACCGCACTCCGGAGATCGAGAGATCGCATCCTGTCGGAATCGCCCCTATCGGACTATCGAACTTAGCTTAGGTTTTCCAGTAGAGAGGCTAGAATAAGGGTACCAACTTTTTCTGTAGTCTATTTTAGTAGAACCCTCCCCCAAAAAGAAAGGGTAAAAGGGCACCTAGCTGGGGGACCTAGTCATTCCTTGGCCCAAACCTGCGAATATAGAGGATCGGCATTCGCTTTTTTGGGTAGAGTTTAACGGGAAGCCTCCAGGAAAGGGAACAATGGCAATATCCCACCGGAGGTTTAGGTTGGTTTCGGTCTTCCTGTGGGGCATTGTTTGAAGAGACCCCCAGACCCTGGGACTGATTTGTCTTCAACCAGAGCTCTGGCCTCTTGGGGACGCCGTGCAACTCGAATGTTTGTTGCCAAAATCATGCTGTGCCATTGGTCAAACGGGAGCTGTCCCACAGAAATTGGGGGTCAACATCCTTACATTCAACCGGGACCCGGCCCTAATTTGCTTGTCCAGGGACGTCCGACTGAAGTTCCCTCTGTGCCTGAGAAAGACATCATCATATTTGCGCACCCGGGGTCCCCATACCACACCCCGAGTTGCTGATTTGGAGGAGCTCAGATGCCCCGTGCAGACGCTTGGAACCAAAATCTCGATGGTTGGCGTCTCATGTAGACTTCCCATGCCAACGGTGATACGGTGGATGCGGATTCTTGCCACTTCGCAGGTAACCATGGGAAGAAAACAAAGAAGCACACAAGCCATGGCTAAATTACAGTAAAGTGATTCCAGCCGCAAGGAAACCTGGCATACTCAACAATGACATCAAGGTGCATCCCATCGACCTGCGCTTCCTGGGCCACTGCCAGAACTTTGGGGGCTGTGAATTGGTACCCAAAATGGCCCACACTCCAGGCAAATGGTCCCTAAGGTGCTGGCATCCCCGTTGAGGAAACCTGTTGGGAAAGTCATCAAACATATATTTTCTTAAACAAAAAAACAAAAAACGTTTCTAACACCAATCTCCTTTTCCGGCGTGGGATGCCCTTTTCGGCTGTCCTTTTGTGTGACACACACACACACCCCGAAATCCCCGTCAAGGAGGGCTTGGGTTCAATCCGACCCATTGGCTTTGAGATAATACAACCCCAACCACATGGCCATGGGTCAAAATCCCGTACCCCCAGTGAACATCCCAATCCCCACCAAAAAGGACTAACATGGGTGGGGCACCATTGGTTTTGACCCACAGCCACATTTCGTCAAAAGGCAAAGAGGTTAGGGCAAAGGGGGGGCCAAGGGGGGGAAATATACCCGTTCACCCGTTCTCGCCAGGCCGCTCCGCCAACAAATGCACCGCCTGTCTCCATGCGCTTTGCCGCGCGCAATCTTGCAAGAGCGGCCTTACCGTCCACACTACCAAGGAGGCCTGATTTGCTCTGACTGCTTGCTGAGTAACAGTGAGGAGAGACTGGTAACATGTCTCTACCTTAGAGGGGGCAACTGGCCCGAAGCCTTTAAAGTTTGTAATGTTGTTTAAAAGCGGGTGATATTGGACCACCCCACTCCTGCCACGCTGGACGGAGTTCGAATTTCGATCCGCGGGTGATAAATTGCATAAGCTTGTGTCCTCCATAGCCACTATGGCATCTTTCCCCGGGAGTAGTGTTTTGAGCACATCTTTCGGGTAGCCTTTGGTTGGTAGTTTGGAAGGGTGTATTGGATTTGAAGTTGAATCTTGTTTTCTTGTAGGAGGATAACTACATGGAAAACTACAGAGCGGTAAGCTGATGGGTGGTCCTTTGGGCAAACAGAATACGTCCCAAAAGCCGTACCTTTTTGGATCACCCAAAAAAGCTCAGCAAGTTGCTCTCCCACATATGTCAAGTCATAAGTTTGTGCTATTTGTCTCCATATGAGCCTTTCCCATAGCCCAGGGCCCCACAAGAGACATGTTGAGGCTGCTCGTTTGCATGCGTCGCTGTAAAAATGATCTCGACCCCTGATTGCTGGTTTAACATCACCCGTATATACAAGTTGCCCCGTCCACCTGCGGCCCCAGCGGCAAATACCGGGTGTCGGCTTCGCCGCGGAAGCCGCCATGGCGCATGGCTCGGCACCCGCACTTCGCTGCTTCGGAAACCTTCGATGCCCTTGGGTTTCTCTCGGCTTCTGGTTTCCTGTGGGTTTCTCTCTGTTTCTTGGCCCTTGGTTTTCATTGAGCTTCTCTTGGCTGCTGGTTTCCCTTAGCTTGGTTGCGCTCGGCGTTGCTCTTTTTTTTTGCTTTCCGGGGAAAGCCCTGGAAAGCGCATGTCACGCACCATGCGCCGCGCACATCCAGCAGCGGATGGACCTTTCGGCGGCCTCGAAGCGCTGCAGGACGCTCTTGTAGGCACTGACACTGAAGGCCACCTGCGGTCCAAACGGTTCGACCCGCGGGTTTCATAATTGACATGGTCACAATGGTTTACCCAGAACCATGTAAAGAATTCAGAAGGCGGCCGCAGCTATTTCTGGTTGGGATCGTCCCTTGCTAACCTTCATCTACCCGGGTTTTGATTGTGACTCAACCCAGGAACTGGTTTCTGGAAATTCAAGCACCCCTAAGTCTGGAAAAAAACGGAAGCTCCTGGTGGATGGGGCTAGAACAACTCCTTGTTTACGAAAACATGTGCCGGACCTAAAAGGTTTCAAGTCCAACTGCAACTTGGTCACAATTCTTCACTAAGCCTGCGGTTTAAGTCGTTTCTTTGTTCATTCTTCTAGGCTAGGATGTAAGATGCTACCAAACCTTGACCCGGGCAACCCTCAACACGCACCTGTCTTTGCTTATCTGATTGAAACCTAAAGCTGCCAAGGGAGGAAATGACAACTCCATTTCTAGAGGAATCCTTTTGCGGACCCCTCCCCCCCCTTTGGGCTGCATATGGGGAGTACTGCACTGGTACCCGTCCTCCATTCGATTCGGGCCGGCCTCGCCCTCGCCGCGGTCCCGCGCCGTGTCCCAGGAGCAGACCTCCAGGGCCCGACGACCCTGCGATGTTTTGTTGGGCTCCACGTGTCTTTTGAGGGAAGCTGAAAGGCAAAGTGCAAGACAATAGATGTCCTTTTGGGAAAATGGATGGCCCTGGTTGAATGAACCACCAGGTAAACCAGGTCAGGGCCCTCTATTTTTCGACCAAATCAACCAAAAAGGACACCTATGTAATCCTATGTACAAGACGTAGAGTTTCAGGAAAGTGTGGAGTTTTGGCAACCCATGTGTTTGGTCTAGGGCAAGCAAAGGGGAGACCGATCCGCCGATCCATTTTGGAGCTGAAAGAAGTCAGGGCGTGGCTTTTGGAGTGGAAACCCCACCCAGCACTTTGGGGTCTACTTTTGAGTGGAGGAAAGGGCCTGTGACCGACCCCAATTTAGTAAACCTCATAAGCAAGATAAGTTGAAGAGAGATCTTAGAAGTCCCCGACCTCAACTAGTCAAAGGATGGCCCGTTCAGTTCCATTTGATTCATGGGGCAGCATGCCAGTACTTTGGATTCCTTTGGCGAATCTTAAAATCTGCAGTCAAGAAAAATCAAACAAGTTCGACATACCGGGGGGTGGGGTGGGGAAATATGGGGTGGGCTGGGCTGGGGTGGGCTGGGCTGGAGGGGCTCGGTCTCGGCCTCCTGCAGCAACTGTGGGGGCCATCGCGGGCTCTTCGCCACGAAGAGCAGCGCAGTGTAGGGCTTGGGGCACAGCTCCAACCTTCACCGGACTTCGCCGAGCTCAATACCTTCTTTCTCCCCAGCTGAAAGATTTGGGCTTATTTCTTCATGGCGATGCGGCACCGTTGGCAACCCTGGATGAACTAAAACGTTTATGGTTACAGCCAACGAAAACAGCACATGGGCATGTCTTAGTGTTGAGGGCCAGGGTGTTTTCAACAAACTAAAAGTGTGATGGTTGTTCAAATCCCGGTGTTGAACAAAAATACAAGAAATACAAATTGCGATGGTTCCAGCGAAACAAAAACAACACATAGGCATGTCTTGGTTTTGAGGGTACCCCTTTCGGTGGTTTTAAAGGGACACCAAAAGGAAAACCACCATTATCTTTCTTGTTTCTTTGAAGGGGGGGAGGTTCCTTAAAAAAGACACACCCAAGTCAGGAAGGGAACGTGACCGATGCTCAGGGACCCGTTCAAGGGGCTCCGATCGCCTTCGCAGGACAATGATGCGATGGGATTTTGGTTGGTGTTACCCCGCCAAGATAAAAATGGTTGGGTAGTCTTGGTGAGAAAATGACATTTTCCAAAAGGTCAACCAAGAAAATGATCCCGCCAACGAGCAACCAAGATCAGAATATTATGCTTCTGTTTTTGCCCGAACATAGGGATGCCCTCTTGGTGGCATGCTGTTTGGAACCAACCGTAAAGCAGTATTTTGCGTGCAAGAAGTATATGCAAACGCTCTGTCGCCGTTTGGATTGGTGGTTTGGTGGTAAAGGAGGGGGCAATCCAAACCAACTAAGGGATACCTGATGATTTTAGATGGGTGGTTTTCCTTGACACCAGGCTGGGACTAGGCACACATCGCGCGATTTCATCCAAGGTGCTTCACCTGGACGCCACTATGTTGCCTGCCGTGTGGCCACAGGCATGGGGTTGTCCCCAAACCCCACGGGGCGTCTTTTTGGTTTCCTTAAAAAACAACCCAACAAAAGGGTATCCTGCAAAAAATCACACTCCCAAATCCACCTGTGGCAAGCCTCACAAGACTCGAGACATTTCGGTCAATCCACATACTTTCTGGATTGCGGACTCTCACGCGGCAGAACCCGGTCAGTACCATGCCCAATTTGCGTCAAGCGCACCTGCTCTTGGGAGCCTCCAGCCGTGTGCCTGGCAGAACCAATGCAGGTGAAGCATCTTGCATGAAGGAATCATCACGAGACCGGGCTGCTGAAAAACCCACAGGCGCCAAGCGCAATGCAGGGTGAGCCAATATAAAGTTGCGTGCACCTGTAACACGCTGCAAAATGACCCAAACCCCAAATTGATCCCAAAATGCGTGTGAATCGATGCTCAAGCAGCAAAAAACACAATCTTCAGTAAAATATATTGGCATCTCCATCGCTTGGAGGCAATCTATAAAATCGGCCAGCCTGGAGCAGCAGGAGCAGCTGCTTGCGGAGGCTGACCCGCGCACGGCTGCCCTGTGTTCCTCGCAAGGTCTCCAACTCAAGTGCTGCACTGTCACCCAGAGCATGCAAACCCACAAGCCAACCGAGTCGCTGTTGCGCGTGCGCGCCCATGCAAGGAGCAGGCCTCACAAACAAAGCGCTCAGCCCTCTACAGGCATTTGCAGAAGAGTGCGTGCATTTGCCCATCCCTTCCCTTCATCATCGAAACATTCCCTGCGCAGTGTCCGGCCTGCTATGCGGATTCGTGCTGGGAGTGCACGCGCTGCTGCCAGCACCCAGCATACCTGCAACAAACAAAATCAACAGCAATGAGAAACCCGCCATAGCATAGCAAATGAACGGATTGCAGACCGAGAAAAAAAAAGAAGAAACAAAACTAGGAGAAAAAACACAGGATGCATAAGTAAAATAGTTTTTGAAAGTATAATGCTTGGTAAGAACAACAGTCACAAGTTACAACACGCTTGAGTTCTGTATGCACAGGCTACGCCAGCGTCGGGCCGCAACTGGCAACCCACTATATACAAGCTGAGCGCAATCAAGCCTGTAGGTGCAGTTACAGCAGCTGCTTGAGGATGACCCGGCGCTTGACCCAGCAGTTGACCCGGCGCTTGACCCGCGCACGGCTGCCACGTGTTCCTCGCAAGGTCTCGCACTATCCCGCACTCAAGTGCTGCACTGCCACCCAGAGCATGCAAGCCCACAAGCCAACCGAGTCGCTGTTGAGCTTGGGCGCCCACGCAAGGAGCCGGCCTCACAAACAAAGCGCTCAGCCCTCTACAGGCATTTGCAGAAGAGTGCGTGCATCTGCCCATCTCTTCCCTTCATCATCGAAACATTCCCTGCGCAGTGTCCGGCCTGCTATGCGGATTCGTGCTGGGAGTGCACGCGCTGCTGCCAGCAGCCAGCATACCTGCAATAAATAAAACCAACAGCAATGAGAAGCTATTGCGTGAGTAAACCGCAATAAATGACGAACCCATTGAAAAAAGAAAACAAACAAACTCCGAATGATGAGGCAAAACAGTCCCTGAAAGCACAATGCTTCGTAAGAACAACAGTCCCAATTGTTAACTTGAGTTAATTTCAACACGCTTGAGTTCTGTATGCACTGGCTACGCCAGCGTCGGGCCGCAACTGGCAACCGACTATATACAAGCTGGGCGCAATCAAGCCTGTAGGTGCAGTTGCAGCAGCTGCTTGAGGATGACCCGGCGCTTGACCCAGCAGTTGACCCGGCGCTTGACCCGTGCACGGCTGCCACGTGTTCCTCGCAAGGTCTTGCACTATCCCGCGCTCAAGTGCTGCACTGCCACGCAGAGCATGCAAGCCCACGAGGCAACCGAGTCGCTGTTGCGCGTGCGCGCCCATGCAAGGAGCAGGCCTCACAAACAAAGCGCTCAGCCCTCTACAGACATTTGAAGACAGTGCGTGCATCTGCCCATCCCTCCCTTCATCATCGAATCGCTCCCTGTGCAGCGTCCGGCCTGCTATGCGGATTCGTGCTGGGAGTGCACGTGCTGCTGCCAGCACCCAGCATACCTGCAACAAACAAAACCAACACCAATGTGAAGCTGTTGGGTGAGCAACCCGGAGTAGAAGACGAACCCATTGAAAAAAGTAAACAAACAAACTCCGCATGATGAGGCAAAACAGTCCCTGAAAGCACAATGCTTCGTAAGAACAGCACTCACGATAATTACAACACGCTTGAGTTCTGCATGCACCGGCTACGCCAGCGCTGGGCGGCAACTGGCAACCCACTATATGCAAGCTGAGAGCAATCAAGCCTGTAGGTGCAGTTACAGCAGCTGCTTGAGGATGCCCCGGCGCTTGACCCAGCAGTTGACCCGGTGCTTGACCCGCGCACGGCTGCCACGTGTTCCTCGCAAGGTCTCGCAGTCAAGTGCTTCACTGCCACCGAGAC